CGTGAGATGAAGTTTGTATCATAAAAAAAATGCCTTTTTAGTTCAAAACAATATGACTGGTATACGGTATGGTATATTGCAGGGATGGCGAACCTTGTATTTTTATCGCGGAACAGAAGAGAGTGGGTCACAGATATTTAATCAATGTTTGTATCTATAAGAAACTTCTGAATCAAATTTTGTAAGCTTCTGTTGGTGTTGGTGTAGTTTTGGGATCATGCAGCATTTCCATTAGGGAATTTTTATGGCACTCGATTATATGATATTAGAGTACGAAAACACGCATATTAATTATCAAGAACGTTTAGGATGATAGGGAAAATTAATTTACGGTACCAAATAGTTTAGAGGGAATTTCACTCTAATAGTGCAATATTTTTCGATCTTCTTCCAACCACATTAAGGCACTTTTACACTGCCCCATTGGTATTTCGGATTTCTAGGTTTTTATTTCAAATCTGGAAGATTTTGTTTTCTCAGCGGCATTGTAGATGAGAAACTAATAAAATGCAAAGTAGCATCTAGTTCTCGTATAACCCCTAAAAAGCATGCAGGTGCACTTCCGAAAGAGACAGGGCGTTGCGAAAAATTAACAGATTAATTGCATTGTTATATCATAAACGATGTCAGAGCCAATAGCTGAATAACGGTACACAGCGGTGTAGACATGCGTCCAAGATTAGGGGTTTTGAAAATAATCATACCGGCCCGGAAATATAAATTCGAATATGAGCGATCGCAGCCTTGACTGCCCAACTGACGGTACTTTATAATAGTTATAGTTTATAGTAGTTAATAAATTAGCACTGATATGTTAGCATTTTTTTTTATTTCATCCGTGCCTTAGTGGGTCACGAAAACGAGGTGGGTCACTTGGTGACCCGCGGGTCAGTGGTTCGCCATCCCTGGTATATTGTATAATAGTATAGATTAGTTTGTATTTGATGGTATCGTTATTTTATTGGCTCTAGTTTGCTTCCCGTGTAGTTCTTTATTGATAAGACAACAATATTTTGGTCTGCTTTTCGATAAAAATGACTTTAATTTACGTGGCTTTACTTCAAATTCAAAATACTTAGTTGAATGAAGTTATAATTTAGTGTTTCGCGCTTTAAGGTTACTTCTAGTGTCAGCGATGTTTGGGTCAAGGTAAAATATAGAAAATGTTCAGGTCATTTCAATTCACTTTTCTAAATGGATCCTCTATCTTCTTGATCACTAGTTTTGTACTCTTTATATTGAATTTAAGTGCAGTAATGTAGTGATAAAGTAGTTGAACGACAGCAATTATTAATTTAAAAGAATATCTAAACGATTTTACTGGTTTATTAAATTGTTTATCTATATTGAAAATTTCAGTATAGAAAATAGGGAGGTGCCAGACTTGGAAAAAATGAAGACGACGGCTATTGCAGTTTCCTTCATATTACTGATTTTTCTGCAACAATTTTTCTGTGATGCAAAGAAAAGTAAGAATATTTTTTGATTTTTGGTATCATACACATTTTTGACATGGGTTACCCTAAACAGATACTCATCAAAATCTAATTGCAGTATCAGTGTCAAAAGTCAGCAAATTAAAGTCTTAAATTTAAATGTTTGCCAAAAACGATCTGATTTTGAGTGCGGTGCTGATCCTGTTTTTGTGACATTACTTAATTTCCGCAACTCTATTTTCACGACAAATTTATTTAAAACTTTTTTTCTGATCCGCTCCAGAGATTTTGTATTCATTAGAAAATGCTTATACAGTTCACCAAGCTACTTATAGAAGCCATTAATAATACGATAAATGTAGGTATGATATAATATAATAAAATAATTTTTAAAATATTTCTCCATTGAATTTTTCCGTTTGGATCTGTCTTACATTATTTCGATGCATATGGATAATATTGATATTATCGTAAGTAAAATATAAAATTGTTAACATGCTCCCAGCAGTCACGTCCTATTTGTATCCTCTCTGCACTCTGCATAGATTACGTTTAGTGACTCATATAAGAATGAACTTGGATACAAATCCCAGAATGGAAAGGAACAACGAAATTCTCAAAATGCTTGAACAATTTGAGTACCTTCATAGTTATTTTTAAATAATTTCGACGTTCAGATTCGCGAAAATACACAGCGAAGATTTCCAGAGCATGCGGTGAAAAATACTGTCCACGTCTAATCAGCGGCTGGGGATGCAGCTACTTCAAGAAAGAAAGAAAACGTAAAATTTATATTTATGTGTATATTTATTGAGGTTATGTTGAACGAATTACAACCATATTTTGTCCACTTATACGGTATTTGACGAAATAGAACGTTTCTACCGAATATTTTTTCTGTTCACGTAATCAAATTATCTCCGATTAGAGTTTTAGGTTATTCAGATCAGGGTTCTTCAAACAGGTAAAAAGAAATTGACACCAACTCATGTTTAAACAATAATATCAAAATGTAGTGCCACACCTCAAAATTATGAGGAGGGGGTAGGGGGGTGGGTGAAATTTTTTAGGCAAATTATTCTCCAATTATGTTGAGTGCCTTCTGAAATAGACAGTCCATATCGAATAATATTTGTCGTTAACCGATAACAATCACCTTTCTAATCACAATTTTAAAATATTCCTCGCCATATATCTTTATAAATATTTATTTTGTTTCAAGGTTGTCGAATATGCATCCGGACGAAATTATGCTATTGGTCCAGGAATCCATACCTACCGTTTATTTATAAGCTCCGATTTGAAGGTGTACAGAATTGAAAACCTTACAGAAGACATGCATTTGTAATTTTGTGTGACAATTTCACTAGAGAAAACTGAAAATTTTCAACAGATCAAAATTACACTTTATTAGTTATAAGCCATAAGAAATTACTTTCATGTCGAGTGTATATCAACCTTGAATATGTTGACATTTTCTCTTCTTATATGGTAAAACATGCCGGAATTAATCTGAATATGCTCGGAATAAAACTTCTTGTAAAGTTCCTGTTACCAGATTGTGAATGAAAACAGCTTTCTGATAACAACATAACAACTGCTATTAACAACTTTGAGACCTCCAGAAATATGTGCACCCAGATGGCGCACAACCTCAACCCAATATGTGTTAGGGTTCAGGTTGTGCGCCACCTTTGTGAACATACTTCGGGAGCGCCCAATATTGTGTTAATCCAAGTAAAAAATATTCAAAGCTAAGCTAATGTTTTTCTTACATTTAATTTGTTTAAAATAACCAAATACTGATGTGATGTTTTTGTGCTACTAATAAACAAGCCAATCTATCTCCAGTTTTCAATATTTGAGGATGAATGCCACCACATTTTTCAATCTACCCATTGGAACAATATATCCAAACCAAAAACTTCAATTATATATGTATATAAAATTAGTAAAAAGTTGAATCCAAACACCTGAGTCCCAATTACACAATTTGTTATAAAGTGATAATGCAGCACTTGCAAAACTGGTTAATCCAATTTTTTTTTATCCCGTTTAGGCGTTTACAGTTTTGAAATTATATAAAAATTACATTTATCGTTAGTTGGTGGTAATTTTTCACGAAGCCTTTTTAAATACACGCTTCATCAGTCATAGTAACATTTTTGAATTGTATAACATATTGTAAATAAATCCGAAGGTAATGGAAAACTTGTCATGGTTCGAAAATATTATTTATAAAGGATCGGTCAAATACGTATGCTTTGAATGTCATTGCCATGTTGATTCCAATTACCCATTTACCTAATTTTTCGGGCCCAAGGTCACGCAGTGTGGATATAACAACGCGGGGGCGGATTATGCTTCCGCAGACTCATGTCTGTTTTCGCGAATGTTATTTGATAAGATTCGTAGAAGCCACGACCGCGCTGCCTATTGCGCCATATTTAGTAGTAGTAAGTAATATTTCTGTTTTCCATCCCAGTTGCGAAACGCTGAGTTAAAGCAAACTATTGACGATAAAAAAAGTCACAAACCGATAATATTATGCCTATTTATTTTATATACATAATAACTTGAATTTTTATCATTTAATTTTGAAAATGTCAGCCTGAAAATACAGGGTGATCAGACAAATGTTTATTAAAATATATACAATATAAATGTAAGAAAATAGCAGTATAAAGATAAATAAATAATAGAATTCATTGTTATTTTTCGATATATCCTCACTTTACCTTCACTACACGCCTCGATCTGATTGGAATTTGACTGCACGAGGCACGTATGGTTTCTTCTGAAATGTTGTCCCAACAAGTCATCAATCTATGCCTTAGAGCAGTTGTTCTCAACATGTGTTACGCGCAATATCCAGCAAGAGACAAGTTGGCGTGGCCAGCTTCCCTATTCGAATGTCCTGTGTTTGACAATGACGTCATAACTCTTGGCCAACAGAGCAGTTTCGCTTCAAAAAATTCGACTTGATAATATTTAACCAAATGCAATATATAAATGTAATTATATATCGACTTCGCAATCAACATAACAAATATTGGTACTCCTGAAGTATGCGCACCAAGATGTCGCATAACCTGAACTATAACCTGGTACACAACCTGAGTTCATGTTGTGCGCCATCTTGGTGCGCATACTTCAGGAGGTCCCAAATATTATATTTGACCAAAATTTTTCGACAATATGTATAACGGATGAAGTTGAGTGAGCAAAACGTAATTGATACCGTGATATTGAAAACGAAGTGGACCCATGGATCGTGTTGATAAAATTGTTGTGTTTTCTTTTTGTTGTTTTTGAGAATAAAAAACGTTTTTTTTTTAGTGGTTAAAAATTGTTGATGTTATTCATTCCTAACTTTCGTATGAATTCTAAGAGATCTGATGAGATTTCATCCAAAATTTCGTTGTTTTATGTATTGTTTTTTGATACGGGTTTTATTCCGCTAAGCTTGACAGGCATTCATTTTGATTTTGCGAAGGTGAAGCTCGCTCAAGGATATGGTTTGGTGGAAAGTGTGGTTAAACATTTTGTTTTGGCATTTGTTTCCAATTTATTTGAGCATAGCACTTTTGTTAACAATCTTTTTGACCCAGGAACATATTGTGATTACGGATGCGCACCACACAAACACAAAATCAACCAACCGACTTTAGTTTCTTTCATATGCATATCAGCAATAGAAATGTGACGTGACACCACAAAATTATGTGCACGCAATATGATGGATGATTCGTCGATCTGATTCTTAGAAATAGAGATGGATATTTGGTCCCAGTTAACATTGAAATGCTTTCGACGTAGTAGACTGTAGAGGGTCAATAATATTCCCTGTTACACTACACAAACAAAACGGGGTACTCCTGAAGTATGCGCACCAAGATGTCGCACAACCTGAACCCTAACCTGGTATACAACCTGAGTTCAGGTTGTGCGCCATCTTGGTGCGCATACTCCAGGAGGTCCCAAAAAGGTTATAATATTCAGAAGTACGTAGAGATAGATACCCAGTCATTAAAAACAGGCTGCAAAGCCGGAGTTGGGCATGTTTTACCGGAGTCGTATTTTCAAACTTTCCGGATTCAGAATGTTAACATTCAATGGCAATAAAATTAGTCGAAATTCATACAAAAAAAACATTACGTTTACTGAGTAGGCCTAATCTTAACAGTTTGTTAAAAAAAAAGGCACGCATATGTCCCAGTTTTCAATAATAAAATTTGATTTTCTCAGAGTTCGAGCTGAGGTCGGAGTCAAAATTTTTCTTAACCCGGAGGTAAAAGCAAAATGTTTTTCAACTCGTAAGCCAGAATCGACTTGAAATTTTCTCCAACTTCACAGCCACGGTTCAGAGCACACATTCTTGGACAATAGCACGATAGAAAATGAGGATTTAAAACGATGAGACCATTAGTTGACCCGGAGTGGACATACAGAGCGTTTTTGTTCTTATGTTGTTGTTAGAATTCATGGGTTGTGAAAAAAATTGCCTTTTGCTTTAAAATTTTCAGTTGTTGAAGATTGTATTTTTTGCTAGAGGGGCAGAGGGCTATTACTTTTATTTATTTCAAAAATTTTCGTGGTCTTCATGGAATTCGCTTTTTTTCTGCGATGAAGTCATCAAATTAAAAATTGCGCACCCTGTGGCGGTTCCGCATTCGCGGTCGGGCGAAGTCGTGAAGACTGCGGTACCGGTAGTCAACTGTGACAGATTGCATACCCGTACTACTTCATTTTCGCCTTCGAGTGCATTTATTTGAGCATTGCACTCTTGTTAATAACACAAAAGAATTTAACTTAGGGATAAATATTTTATGACACGTAGATTTGTTTTTTCATATATACTCGTCTTATTTTCTTTTGTAAACATTACATGTTGCGAATATGCAGATAAAATGTGAATCCTTGCTACTTATAATTAATCCCATTTTTAAAGATTAAATAATAACTGAGAATTCGGATCAGAAGAATATACCCAATACTCAACTTGAAAATGTTTCCGTATTTAAAGTATTTTCGTCGATTACAGTATATTTATCTGTTTTTTAGCTTCATTTCAGCTCGTATCAAAGAATAATCCCAGCCCATCCAAGTTTCCCAAATTATACCATCATTCGAAACAACAGCGCCATCGGGAAACCATGGTCCATTTAAATGAGCATGATAACAGTCATAATACCACCAGCCTCCTCTGAAGTATCTTGCGCACGCGTGATTGGGTATATCCAGCTCAGGATAAGCAGTTGAGAAAGGTGCGCCATTATGATAAGAAAAGGAGTCACCCGCGTTGCCACGATAACCTTCCACACTCAAAGAATACATAGTTGATTCGTTGCCCACTAGAAAAGAGCTGAAAAAAATATTGTTATGTGAAATTTTGTAACAAAATTTTTGAAGTTGTCCTTAATGTTGAACAGAAATTGTACGTGAAACTTAAAAATGATAGTATCCATTTAGCAGTAGCCTACACATAGCATGTATGCTCAAAACGTAGGCTAAATAGGCTGTGGTTGAATTTGTATTGAACGAGACGCTCAGAATCTGTCCCTCAAACGCTTTTCGCAAAGCGTCAATAATTTCCCTACTGTAAGTTGAATATATATACAATAAGTGAATCAACATGTAGATAAAACGTAAATTACTCGTATTCAGCATATACAGATTCGTTTTTTGTTCCCAAATCAATTCGAAGTTTGTAATCGCCTTTGGACGTTAGGTTGTTGATCACTTCCAATCCTTTGAAAATAATGAGGGTTCAATCAAAATTAAAGCAAATGATTACATATGCGCATTACATCAGCTTATAAGCTGACTCATTTTAACATATTCAAAGATTACGTGGTATAAACAGGTGTAACCTGGATCACTAGTATGATTACCGGAATGTCGACCAAAACGGCTCCGACTCCCCGTCCCGGGTTGACATGAATTCCAAGTCCGACTACGGCTCTAGGTTCAAGAAAATTTTGATTAGGACTCTATTCCGAGAAATTGATTCCGATAAATTGATATTTTAATGACTGAAGATTTGGCATATATACCCTTTCTTTAATTGTCTATTGAAAAGGTTTATCCGACTTGATCCTTTTCCAGAATTTGTTGGTTTTTTTACTTCGATTATAACCACTAAAAGTATTCAGAATACCGATTTAGAGTCATAGGAATTTGGAAGGACAACCCTGCTCCGTCTCCAATATCACTAGAAACATGCGAAACTTCAATTCCAGTGACCTGACATCAAGCTTGTGATTAGCGAAGTGGTCGTAGTCTATTGTCAGCTGAATTGGGCCGGATTCCTTGCTCCCGATGTGACCCGATTCAAGTGCCAGCCAATACCGACATACGTATCGTATTCTTTGAGTAATCAAAACGCAAAACCATTTTTTTGTATTTGAAAACTTACCAAGCCAAAATTCTCCATCAATTTCCCCAAATCCATTTTTGTAATCTGTCCAATTTCGATAAAAGTTTTCCGAGCCGTTCATTCGTCTCTGAAACACCTGTAATACAGAGCAATTCTAGAAATGCTCTATATGAATCCTTTCGCGTCTTGTAAATATAAAATACAGTACACTCCTTGAGTACTGTTAAACACTGTGTGAAATAATCTTTCTGACCAGAAAATTATTTCTTGTAATTGGAGTCAAGGTAGACCACGTAGATTATCACCTTATGTAAATAAGAGGTCAAAGCTCAAATATAAAGACGTAAAGGTCAAATGTCAAAATTAAGTGAAATATTGGCTCCTGTAGGCCTGAGAAAATTTTCTTTAGAAAATAAAAGTAAATATCGCTTTGGTGACTGCTGTCATCTTCGAGTACTGGAAATTTTAAATCAAATAGTTCAGATATTGCGAAGAAAGGAGCATTTTTTTTAAAAACAACAACCATAACCTGAGGGCACACCAAGAAGACTAATGCAACAACAACATTAAACAATTTAGCAATAATCCGTATATATATACACTTTGTGGATAACAATAATTGAATTTGATCAAAAACAAGTTTTAGTAGTGTTTATCGGTGAAAATGGAATATTGTGTATACGTCATCATCAGATAAACAACTAAATTGCCAGATTAAAAAAAATACAATTTGTTCGACGCAATCAAGATTGTTCAGTTGCTGAATGACCCGACTCACCATCCACGATTCATCTGTACTGCAGTCGCAGTATACTTCAATATTTGCTTTATCTTCATCATAGCCGAGAGATAAGTTAGTCATTGCGCCACTACTCGCCATTCCAACGGGAGTGTCAGGAATTTTACCTTCGCTTACTTGCGCACATGTTTTCACACAAACGTGGTCCGAATCGGGTAATTGAGATATAAAAGCTTCTCGTCCGATGGGATCATTACCTGAATCACCGTCACTATTCTGGAGAGATATCAAAGTAAGTAGTATATTTACGAAGTAAGTATATTTACAGTACATTTCGAAATAAAAATAAATAAATTAATCCACTTATGATTCCGCCAAATAACCTATTGCCATTTTAATATATATCTACACGTATTTTCAAAATTAGTCTCCTATTTTGATTTTTTTTAGGAAATTTTGAAAAATGACTTTGATATGAGCTTAAATATTTCATATGGTTGGCCATTTATGGTTTTATACCTATGATAAAAAAGCAATTAATTGCTTTGATAATTGGTTTTAATCTAATATTTGGTGAGAAATTTATAAAATTGAAATATTTATCGTACGTCGTTTTTATATGTATATATTATATTATACAAAGTTGCTATAAAAGTTTCGAGACATCCAACTTCGATCTGAGGGACTGCATATTTAATGCAGGTGAAGTAGTAACAATATGGAGCTGTGTTAGCTCTAAGCTGCATTTCCATAATACCAACCTTTTTCAAAAAAATAGTGATGATTACCAATCCGATCAGAAAGAGGAAAAGTATGATTGTTATTGATAGCAATACTTTGAAGCTCGTATCTTTTGTTGTTCTTTTCTCTGTTTAATAAACATCGTTTACTGAATTAACTTGAAATGATTGTCAATAACAATTCAATCATTATAATTTGAAGAGAATTAGTCTGGTTTGAGGCTAAATGAAGAATCGATCGAATAGAATTGGATATCGTTAAAATGTATTGATATTAGACATATTATTATTATTGTTACTTGGACATATATTGAGAATTATTTAATAATGACAGGCAGCAAGAGCTTTCAATTTATAATAATAACCTAAAAATCTACGGGGCCCATAAGGAATAAAGAAAAATTGATAAAAATATCATTCCAGCTATTTCTTTCAAGTTACCGAGTAAAAGAGAAGAAAGGCGTTTTTCACCGCCAACAACGACGACACTCCCAATGACAAGACAATAATTTAGCACTAGATTCCATAGATCGACTCCATGACCAATAATAACAAAGAAAATTGTTTATATTTCTAAGGTAAACCTTCCATGACTTACTTCGTCTTACAGAAACGATTGTCATACGTCTCGGCTGTTTCATCACACTATTTTGTAGAAGTCCATCTGCGTGGGTATCATCGTATTGAGTAGGATTAAAAGCGCTCTCCATAACACCTTTTTTCCTAATACAAAAGTATTCGGTAATAAATCTTGATCAATCTTGCATATACTGTATAATAAAGCAGCATGGCGTATGCCCTATATCAGGGATGGCGAACCACTGACCCGCGGGTCACAAAGTGACCCACCGCGTTTTATTCGTGACCCGCCAAGGCACGAATAAAATGCTAACATATCAGTGATAAAACCGGCCTTAAATTAATCTAACAATAACTAATATAATGAACCGTCAGTTGGTCAGTCAGGACTGCGACAGCTCATATTCAAATTGTTAATTTCCAGTATGGTAATTTTTAAAACCCCTAATCTTGGACGCATGTCTGCACCGTTGTGTGCCGTTATTCAGCTACTGGCTCTGACATCGTTTATGACATAACAATGCAATTGATGTTCATTTCTCGCAACGTCTTGTTTCTTTCAGAAGTGCATCTGCTGACTGTTTTAGGGATTATACGAGAACTAGATGCTACTTTGCATTTTATTAGTTTCTCACCTACAATGCTGTTGAGAATACAGAATCTTTCAGACTTGGAATAAAATCCTATAATAACAATGGGGCAGTGTAAAATTGCTTTTAATATGGTTAAAGCTGATAGAAAAATATAACACTATCAGAGTGGAAGTCCCTCCAAACTCTTTGGAACCGTGAAATAGTTTGCCGCATCATCCTAAACGTAATTCATTTGCGTACTCTAATTTCATAAATTCGAGTGCCATAAAAAGTCCATGATACAAGTGCTGTATAAGTAAAGCCCTAAACTACACCAACATTAACAGAACCGCTGTATCATGATTTGTTTCAGAATTTTCTTATAGATACAAACATTGATTAAATATCTGTGACCCACGCTCTTTTGTCCCGCGATAAAAATATAATTTTTGACCCATTCATTGAAAAAGGTTCGCCATCCCTGCCCTATATCATATCATAATGAAACATACGTGTATATATATATATATATGCGTATAACATTTATTATTTTAATTTTCTAGCACAGCGGTTCCCGAAGTGCGGTATGCTTGGTGCGAATTTCACAAGTCCAAGTCAAGGGATATCTTATTCAATCGAGGCCACATGGGCACGATGTAGCGACAGCCAATAGAAATGAACGTATTTTTTATAACGGTGAAGTCCAAGGTTTATTTTAGTTTGTTTTTGTTTTGAATTTGAGTAGCTCAAATTCTTGAGCTACTCAAAGGATACAGAATAATTGCCGTCAGTAATTAACAACTTGAATCAATACTATTAGAAAAAGCCAGATGGCAGCGAACACCAAAGCGAAAACCAGTAAAATTCAACACATAATGCGCGTCCAAAAATATTTCGTAACCAGACAAAATCTCAAAAGATTTTCTAATAAATTATGCCATCCGGAATGTATGTTTGTACGAAGCGTTACAATATTTCTAACCCCCTTCTTTTGCACTCTCTCTCTTTCACTCACTTGCTTCTGTTTAGATCAGCATATATTTTAACTAAAACTCCCAGTCATAAAAAGGTTGGAAAATCCCAAACACCAATGCCGTCCGGATAGCCGCATATACAAAAGCATCGCCACTTCTGTCTGTCTGTTATATTTTCGAGAAGCATATAGCCTATATATGCATATATATATTTGATGAGGCATTCACTTACCTTCTCTCCGTACAAAGCAGATTTTTTATGGTAGAAAATTGACCACTAATATTTGAAAGCGAAAAATAAAAAGCACGAACACTCAATGTCATGATATCACCGTAACCGAGTATTTTTTTTTTATAAAAGGGTGATGTGTCATCATCTAACGTGCCGGAAATAGCTAAGAACTTGATAATTTATATTTGCGAGTGATTAATAAATTGTTGATCAATCGAGCTCATGATCAATTATGATCTAATCAAATGCAACAGCGGTGAAAACAAATTTTTAAACTATACATGCTTTGTGACCGTTTTCTTTGAACATAATGAGAATAAAAAATAATCACAAGTGTTTCAGGGAACCTTGTCAAGTGCTGATTAGCTGATGTTAAGGAAGTGAAGAAGGAAGTCGACGCTTGGGAAAACGACGCGTATTCACTGCATTCAATCATACACCTTAATGGATTAAATCTACATTTTATGACTTTGTATATTTTTAGATTTCAGTATAACCAAATTATATTGTATTATTTGTATAAAATTTGAAAATTTCCCCAATTCAACTGCTTCAAATATATATAAACAAAATGATCAACGTTTAAAAATGGAAATCTTGTGCGGGGCCATTTATGAAAACAGTCCAGTCCAGAATCAAGCCATGATAGTCTCATCGTGCTAAGCGTTAGTGGCTCATCGTGCCAAGCGTTAGGAATACGCTCGCTACCGCACCTCTAATTACTCGGCGTGGGTTCGCAGCTTCGAATCCCATGCGGGGTGGTTATGTGCGAGAGAATTGCTGGGCTCCTCACCGCCGTTGGGTGGTTCACGTAGCCTAACCGCTGGTCGGTTACGGCTTCCTCTACCATCAAGTCCATGCTTCGGAAAAACAAATACCCAACTAATCCCATACCCGATCCCTTTATATTTTTGCATGTTTTTTTGTTTTTTACTGGTTGAAAAAAAAATTCTTGACTTGACTCATCCTTATCTTATAGATTGGTATGCCTATCATAAGTCGCTATATGGCGCTATATGGCGCTATATAGTAAGAAAACAGAATATTAGGGTGTGTCTATTATTGTTTTGGAGGTGTGTCAACTGGCTATTAGCAAATAGGCATAGTCACTGCTGCGTTCTTTGCGAAGTTGCTGAATCAACCTTCGAGAAGTTGTCACCGGTGGTTCCGTTTCGTTTTTATTCTGCTATAAAAATTTTGGAGTTGTTACCGGTTTAGTCAGTTACTTATCGTGCACCATACCGTTAGCCTACGTGCCTTAATAAGGCAATCGTTTGCGTTGCATAATGGGTTTGCTGAATTTTGATGGTGAGCCGTTGTCATGGGAAGAAACCAAAAAATATGCAAGTCATGTTCGTGAGCATGGAATCACACAATTTTTGAATATCTATGAAAAATTGAAGAATAGACATGGTGATATATTAAAATGGGGAGATGAGGTAAATAATCGTTTTTGATTATGTATATCAAAGCACTAAAGCATCATGAAATAAAAAAAAAGTCAACTACAGAACTAATATTTTCGGAAATTACAAATTCTGAAATTTGCTTTCATTGCTATAAGTAATTTATTAAATTAAGCATGACTGTGCATTTAGCTTTGCAATAAACAAGGAGGCTTATACAGTACTGCAGTAATACTGTTATAGGCAATGGATAACAGTAACAACATTTCTGCATTTGCTATAAATTTTCAAATTAAATTTATCGGTTAAGATAATTCAAAAATTGACATGCTGGACTGTCAGATGCCTGGAATATGAATTCAATATCAATTATTATTTTGACATGCGAATGCATCCATTTTATTTTGGTAAATTTTAGGTCGGAGATTTCGGGATGTATGGCATGTGGGGTTACCATGCATCTTATATCATGTCAAAGCCCTTAATTCACCCCAGAATTATGACTTATCTTTACAAAGTGTATTCTATTTTTCTATAATGCGAAGTTTGTCGATTTTGTTTGATTCCATCAAATTTTATATACAGGTTGAATATTCTCTGTTACATTTTGATCATGAAAACAGAAAAGTACAACTTGTATTGAGGGGGGAAAAAATTTGTGAAAAATTGATGGAAAAAGAAGAAAATGATCCTGATAGGTATTTAATGAATATTCATATTGAAAATCTGTGATCTGTGCCATTTTTAAAAATTTGGTTAATAAATAATTGTATTTATCTTTTTATTTTGCAAGTATATGTGCTGATTGGTTTTAGGTGTTACTCAGTGAAATATATTTATATATACCATTGCTGAGTTTATCTCATTAATTTAAATAAACAAGAATGTAGCCTAAAAAATAAGGACACATCTTTAAAAACACAAGAATTTGAAACAAAGTGGTGCCATATGTACCACTGTACTAAATTCATGATGTTTCATAATTATGATCAACCTGTTTACAAAACTTTCCATTCCTCCAGGCTATGATTCAAGATTTTATCTGTCTAGAAAATGTGAGAAAGCAGAATGTTTGTGTTGGTTTAAAAATATTTAAAAAGTTTTTTTAAAAATATCAGCATAAAATTTTGCCTAAATTATTGGTGTAATATGATTCTTCACTATTCTTTTATATGACATATTCATACGCTTTTCACTCTAAACAAGGCTCTGCAAATGGAGCCAATGATATGTGAAAATTGCTTAAAATTTGGAAGGGCTAGAATCTTCCCAGTTTGGCACTGTGTCCTCAATTTAAAGGACTGAATAGGATGTATGCATTTCTCCGAGGGGGAGAGGAAAGGCGATAAGACAACTTAATCATATGGCGAACAAAAGCCTCTAGTCCAGTTACCAGTCCATGTCAGGTTTGGGGTTAGTTAGCCAGTTGTTTGTTTTCGGAAGCATGGACTTGATGGTGGAGGAAGCTGTAACCGCAACGAGGACTCCAGCAATCTTCTCGCACATAACTATCCTCACATTGGATTCAACCCTGTGAACCTACGTAGGGTAATCAGGGGTGGTGACGACCGTATCCTAGCGCATAGCATGATGCGCCACACCACCGAGCCATGGTAGAAGAAAACTTGCAATGCCATCATAGTTAAGTTTAAATATAGAGTGTTATCATTGTATATGCATTTTATAAGTGAAATCAAATAATAGGGCCACTATTTACCAAGGCACAAATACGATTAAAATTTATTTTCCAGTTGTGACAGCTTATGGAGAAAAGAATATGCTCGGTATATGATTGAAGGAACACCAGGAAAACCATATGGTGGATTGATGGCACATTTCAATATGGTTGAAGCAAATATGGCCCTACGGTACTAAGATATTTGTATTAGAGTATTTATTTTTATTTGTAAATTTCAGCTCCATTATTAAATTGAGTATGCTGGATTCATCCATAAAAACTGTTGTCATTCGAGACTAAGCAGTCTAATGCAGCGGTTCCCAAACTATGGGTCGTGAAAAGATGTAGAAAGCTTCGATTAATTATACTGGTTATTAGGATCGGTGGCGACTCGAATACATAAATCATCAGAAAAATTGAATTTAAATTCTAATCTGTGAAAGTTTCCTTTTTACAATCTTCTCAAGGGAACAAAAATTTGCTACACAAAGAATGACCATGTGGCTTTTTTATGCATAGCAGTTTTGTACACTGTACAGCACTTCTTACCGTGTTTCCCCGAAATTTAGACAGGATTTAGATTAATTTTCTTTTAAAAAATAACACCATGGTTTTTTAGGAAGAGGTCTTTTGCATTCATTTATCAAAAATAAAATTACATTGTAGACAATCACTAGATTTTTTAATGAACATTATATAAACATCATATACCGTAATCCATTGTTTTTATCTGTATTTCCTATACAAAAATCAAGTGACAAATATCATAATTGTGATGTGACATCACACAATCTTGAATAGTGGTGTGGCCTTCACCTTACCCTAGGCCAATGAACCTTTCCTCTCCCACACATTTTAAATTTATTTTAATGGTAGGGTTTAATTGAAATCATTTTTAAAATTCAAATTAGGTCTTATTTTCAGGCCAGGTCTTATTTTCGAGGAAACACAGTAGTTTTGCGATGATTAGCCATTGCTGTGTTCTGTGTTATGTCGTAAAAAGTTACATGGGTCGCCATAAGCTGTGGTAATAAAATGAGTCCCAACTCTAAATAGTTTGGGAACCACTGGTGTAATGCATAGCTTTTTTTGGTTTTTGTTAAGGAAAAACTTGATTTTACTTTGTTACTATCTGTCTACCTTCAAAAAATTTAGGCAGAGTGTATTAAATTGAATTGGACATGTCAAAGCCAAACGAATTTTTCTATAGCTCTTTCTGTATAACGAATAGAGTCTTTTACGAAGCAAAATAAAGGACAACCATTCTTAAAAATACTTTTGCTTATCAACATTTTCAATAAAATCAATATTGTTTTTTTATTATATCATTTGAATTTATTAATGTATTAAACTGAATGTTTCAGTTGAGGATGGATCATACTAAATCAGTCATGGGCTATAAATAAACTGCGTCAATTTCATGATTCATGTTTGGCCCATAGTTGGATAGAAGTTACATGTGTTTTTATGGTCAGTAATCAGATTTGTAGTTTGTTTTATTTATTATTTCATGCCTTCAGGACATGATGCAGTTTTATTATAGTCATGATTGCGGTTGTAAACAAATTTAATAAGGTGATGCAATACTTAATTAAGTGATATAGATAATTGTAAAATTGTTTTATGACCATATGGACGAGTCATGTCTTTTCTTTTCCGATAATTCTATTTAGTCCTATAATGGAATATATGCCATGATTTTTGTTATCTTTAGGATCTTCAATAGGCTACTTGTTGTGTATGTTGTTAATATTTTCAGTTCATGTACGTCAAAGTGGAAAATATTTTTCCCAAAATTTTTTTTTTAAAGCATAATTGATTGAGTTTCTACAATATGGAATAAAATTTCAAAATTTCTCATTCAATTTAAATAATTTAATATCAAACGAACATGATGTAATAACAATATGATGTGTTTTGTCTGAAAAAGCATAGCCTACATTTGAAATAAATAGTTCTTTCAAGAAAACTCTGCAGGCGACTTGATTATATTTATTAATTGCCCTAAACTTTGCACTTCACTTCCATTCAACTGAAGAAAACCCACAGTATATGTTTATGGTTCTATGCAAGGAAAGTCAAAATCAAATTACTATTTAAAATGCATTCGTAATTAATGTTTTTAAATATAAAATGTTGAATATGTTCTAAATTGGTTCATGTTCAAAAAAAAAATTATAAGAATTGAAAATTCTGTAAAAAATAAATTTTGTAATACAAAATACATATCTTGTTTCTTTTTTCATGTTTATGCACAAACATACATAGATGGGATAAATGGGAGTATTTTTCAATTTTATATTTTGCAGTATCAGGAGCTAAATAAAGTCATATGTTTAAAAAAGATACTTAAAATAACAATTTGTCAGATGAAAATGTTCCGAATTATTCCTAAAATCAAGAATTTACTATATCAAATAGGTTTATCCAATTTCGGATACATTCCAATATTCAATTTGTTATGGACATGCCTGGTCCCATGGCCTATTATTCATATGCTAGAAATTTTCGACATGGATTGTTTGATATTATGTTGTTGTTTTTGTTGGTATTTTTTTAGTGTTATGAAAAAAAGGTCTTTCTTTCAATTACCGTACCGTACCAATTTCTTTGATATTTTTAATGGTTAAAAATTGTATTTTTCGCAAGAAGGCTATTGCTGTTATTTATTTCAAAATTTCTGTGGGGTCCATGGGTTCATTTTTGTATGCCATGACGTAATCAAAAATTGCACATTTCGTGCTGATTCCGCTTTCGTGTAGTTGCAAATACTGCATTAGCGTAGTCTACGGTACTTTGTTTATGTATTCATGTTCATAACCTACCGTTGGCATCGCTCTCTTGTTCCCATTGAACTGGTTTAAGTCATTCAACCATCTAGTTACATATAAGAGTTATATAAATTAGTTCATATTGTTATCACTTCCCATGGGAAAGTTTAATCAAGTTAATCATTTATTGGTTTTTCCTTGCTATTGGACAAGGCTAATATTTACTACAAGGGAGTGTGTTGGGATCCTTATTGTATGGAATGTCAAAATGTGATAAATCATTGTTTACTTTTTGAAACTTATCACCATTACCCCTTATTTGGCACTAAAATCAAACATTCAAGCCTAATTCAAATTTCCACATAACAGGAATATCTTATGTTTACATACCATATCCCTGCCCTAATCTTCAGTTAAATTTTGAAAACAGACTGGAGAATATTTTATTATACATTATGAACTTTTAACACTCTCTCTTATTGGGCATTAGTCAGCAAATATTATCTTATGACTAATACAAAACAAACAATGTTTTTTTATTCTCAAAAGGAAAGCTTGATTGAATGCTGGTACTGATACCCAATATTTCATCTTTCATCAGGAACGAATTCATTATAACAATAATAGAAAAGTTTTGAAATTTAATCATGAAGGCAAATCAGAAAATTTAAAAAATCTTTGCTATTACCGTACTTATCATCTGTATCCCTAGATACAAAATCAATTTTGAATTTTGTTTTTTATCTTTTATATGTAGGTATGTTTATAAATATAATATAAATATAATATTGATATCGTTAAATTCTCATTTATTTTTAATGTATGAATGATAAAAAAATCCCATTTCCCTGCAAAATCTTGACATACCATATTATACGAACCATGAGGGACACTGTCAATAAATTGCCCATTTTGTTTTTTTATTCATACATGACGGCATGAAACGCATTGGGTTATAAGACACAACAGTATTTAAAGCAATACCGGTACTGGTTTTCAAGTGTATGCAATAAAGCTTATTAAGGCACTATCCATTCAATAGGAGCTTTGGCTTATAAGCCGCATGATCAATTTTTGAAAAAAACTATTTGAAGTGCTCCTTATGGTTTGTAAAATACAGTGTATAGTATTTTACTATGCCAAATCTTTTTCTGTATTTTTCCACTATTTTAATTTTTGGTATAGCGATGATTTTAGTTTTTTTTGGACATCCTGGTTACTAAATGTTTACATACTTTATTTTCAGACTTTTATGAGGTATTTATCAATAGCAGGAGAAATTATTATTTGACGTTATTACGAAAACTTGATATTTTATTTTATGATACAAAGTAAATAAGTGACATTTTTCTCATTTTTCAGGCGGAAAGAAGTGGAAGAACATCTTCATGAAAACGAAAGAATTGCAAGTTTAACTGTGTTTCCAAGGTATGGTAAATTACTTAGCGGTCAGACCGTTAAGCAAAACTATGATGTCATCATAATTCATAAGTATTTCTATTAAACCTTTATCAAAGTTAGACTCTTATCACAGGTGTCGCTGCGCTACAACCAACTTTGGTTTTCTGCGTCACCCTTCACCGAGAAATGTCATTTTCAACTTTTTTTGTTTTCATTTTTGTTTGCAATAAGTGCTTCATTTTGGTGAAAAATAAACTACTGACTGTTAAAGATCTCAGCTCCTATGCTTACCGCTTTGCGTTATTTGGTAGGCATTGCTGAACGATTGAGTAGTCTTTTATATATCAGCCTGGAGACCTGTTCAGACTGAAAGTAAAAAATACTGAAAAAGGAATTTAAATTAATAGCAAATACAAAATATTTCTGGTTTATATTGACCTACATGAAATCTGTTCGGTGGTTGCTTTTAAAAAACCTGGGAAATGGATAAATCATTACTAATGAAGTTTTCAAATGATGATTAATTTGCATCAAAATCAGTTGTAGATTTTTATAATGCAATATTTCGAATGAGTGACCAATGAGTTCAATTTAGAGCAAAACCAAGATATAAAACAAATTTTCAAATTTATTCTAATACAAGTTTTATTGCAAAAACGGGTAATGTGTCGTAGAAAAATAGTAATTTCGACTAACTTGATTTTTTGCAGTCGGATAATTGTTTTCTGAAAATATTAATTTTCAATTTCTTTTAAACTAAATTCTTGAAAAAAACATAATTTTCCCCTATTTTAGTTATTTAGATTATTTCATAGATGACTATTATACCTTACAAAAATTGATAAGATCTATAATTTCTATTTTGCTTAGTCATTCTCCCATATATTTATAGCTTGTTGAGTCATTGTCTGGTCCAAGTAAATATTTTTTTGTGTTAGGGAGATTAAGCTAAGAAGCCTTACAGGTAATTCCTGGGAAAAAATAATGTTGAAACTTCTGTTAAAGCAAACTATAAAATATATGGCAAATTTGAAATTGAGTGAAATAAGTGCAAGAAAATTAAAGTTTATTTGAGCTAATCATGTGTTTTTTAAATGTAGTAAACTGCTGCAAGTTCCATAATTTACTATTATGATAAATGGCTTTATCAAAACTGCAGCTTTTTAAAAAAATTGGTCTCAGTATCATCTCTATTGTTGAAATATATGAACATTATGTCTTACAAAATATAGCAATAATGTTTGGCATTTGCAAGAAATATAAATCAGTATATTTTTATATACACAGGCTTGAAGAAAATCATTGCTTTCAATTTATCATGCTTTTGTATCCAATCAACTTATAATATTTAAAACAGCATTCTACAAATATCTCATTATTTAAATCATGTTGATTATAAATGCTTCCTAAGATGAATTCAAGGATAAGTTCATATTTCTAGACGTTATCAATAAAACTTTCAATAAGGTCTGGCTTTTTCTGTTGTGTTCATAATATTATTGTTTCCTTAGGAAATAAAAATGCAGAGAAGTTGTGACAAATAACTGTCAAATATGTCTGGGAGAATTTATTTGTCCTCAACATGACTAAGCATTTTTGAGGCTTGAAATAATTTGATGCCTCATGAAAGTTGTAATTATGGAGTGTCTGTTGGGAGAATTTATTTGCCTCTTCAATTTAGAGATTAGTATTATGAGATGTCTATACTTAGTTTAAAATCCTAAAAACTTCACTAAGTACGGTAATAGAATCATCTATGTCTTTCCTTGGTAAATGGTAAATTTCTGTGTTTTAAAAATAATAATGAATTAATGTATAGGAGAGCAAGTCATGCTAAATATTTTTAAGATATGGATTAAATTGACATCTCGTCATAAAAATTATTTAGTCACTAGATATTGTAATTAGGGATTTGACTTTTTGATTCACCAATCGATTCGAATCGTCTCATTTGCGAACCGATTTGAATCAGATTTCAAAAAAGGATGGTATTCCGGAGAGAAACAAATACCCTTATCAGCGGCTATCGAAAGTGTTTATGTCGCACTCTCTATTACACCGAATAACGGGACAAAAATTCAGAAGAATTTTCTTGATTGAATTTTACCGAGCGGTATTTTATTTTTGAATTCCTTGCAAACACTCTTTGGTTTTGCACATCACCCGAGATGTTGTGTGGACATAATTTCCTGTAAACCGTCAGTTCGATCTTCCATTGAATGGTCCAAGTTTCCATCGTACATGTTATTAAATAGATCGTATACCTGGAAACTTGTTACAATTTTGATGAAAATCTGCATCAGCACACCTGTTCACACCTGACTAAATTGAGGTGCGTTCTGGCATGAATGGAGAAAAAGTCAGCTATCGACTACACAAAAATGTTCAATTCTGATTAAAATTTAATTTTAAGTTGCATTTAGATTGAATTATTTGATGTATATATTGGGCAAACCATTACTAAACAAGTTTAGTGGCCATGTTAATTTTTAATCATGTTTTTTATCCTAAAAGTACATATGTGATCTATTTTATTTGCATTTGTTATGCCACCATGGCATCACTCCTGTGGCGGTTAACGAAATGAGGGGAGACATAATGTGAACATAGAACATATGCTTTTCTTCTATGCTTGTTACATTGAAAGAAATGTTGTCGAAGTATTTTTTTTTCTTTTTCCTAGCGTGCGCAAGTAGGGAATAAAACTTTTTGGGATTATTTCGACCAAATCTCATAATAAGCAGGTGGCAGTAGATAATACTTGAGAAATGGCAACTTTGTTCTATTTAACTAAAAAACTTAATCGAAATCAATCCAGAATGTTTTCTATATTGTCCCCATGGTAACATAATGGTATTATTACCAGTAGGTATAATAAATTGCTATTTGTCTAGAGCAGCATTTCTCAATTTTTTTTTGCCACGGACCTCTCACGCTTTTTATCTCAACTCGCAGAATACCAACAAATTATAAGGTAAAATTGATGGATGGGTCGACCCAGAGTGCCTGAAGTACGACAGAGATCGCCATGGTGACCAATTTAGTTGCAATTTTTATCCCTGTTTTGAGAAACATTCTGAATGGGCTTGCAGAACATCGGTGTTTTGCAGAAAACAGTTTGAGAAAGATTTGAACGCATTTTTTTGATATAGCAGATGACATTTTTTGTCATCAATATTTCTGCCTGTGTGTTTATTTTCATCACCGCAGAACATAAATGGATATGTGCGATATTTATATCTAGCTAAGTACAGCGAAGACAGATATTGCTTGCTTGGTTGCAAATGAATATCATAATTCAGTTGAGATTGCGTGCAGGAATGTTATGAAAGTCCCCATACTCTTTAAGTAAAAGTTCTAAGATGCTGGTATCATGTATGTGACATGTTTTGTTCTTTATGTAGGTCATTATGATAGATGAGATGTATTTTGCCTGGTTGACAATGAATCAGAGTTCTTGTAACTGTATAGGTGTTGACAAATGAAAATAGGACATTTGAATCATGTTCCTATCACACTATATTGAGAGATTTTATATTGTGGTCTCTATATTTGTCAATCTTCAATATTGTCACGAAATGGTTGGACTATATCCCCGCACATAAGCCAAATTTTAAACAAACAAAAAAAGTTGCCAAATTAAAGGGTCGGCTTATACGCGCATGACTCTGATCATACTTAAAATTTGACTAATAAGTGCATAACTCTGATTGCACTAAAGGGTTTGACATTGATAGTGAGGATGAATATGAAGGTTTCTGAGACACTTTTACCATTGTTGATAAAAGTAAAACATAACAGTAGTGATTATTATTTTGATTTATTCTCTGTGTCACGATTTGTAGGGTCAGCTTATATGCAATTTTTTATAAATTCACTGTTTTGAGGCCGTTTTTAGGGGGTCGGCTTAAGTGTGAGGATCTATGGTAACTATGCTCTCATCGCAGACTACAGATCACCAATCAAAATTCCATGTCCAGTACCTCACATAATGGTTTAACAAATTGTGTAGTCAATGCTTGTTATGTATCAATGTAATGGACGCTTTTTTTTGAGATAAGTTATGGGAATTCTCATAAAAAAAATTTAGTTTTATAATTTTTGAGCCAAGCAGTTTAATTAAAATCGAAGGGTTTCGAATTTTGTTTGACTCAGTTGTTTCCCAGCTCAAATTTTTAAAAATATTCTACCTAGAAATGTAACAATCTAATCATTTATTTATTTTATAACATCTATTACAAGAAGTTGTTATGATTGTCACTTCTGCCTTGTGACACATTGGTGACAATGCTAAAATATTATAACATGGTTTCAGTAATAGTAATTCCACATATGTATTACATAGAAAACTATGCATGTTCAATACTGATTAATAAAATGTTATGCAGGGGAAAGTGTTTTATATGAAAAGTAATTCATAGCATTTCCCATACAACTGCAAATATGAACTATGCCACAACTTCAAATACAATAAAAGTCAAACAGAAATTTATTGAACCAATAAATAGTAGTTTATGTGCTCATTAGCATCATCTTGTGACCAGATTTTTGTGCTGCTTGTACTCTCACAATATTTGGTTAAAATATATAAATTTACAAAGGTGTGGTTATCCTATGAGAGTTATAATGAAACTCAAAAGGTAGCTATCAATAATACCTACCGGTAATAGAAAAGGCAAATGCACTTTTTGAGTGTAAATTATGCCTCTTATCTTCCATAAGTTTAGCATTAATAGTCTACAAACAATCGTAGTATCTATATCGCTGTTAAATATTTGATTTGTAAGGTCGTTATCTAAAAATACATCAATGATTTGTTCACCAAAATACCAACCGCAGACAGCAAACAGACATAAGAGCACTTCTATATATATACTCATAAAATATGTCATTTATACTAAGCTGGAATGATGAGTTAGACCAGTGGTGGACCATGTCTTGAGGCGTGCCTTACCATTATCTGGTGTTTGGTTGTATATATCAGTGCTCCGCAACCTTTTTTAACTTGCGGCACACTTATAAAACTTGCCAAATTTGACGGCACACCACAACAAACGAAAAATACAAGGTGTAACTTTGTTTCATGTTCATATACTAATGAGAGATTTGTGGTTGTTTTAATGAGCACAATCGCTCTATATTAGGATCATTACGTGACCCGCAATCAATATTGCAACACGATAACTAGCTCCTAATGCTTTTTCGGAGACTGTAAAAGACGACTTCACAGAGCACTCTTGCTTCTTTTTTTGACTTAACAATCGCTGAAAATAATTTATATTCTTGCGTGCATGAACGGCGTGTTTCGTATTTAAGTGGCGCATAAGTTTACTCGGAAACATTGCTTCATTTGAAAGTTGTTCCCCCCAAATAACCCAGACTGGTTTTGGAGCATCTCCGTTACCACAGCAAGAAAATTCATATTTGACGTAATCTTCCCTGTATTTCCTTTTGACAAAAAATTTTTTTTTTCCAACGTTGCTTTTGATAGGTACAATATGTTGCTCAGTATCAGCTGTTCTTTTTAAAAATGTATCCATTTTGCTAAACTTTAACGTTCCTTGACCTTTTAATCAAAGACCACTGCACACTGATTCTGCAAACTCACACTTTATTTATATTCTTTTACTACACGTGCTATGTCTTAGCCTCGACAATAGGCTTTACAATATACATGCTTGTCATATAGGCATACTCCTTGTTACGTCATAAATGCACAGTGGGGGGTGTCAGGAATTTGAATTGGTGTTGCTCAAGCTTACGTACGCCGCGGCACACCGGTTGAGGAGCACTGGTATATATAGAAGTAATATTTACTTCAGTATTGAATCATAGGCTACTATAATGACTTTGCAAAATGTTCTTAGCATTATGATAAGTCTAAAGCAGGGGTCAGCAACCTTTCGAACACAGAGTGCCAGTTTATGAATAATAAGCAACTTCGCGTGCCAAACATTTTTATGTATTCGGTTTGCATCATTTTGTTTAAATATAGAACATCAATGAATACGAGAAAGCACCTAATTTTGTAGTAGAACTTTTCCTCCTTAGCATAAATAATTTTATACATCTTAACTTACTTAATTTGGCTGTGGGTAACAGAGGACAGATAGACCAGGATTTGAGTACTCCCGTAGTGTGTGTACCAGGTTAGGGTCAGGCCATAATTTTGTTCCAATTTTTCTTATTTTAGTTCTATTACGAGTTCGGGGATCGTCTGTGTTAGCCAAGTGAATATACCCCCTGCCCATAGGTTTCAGTCCCTTTACACAACATTTGCCACCTCCATATTGGTACACAAACTCCTGGAGCGCCAGGATTTGAACCTGTTATCTCAATCTGTTTAACTATTCCAAATCGTTTTTTTACAATAAAAATTATTCATTTTAAATGATCCATATTTTTCCTTAATATTACCTTTATTTTTGAAGTGTGCACTTCAAAATCTAGGTAAACACCGTAGGTACTATGTATTGATCGATTTTGTCTATTGCAGGTTGGGATGTGACAGCTTCACTCTGCCTGAACATAAAATAGAAGGTCCAGAGAGTAATCCAGTTTCCAGATCTTTATTCTATCCTGATGGTGCTATTACGAGTCATCCCAGATTCTCGTGAGTAAATGTAAATTACAAGCAAATCGTTTTTAAATTACAATGTATTGTTCAACATAACAAAGTCCACAAAGATTTCAATTTAAATGAACGTTTTAATTACTACTTTTTCAAATATGGCTTTTCGATATGTAATAATATTATTGTTTTGTGAAACTTCATTTGCTTTGGTATATACCAAGATTTTACTGCAAAATACATCCATTTAGGTTACTGAAAATCAACATATTTTGAAGCTTGTGTTTCCAGAATTCCAAATTTGTATAGAAAACATTATCTCTAGTTTCTACTCACACTCAAGTGAGAACTGGATTTTGTTTTGCGTTGCAGTTCTATTAAAATGAATTCAATATTTAAGAATGTTTTATCATTTTCCAATGTAAGATAATCCGTTAATAAACTCACTAAGAGATGAAAAAGTCTCATCTCTAAGCGAAGTTAGGAGGCACGCCACCAAGATACCAAGACCTACTGAAACTATACCAAATTAGAATGGTGCAGTACATACCAATAATACTTAATGACTGAGACCCACGTCAATACGACCTTGAAATCAGATACCGATATAAGGTACCGCAGTGAATTCCGCGTAACTAACCAATACCATAATAACTATTTACAGACTTCTAACAAGAAATATTCGTGAAAGAAGAGGAAAAAAGGTTGCCATCAACGTTCCAAGTATGTACAAAAATTCATCCTCAATTTTTTCAACACATCAATTGATATGTGCCATTGAATTGGCGAAAAATCATAAGAATATGCAACTCTTCCCGTATAAATCATGAATGGCTTTCTATACAGGAAATAGCTACTGCATTTTGTTCATCATAAGGCGTGCATCGGCTCACATTTCATAATAAAGGTGCACATTGAATAGAAGATAGATTTCGTAATTTTGTAAACTTGACGTAAGCGTAAAACAGCGTAAAGTTCCCATTGAACAAATTGCGTAATATTCCAAAATTTTTGACATGTAATATGTATTACAGGATGCGTCTGACAGTTGCATCCTTCAGTTTGAAGAAATCATTCCATTTTGGATAGTGCTACGTTAATATAATTGAGCTGTCTGAGCCAGTCGAACATATTTGTAATAGTCGTGGGTTGTGGCGTATCCGTTACAGCCTTATCTATGATGGAATCACAAAATAAAATCTCAGAGTAAAATCTTATGCCAACCACCTCATCCAACGTGTAATAAGTTGGGTGGGCAACCAAGATTGTAGTAGCCAGCCCAAAAAGGTTTTTTTTTGGGGGGGGGGGAATTTGCCTTTTGCTCCAACATCTTTAGATAAAAGCAGCCACTGGTATCTAACGATATCTGGAAGAATCTGTCCACAGACTTAAGTCGCTGTCGAAGTTATCCAAGCTATATGTGCGCGCATCTTCATCTATCTTGGTTGGGTAATTTGGAGAAGGGATGATTATTGATAGTAAGCCTGGGGTAAATCATTCTATAAATTGTAAAGAAAAAAGCAAAAGGGTGCTGAAAAAACGTAAGAACTCATGTTTCATTGCAAATGTCGCAAAATTGAATTAAAAAAATAATTCTCCACAATTTTAGGGGGCAGACATGGGCCCCCAAGGCCCCCTGGCTACGTCCATGTAGGCAATGCCATAATGGGTTAATTTCCAGATCTTCTCAAAATTGTAGCTTTCTACATATTCATTGACTGGTTTAACACCCTTGTTCGGGGTAAAGGTGTAGAAACGCCTAGAAAAAATTCATGGTCCGTTTGCTCACTCTATGCTTGGGTTGCCGCACTTACTTCAATTTTCTGATGTTGATCGAGTTTATGTCGGGAGAGTCCAACTTCAAGCACGATGATACAAAGGATGTATAATAGTTTGATGAACTTGAATCATACAGGATTTCCTAAGCAATCAACACACCGTGTAATATAATCATAATGTATTATGTAATACTTCCTGTCAGTTTTGTGATTAGTTTTAATCTTCGATTATGCACATGATTTAAAGTTTCAAAAATAGACAAAAAGTCGTCAAAAATGTGTTTCAACATTTTGCTCTAGAAATTAAAAAAATTAGCCAATTTTATTTAATAGGATTTTAATATGGTATATTGGGCGCTCCAGAAGTGTGTGTACCAATATGGAGGTAACTAATTTTGTTCGCCTACTCCACATCAAGTTATGTAAAGGAACTGATTACTATGGGCAGGGGGTATATTCACTTGGCTAACACAGACAGTCCCCGAACTCATAATACAACTAAAATGAGGTAAATCGGAATAAAATTATTGCCTATCCCTAACCTGGTACACACGCTACGGGAGTACCTTATATTGTTAGATTTAAAATTTTAGAATCATGCTGATAAAACTTTATTTACGTCAAAATTTTTGGATGCGTCTGGTAATTGTTAGTAGAAACTTAATCAGAAAATAATTTTGGTTGAGATTTACCGGTACCTTGGCATATATTTTACTACTGATAGACAAAACTGAAGAGCTGGAGTAAAATCTGGAATTGCAATTGTTTTATTCAATGTTTAAACATAAACTCCAAAAGCAATAAAATTACTAAACGGACTCAACAAACCATTGAAGAAGAGTTGAATGTGAAGAACTTTTTGTTATTAAAATTTGTTTTTCTTGTATTCCGTAGCTGAGGTCGAAGTCAATTTTTTTTGATCCACGCTTTGGCGTTCGAGTTGCTTCTAAATGGCGTATGACAGTGTTTTTTTAGCTTTGTTTCATATTCATCAAATACACATTTCCATAATGTCTTCATTGTTTGCCATTTTTGGACACAAAGTGTACATATGGATAGATTTGTTATTAATATGTTGATAGGTATGATGCACGCGATATCTCACGAAGACGAGGTTGAATCTGCTCCAAATTTTGCATGTGCATTCATCATATCTTGGACCAGAAGCCTATCGATTTTGGATGAATTATGTCGTATAATTAGCGAGTTATTAAATAATTAGTGATGGGACACGCGGTGTCACCGCAGTTTCGATTGATAAGTCTTTGGTCTCCGACCAATATTCTCGGCATTATGTTGTTGATGTTCTTTTTGGTATTTTTCCTCTTTTTGTTGTGAGAAACCACTGAACCATTGCATTCAAAATTTCAATGATTAAAGATTGAATTTTCCACCAGAAGACTATTACTTTTATTTATTTCAAAACTTTCTGTGGGCTTTATGGGATTCGTTTTTCATTTCAAAAATACGTGTGATGACCTTTTCAAGATTGAGAAAAAATATTTATAGCGGTTCTGCGACCTCTCCCGAGTTACCCCCGTGTTACGCGAAAATCTGAAGTTTTTGACCATACCGGTCGGCAACCTCTTGTCGCCTGCGGGTCAAAATTAAGGGTTGCAAGTCATTGACGGGCCGCACATATTTTTAGAAAGTTGAAAACCGAACTGATGATACTTTTTATTAAAATAATCAAGCCGTGATACATCTTTCGAATAGAATATAGTTTTTTTCCTCTGCATTGCATCTCAAAAAATTCCATTCGAATATTTTCGGCGCCATTGAACCCTTATGCACTTAGCATCAACTTCTCTGCGTTTTGTTGTCAGTTGTCTAATTATAATTCAGTTATAGGCTCATTGAACGAGTAATTGTGAATTTTATACTTGTTAGATTACAATATAATTTAGTCTACACGTGGCTCACAATAAATTCTGTTACGTGAAGAATATAATCGGCAAAACAGCTGTTTGGTTACTATAATTCAGTGAATCCCGCCCACGGGCCATAGGTTGCCAACCCCTGCCGTACAGTACACTAGGTAACGCAAGGTCCTGTATTAGGCAAGGTGGACAACTGCTTCTCCATTGTTCATATATTTGAATGTCCCTCTTTTGTGCTCATTCCATTCTTTATTTTATTACAGTTTTCAAAGATGTCAACACTCCGTCACCATTTCAAGAAACATTTCCAAATCCTGAAGCAAATGCCGCTTCCAAGCCTGATCATATATACATGGATTGCATGGGATTTGGAATGGGAAACTCTTGTTTACAGCTTACATTTCAAGCTTGCAATATAGATGAAGCAAGGAAGTTGTATGATGAACTAGCAACCGTTTGCCCACTAATGGTTTGTTCATAAATTTCATTCTTTCAAAATTTATCCCCATTTCAACTAAGAGCAAAAAACCTAAATTCAGTTTTTTTACTATTCTTTTTACATTTACTATTTTACTATCTTACTATTTACTATCTTATTCTATTATTTTCAAATACAAAAATAACTGGTTAACTAATCCCATACGTTACATGGACTGGTTACCCGACAAGAGGCAATGATATGCCATATGGTTCAGCTCCCCTGGAACTACATCGAGCACATCAGTTTCTTTACTTAATGTATTGCAGACTCCACCGATTCAACGAGTTCGAAACAATTATTAAAAATAATGATTTGATTGGTTCTCTACTTTTTACTACTTTCCTAGTAGTGGACAAACCCGTTTTTGTGTGCTGAAAAACTTCAATTGCCCAAAATGATAATTTTTGAATGAAACTATTCCTAAAATACAGACATAATAATTTGTTTTGATTCGACAGTACTTTTAGTACATCCCTAGTTCGAGTTATTTCTTAATTGCCTTTTTACTTTTAGTTAGCATTGAGTGCTGCTTCTCCAATATTCCGAGGCTATCTTGCTGATATTGATGTTCGGTGGAACGTTATTTCCGCAAGTGTTGATTGTAGAACTGATGAGGAAAGAGGTTTAAAACCTCTAAAAAATGACAGGTAAGGAAGTGGATGTTTCCATATACATTGACTTCCTCGTTTATTTCCTTATCAACATTGGCTAATGAGCAATAACTTAATTATGACATTACGTTCAGACTTTTTTTACTGCTCTTTGTCAGTTTTTAAAATGTTATAGAAATATTAAAAAACTTAGCAGTCAGTTTTGTCTATGCGAAAGTTTTAATTCAATCAGGAAACGGTGTCAAAAAGCTTGCATTGCTTTCTAAAGGCAAGTAATTTAATATAATAAATGGAAATGGTGTAAACACCAGTGAGAACAATTTTCTAAGAACAGCATATATTTTTGCAAATAAAGTATGGGAAGAATTTTTTTTCAAAATTCTGGGAAACATCCATTATCCAAGTCAAAGAGAGATTTATACACATTCTCTTTTTTCCAAATTCTATTGTCCATTGGCCTAATGATTACTCTCTGCGACTTTGCATGTTTGAATCATTGATATGACTGTATGTTGTAATTTCACTTGTGAAAATATTCATTGTGGTCCCCTTTCTTTCATTTTTCCGAGATCAGTTATTTGTGGAATATGCTCATATGGGATAAGAGCTCTTTTTTGGAATACTATTAAACAGCACTAAAACAAATTAAAAATTTTATTTATATGTTTTGAAACAGCCACTAGATAGCGCCAGAGATCAGAGTATAGCCTTATTTTGCATGATCAAAACTAAGTATGGGCAAGTAATAAGCATTCATGGCCATTCCGCAACTCTCCTTTAGAAACTCCATCGACTTTTAGTTGAGTGTCGACTGGGAACCTCACTTTGAGCGAGCATGTATATAAAAAATTTGCTACTCAATTTTAGTAAATTACATTGACTTATCAATTTATTATAATAATATGATAATTATCCAAACACTCAATTCTTAGGTTTGTGATCAGGAAATCTCGATACGACTCCATTGATAGTTATTTATCGCGTGGTACGAATCTATGTAATGATTTAAATTTGGAAGTAGATGAAGGCGTGAAAAAAAGATTAGAAGACGCAGGTTTGATTTTTTTTTTTTTTTTACTTAATCGTGATCTTCATTGGTATCCTCGTACCAAATTAATGAAGACCATAAGATTGCTAAGCGTATTTACTTTGATTGACATTTAGGCATAATAAATATGCAAAGAAAACTGAGAAATCTGAAAGATGGGTAAAATCACGAATAAAATTTAAAACTATAACCCATGACTTCTTCGTAATCTCCTAATTCACTCAAAAATATTATAGCTTTTTATCTACTCAAATATGGTTTATGAAAGTGAGGAAAATAATAAAACCGTTCTGTCAATTATTGTTATTCTTCTTAAACTGTACACATTTCAGAACAGTAGTAAAATTTACCAAGTTTTGGGTATTTCATGTGAATATTATAACTGCGAGTACAATTACTGCTTGGTTCCTCAATTATGCAATAATGGTTAGGGATGTCCAAAACGAATCAAATATTCCCATACATTCAAAATTCATTATATTCGATATATTAATCTTTGGAATTTAGAAAACAATTTTGTTTGAAAATTAGAGATTTTGAGCCGTCAAATAAGCAGATCAAAACATACTATATTTCAACTGGTAACGGACAACAGAATGGAAACAATTACTTTTATATTTATGTCTTTTCATATATGATTAACAGAAAGATATAATGATTTATGTGGTTTTCCACATGAACTTGCCCCAAGTTTAGAATGTATTCAATATTTTATATTTGAAAATATTTGATTCTGGCCATCTCTGATTTCACAGATCTGAAATTTGTGCTACGATCTTTTATCTAAATGGCTTGGCAATGGCTCTCCATCATGAAGTGTGATGCTAAAAATCAACACTGTTTATTGAGAAAATCTCTTCTCGCAAACCCTTTCATGAGGCCTAATGTCTAACAGTAATTAATACGAAAAAAAAAAAAAAAAGCAGGAAGTTTACAACATGGTGAAGTCCACCAGAGGGAACCTATTTTTATACGATTTGGCATTCTCATTGAGCTAAACTTAATCATCTCATTGTAATTTTAGGTATTGATGAAACACTTGCACAACATATCGCACATTTATGGATTCGTGACCCTATGACATTGTTTTCAAAGAAAATAAATCTTGATGATGCAAACGAGTCCGATCATTTTGAGGTGAGATCATTTTTTTTATAAGTTTAGTTTTTAATCGAATTGTATTTAATGTAAGTTTGTTTAATGATACGTTTCCTAATGATTTTGGTTACCCATACCATTTCATTTTACAAATTTTTTATTGATATGTTAATCAGAACTACTTCATGCAGAAATAGCATCAATAGTCAGTCGTTTCATCAATGTTTTTTCCACTTTTAGTTGACGCCGACAAACTTAATAATTAATTTCTTTGGATATCTGGTATTTTTGTGATTTTGGGAAATATTTATAAGTTTAATATACAAAATGAATTAAATATTTGAAACAATTCAAATTGAATTATATCCAGTGATTTAAATTCTTGGTTTTACGAATAATTTAGAATATTTGATTTAAATAATTATTGTTTTTAGCAATTGGTGTTTCATAGTATGACCTAAAATGCCTCCATTTATTTTTTGAAAACTGATCAAATTACTGTTTATTTTAGATTTCCTGCATTTTTCAAATTCAAACACATTTCAAATTCATTAAATAATTCAAATATACACTTAAAATGACCCAATTTTAAATATATCCAATATTCCTTATTCGAAAATATTATATTAAAATTTTGGCCTTCCCTGTAATTTATTATAAAATTTGTTTCAACTTCTTTTTACTAATTTTAATTTTTTTGCTGGGGGCTGACCACGATCTGCAGCATCCTGTTTGAATTTCTGTGGGAAAAATATATATTGGAATGCAGACAGATCTGGGGGTTTCTGTTATTTTGCTAATGCATTATTCTAAAATGCATTTTTGTTTATATGTTAAATTTGCAGACCATTTTTCAATAACTTAGGCCTCCCAAGGAGTCCTACCACAACAAAATTTCCCATTTTACATTTTCAACATTCCGCAGTGAAAAAACTTTTCCCAAAGCAGCTACTGTTTACGACTTTCGAACGGAAAATCCGTCTCAGATATTAAATTTCACTGATTCTCTATTTGTTTTGACAACTTTCCGCTTCTTACTTCAACAGAATCTACAGTCAACGAATTGGCAGTCAATGAGGTTCAAACCACCGCCACCAAAATCTTCCATCGGATGGAGGGTTGAATTTCGTGTTTGCGAAGCACAGCTTACAGATTTTGAGAATGCTGCTTTTGTTGTTTTTATCGTTCTTCTCACCAGGGTCATTCTCACTTACAAACTAGAATTTCTCATGCCTATTTCTATGGTAAGATTTTCTGACTGTAAATATATTTGAAGGCAATTTTATCTGTTTTCCCATAATTACTGCAGGCTTAACTGCAATTGCAAAATTGACCTCTTTGTTTTGAAAATTTCCCTTTTTGCGATAAAAACATGGAGAATGTTTTTACATTCTTTGCTGTCATGCGTAAGGTGAACTCAACTGTATGACAAGGAGCAGTGAAACAATATGTTTTTTTGAATTGTATTTTTTGATTATATAATTTCTTTTTAAGGTATAGCTAGATTTTTCAGGAAGATTTACCGGAAAACTGCAAAATCATATTATATGTCTTCATTGATATTAAATAAATTTGGATTCCACTTTCCAGTAATTTCAAACCTTTATGTAAATCATGGATAATTTATCAGTCCGATTGTATTTCTTCTATAGGTTGATGAAAATATGCAAGAAGCTCACAAAAATGATGCTGCAAGAAAAAGCGAGTTTTGGTTTCGCAGAAACGTACAAACGAACGATTCTCCACAATGTTGTTCATGTTTGTTTAATAATAGTTGCAATTTATCGGACATTAAAGACGAAATGTACCAAAAAATGTCGTTGGATACGATTGTAAATGGAAAGGTGGGTAGTTTTTATTAATCAAGTGTAGAGATGGTACTATGGAATGAACATCAAATATAATTTCCTTCCAATTGGCATCTATTCCCGAACTGCTTGTTTTTCACGTCTAGGAGATTTTGCTTATCTTACAGGTATCATAATAGACTGTGGTCCTCCCGAACTTTCGAAACTCGTCGCTCCAAAAATTTTTCAGTTGTCATACTCGACTGTGAATTCCCTCTCGTTTAACATTCAGTGTTCCTACCATATGGAAAAAAAAAATATGCCTAAATTTTTTCTTTGAACTTACAGCTGTTTTCATAAATGTACTGACATAAAATGTCAGTCTTGAGTAAATCTGTATACATAATTCTCTATAGTGCCAGTAGCACTTGACATTTTAGTGGTTATTTATTCACTCCGATATCAATCTTCTAAATTGATGAACGAATGACCTTGCTCAGGCAAATTTTCTCATAAAAAAATGATTGATTTCCTGCTTCGCAGATGGTATATTGGGCTTCATATATCAATGCATAACTAGGGTATAATTATAATTACGGTATGTGAGATTATTTGTTTTCAATTTTTTCAGCCTGACGTGTTTCCTGGTTTTATACCTTTGATCAAAACGTATTTAAACAATGTTGAAGTTGATATTGCTACTAGATGTAGTATTACAGAATATTTGAATCTCATAAGCAAAAGAGCTTCAGGTAACCGTTTCGTTAGTTTTTTAATTATTCAACTCGAATAGCAAATAAACTACGATTCTTTCCATTTTTAATCCTCTAACTACAAGAAGACCCAAAAAACAGAACCCAGATTGAAACGTTGTTCAATAACATAACTTTCGTGCGAAGCGTCCTAGATTACTGAAATTTTAGGTACAATCATACACGAACAGAAGTTCGAATTTTCTACATTTTCGTAGAAGAAATTATGAAATTTATGGGTTTTGTTTTTGGGGTCACCTTGTAAGTCTGGGAATGACATGTATTAGGCGAAAAATCAATCACTAATTTAATCTCTTTATTCGCCACATGATAAGGCACAAAATAAAGTTTTTTTTATATTTCGTTAGGTGAATATCTAACTACTGCTCAATGGATGAGAGATTTTGTTCTTTCGCATAATGAATATAAAAAAGATTCGGTTGTGACTGATGGTATTACCTATGATCTTCTGTGGAAGTGTGACCAGATTGCAAAAGGCGAGGTCGAAGACACAAAACTTTTTTGCAAGCCGAAAAACAAGAGCAGCTACTCTATGCCCCCTGGAACTCGACGTCACAACACTCCAAAATCTCATATGGTCAACGGCAATTCCAATGGAGTTTAAAATTTTTGATAATTAATCACAATCTGAAGGACTACTAGCAATTTTAACCTTTTTTGCACTATTTTTTCTGATTTTGGTTTATATTCAGTTTCATTCATATTCCTGCTGTCATGTGAGTCAATAATATTAAGTATGTCAACACTGGTATAATATTATAAATATAATTGGGACCAAAAAGTATCTGGGGATGAACTGAATTTGAAGTATTTAAAATAGAATCAATAATGCAATTGTGTGTTTCGAAAAAAATTTTCTTCTCCGTAACATATTTTCATATCTTGTATGTATGGCTTATGGACAAAAACGTGGATACCATGTTCTCTTTATGAGGCATAATATTGATCACACTATTTTATAAAATATTGGTACATGTTGTATACTTCATAATGTATTTAATAGTTTGCTTATTAATAATTCGAATTTTAGAATATCCTAGTTGTCGTTCACATAATTGCACGCTCACATTTTGGCAAACCTCCTAATGTTGTATTTAGACTTAGTGATGCCAGAATGCCATCTTATCCTTTTGAAACGAAGGGGAATCCCATTTAACCTCTGTGCCCAGGATATCATTCATCAATTCCTGCCTGGCCCCTTTGGTAAAGAATGGCTTCAATATGCTGTTACAATCCAATTCAGATATTTTAATTGTTTCGTTACCTGAACAATGAAGATATGCCAATACATAAAAGGATAAAATTATCATCAAGTTGTTCAATTCCCCTTTAAAAATTTCTGTCTTATTGCTGAATGTTGTAAATTTCTATTATTCAAATTAACCTAAAGATTTTTTTAATTGTTGTCGAGGTTTATGGAAATTGTGTAATTTTATTAAGTAATTTTCAAATACATTTATCTGAGTTTCCTTTACTTTGAGAACAATGTTGCAAATTTTTTTCCATATAAAACATTGCGGGTTATTTAGATATTTTTTGAAACTGTGGTAGTCTATCCAATATAAGGAAGATACTTGGAATTATTGATGTGATACAACAGCATTCAAATTTGTTTCTTTAACACCGCTTTATTTTTTTGAGAGGTATCAAATTTCTGTGTTAAAGGTTTTGTTTAGTATGTATACAAAAATACACCATTTAAAAATCTATTCGGTTTCGCTTATGTGGATTATACCTGCTTCTTGCAAAGTTGGAGAAGTTCAGCTTGAATAAGATTTCAGCTGTTCATGGGCTAACTCCCTGTTTGCTTCAGTGATATAATAATGTAATTCTTCTTTTAATTCCATAGCAAAGGTGTTCAGTCAGTGGAAAGATTTTTGGTCTTAACTTGTATTCTTGGTTATTTTCTGACCTTTTTCTCACAGTTTTGCCATTTTTTGTTCATGAAAAATATTTGTCCAATTATATAATATATCTTGCTTGTTATTCATAATTACTCGTATACCTCAGACTATGTCCCATGTACAGTGACAATTGAGCCAAAGGTATTTATACCCAGAAATTCTAGTAAGATAAGAATATAGATTTATATTTAAATATGCATCATTTTTAAATACAATCAGAAAATCGTTTTCTTATACAATTGTATATGAATAGTGAAAACATTCTCATATGAATTATGGATCAAATTTATTTTGTGAAAAAAATTTCCAATTTTATAAATTAGCACAAATAGGATAATTTGATTTATTACATAAAAAATTGCGTTTTTTTTGACTCTGAAACAATGGAAAAAAGTTTGTGACTATTGCCGTTACTGTACAAATGCATTCTACTGGATAAACCTAATTATTTTAGCAGTAATAGAAATAATACAGAGTGTTAAAAAGTTACGTCGAATTAGGGTAAAATTTTTCGTCATGGCAACGTTGAAAAGGTAACTGTTAAAAACAGCAGTTGTTAAATGTTAAAATGCCATTTCATCGTAATTTAATACTGTTAAAAGGTGTCGGTCGATAAATGTTTTAAGTAGCATTTCTTTTTAACTTCTGTTAATTTTGCGTTACTTTTTAACAACCTGTATTATAGTAGTATACGATGACTGTTTTTCTACAAATCTCCAAGCTTTCTTAATTGATTTTCTTCGATATCCGTCCTGCAAATTACTTTCAACCAGCCGCATTTGTAGCTTCAACTTTTCATGGTTGGTTTGTTGACTGTCAAAACATTTAAAGAAAAAATTCTGTCAATCATCCTGTTTTGAACAGATTATAAAGTAATGGAGAATTATGCATTCACTGAAAATTGTCTTCACAATTCACCCATAGTCCTCATTTTCTTTTGTGTGCATGTTCATCAACATTCCATATATTTTTTAAATTATTATTCGAAAATTAGTTTGCTGTGCATAATTGTGGCAATCCGGTTATTGGATTCGGGTGAAATATAATTTTTTGTGTCTACATTTTGTCTTTGTTTATGGAAGTAAATGTTTTTAAATGGAATATTTCATTTGCCGAAAATCGGGGCATAAATAGACTTAGCCCAACCTCGATCGTAAAGTGGATAAATTTTGTGACACAGGATTTCAGTTGGCACATTTGTTCTATGTTTTCATAAACTATTAAATACAAAAGTCAATTACTTCAAATTTCAAGCATTGACGATACTATGTTATATATTTTAAATTTGCCACTTGTTTTTCAACCTGTTTTTATATCTTGCATGTGCTAGAAATGTAGAATTATTTCAAATGCATGAGATTAGCAAATAGTAATCACAAAATTAAAATTAACTGTTTTATTATACCTTATTTTATTATATATGGTGGTCTTTCATTTCTTTACCTCAAAAATAAATGGATAGGAATCGTTGGTCTCCGTGCAAGGTGTCAGAGTTGTAATGTAGTACTAGTGTAGTTTAGTAGCATTGTCATAGATTAGATTCACATATTATCATTTGCAGTGCAAAATATTCAACAAGGCATCCAGTTGTAGTTTACGAAAGCCAGGGAAATGGCACTATCGCAAGGTTTTGCGTCGCTTGGTTTATTAAGCGAAGAGTTTTTGGCGTTAGGCCTACGCAGCGTTTCAGAGTTAGGTGGTTTATAGTTATAGCGAAGGACATTGAGGTCGGCAACGCTCTAATTTTATGACGTCAGTGATTACGACATGATTGCGTCAACTTTTGGTTCGATATTGGACCGTAGATACCAAGATATATCTTATTTATGGGCATTACAAAGTCGTCTGTTCATTGTTCGCGTGAAACGGTTTTATCGATTGGATTGCGCAAGAGTTATCGTCATGCGTCGACGACGCATTGACTTGTCTCAAATGACGTCGCTGAAAGCGGTCGTTTAGTTGCGAGGTGGCTTGTGGCGAGGCAGGTTGTCCGTCTTCAGACAACAATGTAAGGACGAGTCCGGTTCGACGTCGTAATGCTATAACAGGCGATGAAATGAATGGGTTAGACTTAGACTAATTACAGAATCGGAAAACGAACAAAATAACGTGCTAAATGGAGGAAATTTAAATCTAAAGGTGTTAGGTACCAAGTCTCTAATGATGTTAATTTATTAGACACACACATATTGACATAAACCACGGATAGCCCATATGGTAAAATTACATTTTAGCAATTACAATAGAGATAAATATAAAAATCCTATCCTAATCTCAGAATGTTACAAGTATAAATTTATTTTGACTTCATAATCAGCAGTAGACGATAAAATATTACATTAGACAAAGACAAAAAAAGAAAATAAGTAATAACATACAGACATAAGGTTATTTAGTTCAGTAGTTAAAACGAAAAGTTATGATAACAGACTAATTTTCTTATTACTGTAGTACCGGTAACGGAGTTTAAATTTTGAGCTTGTTGGATTGTATGTTCAGCAGATTTTAAACCATAAATTGAAAAAGCAATAATTGGGTTAGCCCAATATTTAAAATTTCAATAATATTTCAAATCAAATAGCCATGCATACCATAAAATTTCAGTATTTATTTGCCTATTAAGTTCTGTAATGAAATAGTTAAAATCTGGAGGAATTTTCTAAAGTGGAGTCAAAACCTTGTTATTTTAGCATTACAATATTATTGTTTTAATGATAGTAGTAATACAGTAATATCGGAACTAACTTGTCCAAATTAATGATTCGATACACAGATTACGGTACTGAAAATACATAATTGACTAGGTAGTGTGGCCACAGAGTAGTGAATTTAAATATAGTTATATGTATCGTACTTGGGCTTTCATAAATAATTTTAAAGCTTCCATTTGTTTTCATAACTCATCCCAACATTCTGTCATTGGATTTTTGTGTTATGATGAAGACGAATCCTGCCAATGTATGGCTGTAAGGTGCTGATGTAGATAAACCAACCTCTTTAAAATTAATTGACTCGATAATTTAAAACTTTTTCAGAAGATGTAATTTTCAAGAATGTGAAAGCAACAACGCCATCAATATATTTTTGTAATAATATTTAAGTTCACCCAAACTATCACTGTAACTTTATATCAACGATGAATATTTTTGAAAAATATGGAAAATTTTGTGCGAACTATTCTTTGGAAGTCATGGTTTGTTTTGTAACGATGTTTGTCGGAGCTGTATCACTTAATTTACGAAGTCCTTTTGAATTCTGCAAGTGGTCGTTCAACTGTGAAGCAAATGAAGAAGAACTCTCGTCACATGCAAGCAGTGATGCTGTGTTGTTATCAATTCTAAGATGTGCGACGATCCTATACTTTTTCGTCAAATTACGAAAAATTAGTAGCCTCGGATCTGGATATCTTGTAGCAGGAGTATGCATGTGCGTCACATTTGGAGCTATTGTTTTTGCCGCAACGCTGATTCAACTTTTGCATAAAGATTGGAATATTGTTGGAGAATCGTTGCCGATATTTCTACTTTTAATAGATTTGTCTCGAATTGTTATTCTTATTCAACATACTTTAACAGCCAGTACAGTTCTGGCTGTTCAGGATCGAATTGCAGAAGCTATGCAAAAAATTGGACCTGTCGTGACTTTTGACACAATAATAGAAATTTTGGTCATCATTACAAGCAGTACAATGAAGGTGCGCCAGCTACAAGACATCTTTTGCTTCGCCAGTCTTTCGGTATTATTAAATTACATTATATTCACAACCTTCGTTCCTGCTTGTTTAGCAATCTTTTTGGCGATGACACGAAAGCAATCTATTTCAACAATTCCAGAATGGTATAATGAAAAATTTTCAACTGTCCTTGAAAAGGAATGGAATAAGGAAATGAACCCATTAACAAATAAAATTAAAATTCTTTTATGTACTGTTTTACTGGCAGCAAATGGTGCACGAATCTTATTTGGTGATAATTTTCCCCATAATGAACATATGCAGTCGTCTTTCGATTCGGTTTTAACTTTGACGCCACAGCAGTTTTTTACTGTAACAATTCTAATGCTGCTTTTCGGAAAGTTCCTTATGCAAGAAGGTAAATTTCAAAATGAAAAAGTTCAGTCAATACCCCAAGCATTGCTTCATCAAGAGCTTCGTCGCGAAAGCTCGTCTGTATCTCTGCTCTATCAAGAACCAAAGAAGTCCGCTGCACCAAGACCTTCTGCAATTTGTATGGAGTTATTAAAGGAAGATTCTAACTTGCTTACTGACCATGAAATCATTTCTCTCGTCGACCTTGGAAAAATTCAAGTTCATCGTTTGGAAACTACTTTGAAAGATCCAAATCGAGGAGTATATATAAGAAGGTAATCTATTCGAGCATTATATGTAATAATACTCTATGCTCTTATAATATTTTGTGTTGCTTGTAATATCAATATTTTTGAAAAGAGGCATCTAATTTTTGAAAGTTTTTAAATACCCCGATTTTGAATATCTAAATTTTTAGTAATGATATTTGGAAATATGTGTTTTTTATTATTTTATGGATATGATTGAAACTGCAATCAATTGTTAGTCTGTGTTTGGGTCTGCCTGAAAATGTTCATTATTATACAGAAAGGCTACTAGAACAAAAATTACAGTAAAAATTAAATCAAATTAAGTGTCATAAAAAATGTCGATCAGAATTTTTACTCAAATATTTTAGATAAGTTACCATTTACTCGCTTGTTCTTTTTATGGTCTGAAATTTGCCAACATACCTGGGTAAGAATCTGAAATATAACAGTAAAATTATAGTGAATTTGAGTGAGTTGATGCTCTTTGCCAAACCTATATGCTTTTTTATATTCTCAGAAAACTACTCAACAAAAAATTATCAACCGAAGACCAACAAGTTGCGTTAACGCAGGTTCCTTTCGCTCATTATAACTTCAGTAAAGCAACTGCAGCCTGCTGTGAAAATACTGTTGGGTATGTTCCCATGCCTGTGGGAGTTGTTGGTCCACTGCTATTAAATGGAGAGGAATATTATGTACCTATGGCTACCACAGAAGGAACATTACTTGCAAGCACAAATAGAGGAATGAAGGTGTGTTAATTGTTTTCATTCTATCGTTGGATAGTTTACTTAGCGATGTGTTATCAATTGGATTCTTAAGATGTGATATGTTTTGTTTTTGCATATTGTCTTGAGTTTTTTTGAATTTCTAAATATACTTTTGGTTCGCATGATTTCGACTTGACCTAAATTGTCTGGCCTATAAATGACAGCAATTCTTCAACAGATTTATTTGATTTGCCTAAATCAATCTAATGTGAAAAAGACTATGGTTGAAATTGTTTCCATTCATATAATTTCATATTCAAGTTTATTTTTAATATATAAATTTGTATTTTGAGCAATAAATTGTATGCATTGAATAATATTACGTGTCAAATTTTTCAAAATTGAATCTGTAGATGTGACATTATTTATAATGCCTATGCCTAGTGAGAACTCAATTCTTCAATACCTTTTATTCCCAAATAAATTAGACTGTGTTAATGTTATGTCGCATTAAAATTACCTTAAATTGTTTTTTTGTCTGAACACATTTCAAAGAACTGTGAGACTAAGTCTACTACACGAGCTCTTTAATAAATTAGTTGGCATTGCACAGTCTGTTTTATTAAGTAGTCATGCACATCTGTTGCCATCTTGTTCACAATTGATTTTTTATTATCTCCCCATTTTATTCTGGCTATAAGAAGATAGTATTGATTGTACTATAACCTATATAAGGTACCAGGCAGATATCAACTTGCATTTTGGTGTATTATCATTACCAGTGCATTAAATGATAACTTTCTGTATTTGGTTGGGTACATCTTGAACTCGATACTCAAACAATTCGGTAGTCAACCAAAAAGTTATAGTCAAAAATGCTACGGTACTCCAACGGAAATTTTGTGCTCTGATATTCGATCGCACCGCTGAATGAGATCAAACGTAACTGATACAAAATTTTTCATAATTTTCATAAACTAATTACCATTGTTTCTTGTGTCAAAAAAGTTTCGTACCCTAACAAATCGGTAGTCGAACACCAATCCTGAACGAATTATATTTGACTACCGAGTCACTGCACTCCAGTTGTGTCCATATTGGCAATGCATTTGGCTCACTATATTTAGGTGTGGATATGACATTGTAAAGTTGCTATTGAGATTCATGAATCATGATATTCAACTAGTTATATATTTGCAAATTATAGGCTGTTCTTAAGTCCGGGGGTGTAGAGGCAACTGTTTACAGTGATGGTATGACAAGAGCACCTGTTGTGGAGTTTCCAACTTCCAGAGAAGCTTGTGAAATGGCAAGGTATATGTGCGGAATAGGGAATAAACTATATTTTATAAGCTTGCTCACAAATTTAACATGTTTTATGCTTGTCTGAAGAGCAAAAAATTGTGTTAGTGTAATGTGAAAGGGATCCTTTTTAATCGCCTAGGAAATGTTGGATATGTCTGAATATTCACAATGAAACGTTATCCTCTGTACTGCATGGGCCCGAGTTTCTGAATTGAAAAATTATGAATTGCTGAAAGTGAATTATGTTTGGTTGTATAATTGTCGAAATATGAATTGTGTGCAAATTACATCTTGTTGCGAAAATCATGAAAAATAAATAACTGATATTCAAGTCACAGGTTTTATAAATACATTTTATTTCAAATTTTTCAGCAGATAGCGCATGTCGCAATTTTCTTGAATTGAAATTTTTTGGCAATTTTTCATTTTCACATTTTTAAAATGATGATTGAGTGTTCTCCATTGATTTTTATTGTTCTCTTTGACCCTACTTAACTTATAACATGACTTCGCTAAAATTATATTCTAAAATTATTCAAATTTTTGACAGTTGGCTGCAAGATCAATTCAACTTTGAACTGGTGAAAGATAAGTTTGATGAAACAAGTCGATATGCAAGATTGGAATCATTGTTTCCTATTGTCTGTGGAAGATTGCTTTATATTAGATTCAAAGCATCAACAGGGGATGCAATGGGAATGAATATGGTCTCCAAAGGAGCAGAGCATGCCCTTCGGTAAGATATTTATGAAATAATATTGGGCTTTCTGAAATATTTCTAGTTTCAAATTGGTTTCTCACAAGTTTGTGTCAACCAAACTATTACACATGTAAACCTACATAAGCTTGCGACTTTGCTTTAAGAAAACTTATTTGAAAGATTTTCACAATAATATGTTCCAACGTCTGTTATATACATTAGGAATTACTTTTCAGTAAATAATTCGTGGGGTTGATTTAAAATAGTACAAATTGCAGAATATGTTAAGTCAGAATTTCTATTTATTCCATGAAAAGAGAGCGATGGCATAATTTATGCAAATGATATCCGTCATCAATCTCTAAGTTCAAGAGCTCGCTCTTGTAATACTGGGAATAAGGTGTTTTAGAATGTAGGTCATTGCCCACTCATTGTTTCATAAGAAGATGATTTATAGACTGTAGTCCATACTTGAAGAGACTTCGTTCACATTTTTCAAGTAGTTCTTAATCATTACTGCCTTCAGAGAATTTTATGGTAAAACCGGAAAAACAATCTCTCAATATGTGAAAGGTTCATGAAGATATATATGAAGATTTCAATAAACATTAAGATTAATTGACGCTTGATGCAGAATGTCGTTGCTCAAGTGCAATGAAATTAAATTGTCACATTTGTTTCCTGTTTATACACTAATTTACGTCATTCACTTGCCAACCTAATTAATCTTCAGCTTTTTATCTATATGAACTATGTTTCTGCAATTTGTCAGCTGTAATACAGACCTGCATTTTCTCAATGAACATTTCAACATAGATAAGAGACAAGTTTGGTAAATCAGTGTTCAGCAAACTTTATTCCTACTGGGCCAAATATACACATTTACGGTAGCGTGCGGGCTGCATCAATTCAAGCCTATAAAAAATCGAAACATGAAACTTCAGATTATGGCGCACTGCCAACTCACGATACAACTGATGTCACTTGGGTACTCTAATTACTACAAAAGAAATGCCCTACAACAGCTATTGTTACTTACGACATACATCTGTGCGCAGATAATATTAGATTTATAAGGAGCTTTCGTTTTTATGCATTAAAAGTGAAGTCATCGAGGGCCACAAAAAATATATTCACAGGTTGCAGTTTTGCCAAAATTGGTTGAAATGCATAAAATGATTGTATATTCAGCAACCGTGGAATGGAATTTAAATGAAGAGATCTGCTTGCCAATATGAATATTGTCTGAATAATGTCAATTTCTGATTTTACAGGTGGCTACGAGATCTTCATCCAAACATGAAAATAATTAGTTTGAGTGGAAATGTTTGTACTGACAAGAAATCATCTTCTATCAACTGGGTTTTAGGAAGAGGAAAATCTGTTGTTGCTGAAGCAAGAATTCCTGCATCAGTTGTTCATTCAGTTCTAAAAACAAACATTAACGATCTTGTTCACTTAAACACAAGCAAGAACCTTATTGGCTCAGCAATGGCCGGTAGCATCGGTGGATTTAATGCACATGCTGCAAATGCAGTGACTGCAATTTATATAGCTACTGGGCAAGATCCAGCACAAAACGTTGAAGGCAGTAATTGTATGACAATTTTAGAAAAAGTTCCTCCATCTGAAGAATGTGAAGCAACCTTATTAATGACTTGCACCATGCCTTGTATTGAAGTGGCTACATGTGGTGGCGGAACAGCACTAGATGCACAGCGAGCTTGTTTAAATTTACTAGGGGTTGGCGGTAGCAGTTCACAAACTTCAAAGGCTGGCCATAATGCAAGAAAGTTAGCGCAAATCGTCTGTGCCACTGTGCTTGCAAGTGAACTGTCGCTGTTATCAGCTCTAAGTGCAGGCCATTTAGTACAAAGCCACATGAAACATAACAGACTTCCAACACAAAAGCAGAAATCAGAGCATAGTGTTTTGTTTAACTTATAGAATTTATATTTGTCTATCAATTATGACACTTTATGCATGGTGTGTTCTCAATATGCGACCAAAATAAATTGAATATGATTTGTTGTCTTTAAATATTACAGCATTTAAATTGTCCACCTGTAAAATATGGTTCATTGCCACATGCCAGCGTTGATTCTCGTATGGTAACGATGTTAATGCTTGAAAGGTTGAACTGGTTTTTGTAGGTATATAAATTTGTTAGAAGAATCGTTTTTAAGTTTCAACACGGCAGTTTTGGGCTGTATTTAGAGAAGTGTTAAGATTCTTAACTGCCATTTTAACTCCAAAGGAAACACTTCAAGGTCAGTAAAAAGCAATGCTGGGCGGCATCAAGAGCAGTTTGGATCATCTTGACTGAGTCTTAAAATTGGCGACGTCAAGCGACAGAGTTGGAAACACGCCACTTCTCGGGTATAAACAATCAAAGCCGGCATTGTTATGCAAGCGCGCCGCTACTCCGATCATATTCGAAATCGTGAGATTTATGTTTTGCACTAGTTTCAATGAATATCGAAACTGGTGTGTCCTTCGCGTGCCCCTAAAATTCGTCTCTCGACCCCCCCCAGTTTGGGAAACCCTGATTTAGATATCTCAGTTTTCAGACTGAATCACGCTTAAAACAATATCGGTATACATTCTCACATTCATTAGTTTATATTAGCAACCTATTAATAACCCCATTACTTTTTACTAGCAGTTTATGAAACTGAAGTTTCTTTTTTGATTCTCATTTAGAACCCAAAAAACAATTCCTTCATTTATGAATGGTGCAGAAATTCTCGCAAAAAAGATATTGCTATTTACTGTAAATTTCAAATAAATTGGAGGATTTTGTAGAAAAATGTAATTTCAAAAAGTACAACAGAGGAAGATCTATTGATACTAAATGGATTGTTTGTCTAGCCTACAATGGAAATATTCAATAATGGTAGATATGACTAAATAAATTGCCATACAGATATTTTGGACGATTTTACAAAACTGAACCTGAGTAAAATATTTTTCTGCAGTCGGTTTATACACGCAATACCCAATTCTAATAAAAAAGAAATATTGATAATGAAGGATGGGTTTTTAAGGTATATGAACTACTAAATACATATTTGCCATCTCATATGCAAAAATACTGTAGCCTGTTTTTACTCAAGTAAATAAGATTCTTCATATTTTTGGGCTCCACAATAATGAAAGTGTCTCATTAAATTTAACTGTTTCACAATAATATTTTGATTTGTAGTTCATCTTGTGAAATATGTATGTGGCAAAGTTTGCGCCGGGCCTCCAGATTCATGCTTGCGGCCCTCGTGGTAAGTTGAGTTGTGCAGGCCTGTTTTAAACCATCAGTTTGATACAAAACATTCCACTACCTATAATTTAAAAGTACCTGTAAAAAAGTTTAGCCTAGTCCTAGTATATCACAACTATTTTAACTCATTTTGATTACTGCAATTAAACTGAAAATCCTGAACAGGCAAAATGGCCATTGAGTTGTTGGGCTCGTATTTAAGTTTCCGAAACACCAATTAAAACTAACAAATCGCATGCCAAGGGCAAAAATGTAGTGTTTAAAACCATACTATGTCTTTAGTGACAAAGGTGTTGGAACGGCTGGTAAAACGTTTATTATTGCGTCACTTACCGGTATTGCCGAAGTTAACAAAGAAATCGATGTTTGAGAAAAATTCCCATACCACGTTTTTCGTCCAAAATCAACAAATTAATTATCACTATACACGACCCAGACCAGTAAATGCGTTGGGTCTGTTGTTTCAACGAATTCAAAAAAATCGACTCCACCTAGCACTCCTTTCGCCCCCCCCCCCCCTCATGGGCGTGTTGAAGGAGTGAACCTGTAGTAGCAGCTGTACCAGAGGAAAGCAAGTTGTTAATCGTGATTGTTTTTATTTCCGGTGAGTTTATCGGGTTTGTAAGCACGCATATTAAATCCAAATCATTCACTGGAACACATTGCTTTTATTTTTGTGGAACAGACGGATGGCTAGCTGCGTCCTTGATTTTGTCTACTGTGGCACAACGAGTTCACTCGATTGTAAATAATGACAAAATGACTAAATCATATGATATTTTTGCTCTGCATCAACGGCTGGATTTGATTGATGGATGTGCTAAACTTCTAAACGCTGAATGGAAAAGGTCTTATGATATGAGGTACGGTAGACAGATACTTTACAGCTGTAAAAAATTGGAGAATTTGTGTAATGCCAAAACTCTGAAATTGGTGGCCATCACTCATTTTTTCCTAGGCTAGCTCACCTTTTCACAACAAAGATGAAAATACTCTTGATAATTCAGTCACTCATTCCTATTTTATGATTCAGTTTTTATGTTGAAATTGTTACTATATCGAACTGATTGAGATTTTTAACTTCAAAATCTTGAACCTTCTGACCTTACATAATTTGTTACATACTGGGATCATAACTCAAAAGTATTTCTTTTTGATATGAAGTTTTAAACTTAATCAGGGTTTCAAAACTCAAACGATCCAATAAAGATTTTCCTTACCATATTGCTTTGACTGAAACAGTGGACGAAAATGAAAAATTAGTTGGACATCTCAGACTGACTAAAGTGCTGGGGGAACCTGACTCATTGTATATGTCATCAGGTATGTGCCATTTTACTGTCCTAGCTATTACACATCTCTGGTTCAAATCATATGCTCCCCACCTTACCCAGGGTGTGATAAATTGAGTATACAACGTCACACTGGAAAGATTTTGCTCCGTCCAAATAATAGTACATCTTGCTAGATGCTGCTGTGTATGGGGCCTTTTGCTGAGTGAAAGTCATATGAAAAAGTGTGCCAACCCTAACAAACTCTTTATATTACTCAACAGTCATTATCACCGAGTGTTCGAGAGGAATGGGTTTAGGAAGAAAACTGTTGAATTTAACTGAAGAGCTCATGAAAACACGTGGGTTCGAGTGTTTTTATCTCAGAACTGACTCACCAGAGTTCTATACTAAATGTGGGTATGACTTTTGTGATCCCATACAAGAGGTTTTAAGTACAGCCATGGAGAATAAAATGATGCTGGTAAGTTCGGGTCTAAATTAGTTATACCTATTCAAGTTTGAATGGTTGATAAAGTTAAAAATTTCTGCTATAGTTACAGAGTGCTATGCGTGGAGATAGATCTGATTCAATGGATTCCGATCCTGCTGATATTTTAAACAATTCGGAGACTAAAGATTTGGAAGTTGAACCGCCTTTGGCTGACAAAAAGTTGAGTGCAGAGGAATGCAATCTGAGTGAACTGCCGCCTATCGAAATTCCAATACCACTACCTCCTCCCCCGCCTCCACCCTGTGCAGCTTTCAAGCTGATGATATGTTACACTGACCCAGACAGCGATAATGAATGTGATTGTAACTTTTGGCTAAGAAAGCACTTATGATATCTACTTTTAATCATGCGTAAGATTATGTGCAATTTGAATATTCTAATTATATTGATCACAGTTGTAGAGTTGATTTGCATCCCCACACCTACATCCGCGAATCATATCAATGCTCACTACACACATTTGAAACAACTAAAAGATTAGAAGGAACTGAGATACACCACCCCCAGTATCAACTAATCGGCAAACTTGCAAAACAGCAAGGCAATTCCCATGTCACAGACTTTTTTGACCACAACCTAGTTACACCTTTGCTGAGCTAGCTAACTTTCAGTCATCTTGGATACATGTGGATTTATAGGACGATATCGCTACTGTGGTGAATAATTATTTTTAAGCAACCGAAAGTCACCTAGTGATTTAAAAAGTCTGTAAACCATTTCTTGAGCAAAACGCACACTACAGGGAGTTTTAAGAATATGCAACGACACAGAACAGAGCTTCAAGCTTGTCTAGGTTCTCGATCTTATTAGATTTCATTTCCTGTTTATAAAGTTTTGAACATTCTCAGGTACAGAGTACTGACTAAAATATCTTCATCTAAACCACAATACCATTTAAAAATCGTAAAAAGTTGTATATTGTTAATTTACAAGACCCTTTTGAGTACAATTGCACTAGCAAACTACAATGAAAAAAAAAATTATAAGTTATTTCACTACTGGATCCCATGGTCACGTAGTAATATAATAAAGATGATTGTTATAAATAGTTGGATCAGTTAGGGAATTTGCAAAAATAAAAAACAAAAGAAGACCACACACAAATGCTGCGCATATTTTCACTTTTTCTTCATGGTGAAATGCCGCTGAAAAGTCTGGGAATCCCATCATGTTGCAGAATGCATGACATATTACAGCACTCAGAAGATGCCCAGTTCGCAAGAATAGCCATGATGAAAGCGCACCAAACAAAGATGTATAAAAGGCTTGAAAAACTGTTGATATCACCACAGTACTGAATGGATACTGCTCCTTATAATATTTTTCCCATGCATGATGAATATGAGCTGTAGAACAAAATCATAGTTTGTCTTTACTGTCTAAACAGGTTCAGAAATGGAGTTAGCTAATTTACAGTTGTCAATTAGTATCAAACTTCGAATATTTGGGCCATTATCTTGCCTAGTTCATGAAAAAGTCCCACATAAACTTACCAACTCCGAAGAAACTTGGTGCAAGTATGATTGATATTGATGGCCCAAAGACTGGTAGTAACAGTGGCAACATACAACCTCTAAAAACAAGTTCCTCTGAGAATGGAGCCTGAATAGATTTTTTTTAAGGTAAGTATCATGTACGTAGCCTCCCTACATCTCAATATAAAATGGTATTCGCGGGGTTACTCTTAAAGAATATGAAAAAGTTATTGCAACAGATCAAGTGTATCATGCTGATGGAGTAAAAGATTTGATGATACATATATGAAAACATTCATACTTTTATACACAGTTTCTGAATATATTCACAATCAATCTAATTTATACAAAAGACAATTTAATTTCTCTGTGGAATTTGGTTGCATATTACTCTTGAACAAGTCCATTCCTCACCTTTGCCATCTAAATAGAACAGGTTGAAAATCTGATAATTTGGCATGACAAAGAAAATAAACATATCTTACAACAACGTAATTTCTCCAGCATCTCAAATCATAGAAGTATTTTTTCCAGTTATTAGGATGAAGCTCTGAAAAGTCACTTAGTAACATCAAATATAATGGTCCAAGAAATAAGATCAGGAACAGAGTGAGAGGGAATATAGACGCTGCCAAAATACCATCTGTCCGTATGCCCAGCCACTGAAGCAAAGTGGCTGAGTTTTGGAAGTCTTGTGTGCTGCCCTCAGACACAAAATACAACAAAACCACACTGACAATGCATGTAAATACCACTCTTCGAAATCTTTCTTTGATTGTTCGAGGATGATCTCTAAAAGTTAAAATAGGTTAAAGTAATGAATAAAAAGGAGGTTCAGAAACATGACATTAGCTTAAAATTTGAGTTTCATAATATTAGGTGGAAAATACCGTTATAGTCTACTAATGTTATAACAAACTGCACAGGTACGGTAACATAATATTAGGATGCCTTAAAAGTATGTTACTGCTGTATTACCTGGGCAATTTGCTTGTCCAAATGTACAGACTTCCCACATACAACACAGCTAAGGATAAGCATGTCAAAAGGGATGATTCTGATGTCAGTGATTGAAAGGTGATATGTTTGGCCATGGCTTTTATATACAACAAGCCTTAACCCAGCTTTAAAAATATCAAAATCAGTACCGGTACCGTACAGCTGTGGCAAATCTTTAAAACCCAAGCTGTTGCTGCACTTCGCTACCCTTACAGGTACCTGACTACAAATTACCATCAAGTTATCGAGGACCCAACAGGATGATATATTTACATTATTTGCATATCTTGCACTACAAGTGTTTCTCCGACCCTTGACCCCAGAGAAATTCTTCATATGGTATCAAAGTTCAGGGGTCCGCATTGAAGTACGGGGTCGCGACCCAAATTTGGATCGCGAAACCTTCCACACTGGGTCGCAAAACAATTTGAATTTTTACTATAAATATGGGCATCGCATCTGTGTAGCGTATTTATGTACTACAACATTACAAACCTCTAATTATAGTTGTTTCCCCGAGCGTCGACTTCATTATTTACTGTCGTAATATGGACCTTTCCCCGAGCATCGACTTCCTCGTTTACTTCGTGACATTGGCCAATCAGCAAATTGCAAAAAGTGACGTAACAATGCGCCCTTTTCGCATCCGCTCAGACACTTTTCTCACTCAGACAGATTTTCAAGCGTGGTCGTATACATTACCTCGTTTTCGCATTTTTGAACTCTATTCGTTAGTTTTCAGTTGTGTTTTGGAAACTTAAATGTAAATCAGATAATTCAATGGTCACCCTGTCTTTCTAGGAGTTTTAATTTAATTGCAGTAATAAAAAAATAGTGTAGAAATAGCTGTGATAGACTAGCCTGAAATTCTTTACCGGTACTTTTAAAAAACAGATTGTTGTATGCGATGAATCGTAATGATGGTTTGAAACACATACCCCATTTCAGAGGCGCTAACTCGCAAAAGCACACTTAAAATAGCCCCGAAAATTTTGCAATGGTAAAGTATAGGAAGAATTTTTCGGGGGTCAAAGGTCGAGGAAAGGTCCATTGAATAATATATGTCGCCAATCAATTTACGTGCAAAATTTGACGTAACAGTAAACATTTAAGCAGCTGCCTAGTGCCCAGACACTTTTGTGCCCTCAGACAGATTTTCATGATTGTGAATATTACATCGTTTTTGCGTGCTATTTTTTAGTTGTATTTTGGTGAATATAAGTCAAAATCAAACCGGTACATTTGAATGAAAGTTTGTTGAATGTTTTAAATTTAAACGATGGTTTGAAACATATAAATTGGTTGATAGGCGCCGACTCGTAAAACCACGATGAAATAAGTACCAATAATTTTGCACAGGTGGAGTATATAGAAAGAATTTTTCGCGGATCGAAACTCAGGGAAACGTTTATTACGTAGTTGTTTGCATTGTTACTATCCTATGCACCTTTCCCCGACCATCGACTTCCTTGTTTACCTCGTGACATTGGCCAATCAGCAAGATGTAAAAAGTGACGTAACAATGCCCCCTTTTCGCATCCGCTCAGACAGATTTTCAAGCGTGGTTGTAAACATTACCTCTTTTTCGCGTTTTCGAACTCTTTTCGTTAGTTTTCAGTTGTGTTTCGGAAACTTAAATAAAAATCAGATAATTCAATGATTACTCTGTCTTACTGGGAGTTTTAATTTAATTGCAGTAATGAAAATTAGTGTAGAAATAGCTGTGATAGACTATCCTGAACTTCTTTACCGGCACTTTTAAAAAACAGATTGTTGTATGCGATGAATCATAATGATGGTTTGAAACACATACCCCATTTTGCAGGCGCCAACTCGGTAAAGTATAGGAAGAATTTTCCGGGGGTTAAAGGTCCATGGAATTTATTTCTCCGTTTGGTTTTATGTTTTCGATTCGGAGCGAGCAGAGAGATGCGGTGCAGTAAGTTTTGGTGTTGGACGCACAGTACAAGCAATTTTTCTGCCAGAATATCTTCAGTCATGTTTTCTTGATTTTGCGTTTCCACAAATAAGTTGTATATCAATTAACTTGAATGTCATTATGTATTCCGATGAACTTTAATTTAGTTGCAATAATCAAAAATTAGCCCAGAACAGCCGCGATAGACCATGCAAAAATTAGGTATCAATAGTGTCGTGTAAGCGGCACGGACTAAAAGTAGGCACTTTGGAAAAAGGTAACAATTTAACCTAATGATAATATTAAAACATACTATGGAGGCTCGGGCGTTCGACCACCACATATGCTAGGCACTTCGAAAGAGAGAGAGAGATATTTATTTGTCAACAAGTTTACCGTGTTTCCCCGAAAATGAGACCTACCCTGTAAATAAGACCTAGCCTGAATTTTTAGAATGATTTTTACACAAGCCCTCCCCTTAAAATAAGACCTAGTCAATAACGCGATTTTTTTACCTGGTCGATGGCAAGAAATCTTCCCCATACGTTTTAAAGGATTAATCTAAAGCGTGTGAGAGAGGAAAATGTGTGATTTAAGTAAATGGATATCGGTTTTAATATTTTTTGTGTTTGCAAATCTCCTAATTTTGTACTGTTTAGTTTTGTTTTTGATGAATAAAATTATAAGACATCCCCCGAAAATAAGCCCTATTGATATTTTTCGAAAGAAAATTGGAATAGGACACTGTCTTATTTTCGGAGAAACACGGTACAAGCATTGAATCAATAAAAAAATATTTACAAGGTAAAGAAAATGGGAATTATCAATAATAAAGAAAAACAGAAAATAAAAATATTAGTCACAATGATTGGCCTAGGCCCAAGACCTAAGTGAATATCCAATGAATGCACCTGAGTATAGTAGTGGTATTTGAGAACTGTAAGCTACATTTCATATGCTACACGTTTCTCTCCAAAACCTAGTGATGTAGAATGTTTTGAAAGGGCGTGCCATTTTTTCCGATCTTGATAACATGAACTTCTTTAAAACTTATTGATTGTATAAGTGTGTTTACAATTTAGAGATGTACCGATACCACTTTTTTCGCCGATACCGATCCGATACCAGCTAAAAACGCCGATGCCGATACTACAAAAAGGCCGATACTACCGATATTCCGATACTATGTAAATATTACTTAATTAGGTGTGCTGTGTAGGGCAGACGGGTTAAAATAATGGTCTTTGAGCGTTGTTCATAGCACACATTATTTCAGATCAAAAAAGATCGAACTATCACATAATATGAAATTGATGTTTGGCATCCAGATGCGTTAACTGATTAAGATACACGCTAGTAATCTCGGTGTTCAATTAGAAAAATCCTGAGCCGGGATGTCCAATTCGAATTTATTGTTAATATCGCGACTTTCGAATATCGGTATTTATGTTTAAAAGAATATCGCCCACACATTCTAGCGCCGCCGTCCTACGTTCAAATTAAAAGCATTTTACAAATATTTTATTTTGTGGTTAATCGTAATCATCGCCGCAATAAAACAAAGCCAACATGAAAGAATATCAATCAGCACCGACAAGAAGAAGGCCTACCCATAACCGTCGAGGAGTTTTTTTTACTTTACTATTTTATAATATTTTACAACTGCTATCATATATTTTGATAGAATCTAGTCTAACTCTAGGCGGTCATGTGAAAATATCTATAAAGAAATTGTGTGGTTAAACAAAATTAAAATTAATACCTGCGTAGACTGATAATTGTGTCGGAATTTAGTTTATCGATGTCGACGGACTAAAATGAAAATAAATGATAGTCGTAATTGACGACAAACAGTCAGAATTTATATCCGTGCCAAAAGTGCATGTGCCGTTATTCAGGACCCCAATTCCACTGTATGATTTAAAACTGGGCGCCCACTTGCTTTTGGTTATGTGCTGTGTTGATATATTTCTTCATAATTACTATGTAATATCAAAAATGTGAATATAAAAATTTGACAGCAAAAATAGCCAAATTAGTTAAGCTAGTTTGACTGATGAATAGCTAAAAACAGGTGAATCCTATTCCCTCGCTGGGATGGGGACAAGTATGGCTCATAGCTCACGATCTCTCCAGACAAAAAATAAATTGAAAAGTAGTATTCCAACTTATCTTTTAAAACATTCTGGACCAAATCAAAAAAGTAAATATATCAGAAATGTCGCCCTTAATCTAACCGATACCGATACATGGCCGATACCGAAATAATGACCGATATTGCCGATACCCGATACATCGGTAAATCTCTAGTTTACATATGCCCACCTAAGCTGATCATGGTTTTCAGATAAGTCAACAATCAGACTTAATACGTTGGCTACAATAAAAGACTACATTGCAATGATGTATTATTACTTATCGATCTTAAGATCGGTAAGTATATTGATAGGTATTTGTCTGTATGTCTGTCTGTCTGTGTGTCTGTTAGATGCACGCGATATCTCACGAAAGCGAGATTGAATCTACTCCAGATTTTGCATGTGCATTCATCTTATCTCGGACCAGAAGCCTATTGATTTTGGGCGAATTATGTCGTATAATTAGCGAGTTATCAATCAATTATTGATATAGTGATCTAGATTTTTGTAAAGCGAGAGAATTTTGAAACCCGCCGAGTGTGTGTGTGCGATGCGCAGTGCGCAAGTTACAAGAGCGGATGAATCGAAACTGCAGTTTCTGTTTTGGGGGATCCCCTAACTATCGATCGATAAGTCTTCGGTTTCCAACCGATATTCTCGTATTACATCTTATTAAATTATATATTTATAAAGTACGAATTTCAATCTTCAGATAGATCTTTTAAAGCTTGTGCAAGAACCAAACTCCGTTCAGATGGATTCACAAGACGCAGAATATATACGACATTCATCGAAGATTCACCAGAACTTCCCATTCCTCCTAAAATATACATCGAACTGTGGCATATGAACGAGCAATGTCCGTAAATTGGGGGTGGTGGGCGTTCGCCAGCACATAACAATGTTTTCCATTTTTGATTACCTAAATCACAGAGAGAATATAATAGGCAATGAATCTTGCAAGTTATTTTGTACCAAATTGATTATAAAATAGATATTGCAAAGAACTGATATTTTTTTGGAAAGTTTTCAACTTAACGCTGAATTTAACCATGTATTGCTGCATAGAAGATAATCGGAAATGGTTAACTCTTAATTTTAACATTTACGTATTGCCTTGTGCAAAACATTTACATTACGTTTGTACATTTTACCTTTGCTTGCCTGGCAATATCGTGTAACTGACTTTGAATGAAGCTGAAATGGTGCTCCCGAAGTATTCGTTCTAAGATGGCGCACAAATTGAACATAGTATGTGTACCAGATTAGGGTTTTTCAGGTTGTGCGTCATCTTGATACGAATACTTCTGGAGCGCTGCTGAATTAACCTTGAACCTTATAGCCTAAAACTCGTGTATAGTAAGAATAATTGTCACCCGGATTTGAACGACTGGCATATTAGCTGTATTTATCACTGTCCTCGGTGTTAGTGACTCAATAAAAATGCGCCTTGCTGTCAATTCTCACTGAACATTTCTTTATTTGATGGTGGAACGGAGTAGACTATTGCGGAAATGTGATCTCTGGTGTTTTGTGTCGTCTGAGCACAAATTCGTCTTGATTTGTTTCGTTAGTCTAATATAATGTGACGATATCAAAGATAACTATCAAAACACGATAATCTACAAGTCATTTTGTACTTTCTTACCGATGCTTAATTTTCTCAAATTCCTCACTATTTTGTCTTCTTTGTTCTTTTTCCTCCATCCACCAAGAACATATATGTCTTTATCGCGATGCGCTACAAATGTATGAGAACACCTTGGAGAAGGAGGGACGCCTCGAATGGTAGGATGACTCCAAGTTTGAGTTGCTGAAATTATTATTTGTATGGTATTTTGTTACACTTATTCCAAATATTTTTATACCAATTTCCATTGTATGTAATGAATGCGAAATCTCGCTCGTGGCAAACCCGCATGTTCTGGATATTGGGTATAACAGTATAATTCATAATATTTAAATTTTCTTCATACTTGTATTAAAACAATGTAAATCATTTAGCCATTCATTCACATTGCCAACTCCACCAAAAATATAAATAACGTCACGAATAGCTTCACTTGTATGGTCACAGCGAGGATGTGGTCTGCAACCTTTAGTCTCAATAATACTCCAACACTTTTGCTCTGAAAAAAGTTATCGGTTATTTATCCGTCATAAGGAGATGTTTAGTGCAGGGGCATTGGTTGGAAAGTATCAAGCGCCATAGTTTGTCCTATATTCTTAACTCTGCATATATACTTGTCAGAGCGATTACAGAAAAGTAAATTTCAAGCAACCGCAGAGTCTTCCGCAATCATTTATAATCTCGAGCTTCGTCACATTGTCTTATTCTTATTTTAGAACAACGACGTTAATTGAGTTGCTTACCTGTATTAAAGCAACGCATTGAATTTGTCGTTATTCCTCCCAGCATTCCACCAAACGTATATATTGATTTATCTACAACTGAGGCAGAGAACCCAACGTCACGAGGACAATACCCAGTTGTATCAACGGCTATCCACTTACAAGTTTCTACAAAAAGAAAAAGCTTGTGAAAGATTCTATGCGTTTTATTATAGTATTTTATTATAAGTATATTGGAAATATTCATTCACATAAATCTTCTAATCTTATAAAATACGATATGAACAACAAGAGAGCAATGCTCAAATATATGGACACGAAAGTCAAAACGAACTACGAAGTAGTACGAGTATGCAATCTGTCACAGTACAACACTGGTACCGTAGTCTTCACGACTTTGCGTTACCACCAGATCCCTAACGCGAAACCGCCACAAGACACGCGATGTTTATTTTTGAAGACGTCATCAGACTCATAACAACCCAACAAAAAGAATCCCCTTGAGCCCACAGAAATTCAATTTTTAAAATAAATAAATCAATAGCCTTCTAGTGAAAAATACAATCCTTAACCACTGTGTGTTCAAAACAACCATATAATAGCAACTATTTCTTCCCCTCCTCTCTGGTAAAAGAACACAGAATAGCTGAACTGAATAATAGGCCTGTAATAAAAGCAGAATTGATGGAATAATTTATATTCATTTTAAATTTACTCACCCGTGTCAAATTCATGCATTCCAGCTAAGCATTCTTTACTAACAATATTATTTTTTCCACCACAAAGATAAACTTTCTTATTTACAACACTGTAAAAAATATTAATTTATTAAAGTTAATAGATAAATCTTATATTGTGTTGAAACAAGCAAAATTAGCGTTTTTGAAACGATCAATTACATTTATCAATTGAGTAGGCTGCCTGTGCATCAATTATCTACAACGCCAGTTTGGTAATATATAGCAAATAACTGTTTGAATTACCACATTTTATGTGAATCTCTCGATGAGGGAACATCTCCAATCTGACTGACAATGTCCCAGACGAACGGAGTCTTCTTTACTACAATGAAATTCAAAAGATGCGATTATGGTCCAGTGGATAAAAATGTTTCGTGCAGAAAGTTAAGATATAGGAACAATTTAATACATGAAGTCTTATATATCAGCTTACAAGATTATTCTAATATTTTTACGGCATTGGCATAACGCAAACTATTTCGGTACAGGAAGATAATAATGGCTTTGTATCACGCGCTCTAGTGTAATGAAAATAGTGTGGATGCCAGATATGATGACATAAACATTATGAACGTACGCGTTAAATAATCAATATTTTTTCCCATTTCAATTTGTTCCATCTGTTCATTTATTGATAAAAACGAAATAGTTGAGAATTTTATTAAAAACTATATTCAAGGGAGACCCCAGAACTATAAAAAGTTTCTCAAATCAAGTTTTATTTTACTATTAAGTTTTTATTTTACCTAGGAATGTATGCATGTCGTTGAAAAACATCACTTCATAGCCAGTTGATACCTGAGATGTGAATTATTATTACAGTGAGGTACATACATTTTTGGTTTAAATTAAAAAATTGTTTGTTACGCCATCAACTCGAGTACTGGAGATGGGTCTAGACTAGAGCTTGACTTCAGAAAAACTTGCAAATTTTTCAAGTTTAACAATATTTGAGATTTTCATAAACTCAAAATAAATTATGGTGATGCCACAATCAATTTTGAATGCCATTTGCTCTTGAATTTGCTTCTTTGAAAATTGAAAAATAATATGGCTAACAGGAGTAATTTTTAATAATATATGTTTTACTCAATTAAACAACAACAGCGATTAAACAAAAAGAGAACGTACTTCATTGTATTTGCAGCCCCCAAACACAAATACTTTATCTTCTATAATTGCTACAGCATGGCCGCTCCTAAAATCACGAAATGAAAATGGTATATACGAATAAGAGTAGCGTTGTGATCATTTGTTTAAATAAATAACTAGCTTACTTACCTCTTTGTTGGTATTGTTCCAGTTAATTTTTGAGATGACCAAATACAGCTTACTAGTGAACCTTTTGGCATGCTTGCACAAGTTACCAGAACGAATTCTAAAAATCAGCATTCAATACCAAAATAGTGGAATGGTGTGCTGAAGTGCTTCATGCCAATTATGTCACTGTACTCAAGCATACTTGAGAAATTTGAGACTGTTGTGTAAGTTGTAAGAAACACATCGCAGCGTTCGTAGTAGAATGTTCAGCAAATGTTTGAGAATTGTTCTGATACACATTGTCCTTCTAATCACCTTACAAACAAAAATGTGGAAGGTTCGAGTCCGATAAATGAGGTGCCCACTTGACGTAACTGCTGATCAGCTGAAATCACTCTCTAAACCAGTCAAAGGTGTGATTTGATGTGTGGGGGATTGCTTCGTCGTGTTGGAACCAAGGACAATATTATATAATGCTCCTGCTGAAACCACTGGTCATAGATAGGGGATAGGATAGGATTTACATATTTATCCCGGGGGAGAGGATAACCGATAAGACGGCCTAATGATATGGCGTCGTCGTCGTCCGGTTACCAGTCCATGTCGGGTATGGGATTAGTTAGTCAGGTATTTGTTTTCGGAAGCATGGACTTGATGGCGGAGGAAGCCGTAACCGACCAGCGGTTACGTGAACCACCCTACGGCGGCGAGGAGTCCAGCAATCCTCTTGCACATGATCAGCCCCGCATGGGATTCGAACCTGCGATCCCACGAAGGGTAATCAGAGATGCGGTGGCGAGCGTATTCCTAACGCTGATCATATCGATCAATCTCTTATTCAATTTCAAGTTAATTCAATTCATTCGCCCGAAACACATTTTGTCACTCAATCTTGGACGCTCATCATTTATCCGCCACGTTTTTATCATATCCGCAAATTATATTTGAATTAGAGCATTTATATACTTCATCTTTCACGCCCCTTTAGCCAGTCTGGTGTTTCTATATTTCTCGTTTTTTTTTCGTTTCGATTGTCGTGTTTCTAACATCCCATTCTTGCCATGACTGGTGCCTGTTTATTTATTTAGAAATCGACTACAAACCTGTCTCTGCTCTTCGTCACATTATCGGTTATCAAAGATATCTAATTAAAATATGATTGAACTTAGCGACAAACATTTAAGATTCTCAGCTTCTGACAGTCAAATATGTATTTGGGTCTGACTGCATACATCTTTAATATAGGAGCTTAATTGTAGACAATTCGACTAACATTATAAATATGGTAACGAGTGTATTTGTATAGCAAAACATATTTCCAAAATTATACGTATTCAACAAAATAATTATTATCAACAAACCATCGGGTGGCAGCAAAGCTTAGACAAATAACTAATAAACTTGTTTCTGCGCCAACCGTTGCGCCTGTTTTCATGTTCTTCATAGCGAAAAGTCGCAGAGTTGTGCGTTCTGAAACAGGAGAGTTTGGCATTGGAATTTATTTGGCAAAAAAAAAAAGAAACAGGAGAGTCTCAATTTTTAGTCTCAGTTATCTGGTTCTGAAGTTCATTATTTGTTTATTCAGTTTATTTTTCATAACAAAAAATAGGCTATAACTTCAATCTTTCCCAAAATTTTTGTCTTATGCGACCACTAGACAAAGGCACGCCGTTTGCCAAATTTCAGAATTTTTATCGCACCGGCACGGTATCGTATCTGCCTGCTCGTATAATTTTGCTCATGATTTCATTTCCGTTAATTTTTTATAGCCTACCTCAAAGTCGATATGGTTAAACATTCGAATGCATTACCGGTAGGCCTAATACAAAAAAAGGCAAACAAAAAAAGAACACAAAAATGTAAAATATATTGCATATATTTTCAATACTGTAATAGCAGCAATGGGTTTGTGATAAGGTTAATGTAGTAATGACTTGAAGCACTACTACTAAACAATGAACTGAATAAGAGTGAATTATGTTATAACAGGTACCGGTAACGTTAATTCATGAGTTACAGGATTAAGAAAGGCAAAGTATAGGCTACATCTATCACAGTATCAGTCTATCATATACTTGTGTTTATTGCATAATTTTGAAGAATCAAACAATTATCACTATACAGTTGTCTGATATCATAATAAACGCAGTAACAATTTTCAAAATGTTGGCAAAATTTCAGCCAATTAATAAAAAAAAGTCATCAAATGTCATTTATTAATACTGTAATATGCAGATATGATGAAGTGCCCATGAAACATAAAATTCAGCAAAATCTGGGTTGAAACATCGAATCTCAGAAGACTCAAAAAGAATTTGGAAAAAAAGATAAATAATAGTCTTCAAGAAGCGATCACGTCATGCATGTTTGTTTCAGTAATAATTTTAATGAGGCATTGCGCATTGTCAGTTTGCCGATATGGAGGCCCAGACTGTCTCGTAAAGTAGGGGTTGGCACTAACTATTGTACTTGGTTTCTTGGAATAGAAGAACTGTGCTATTCTGTAAAGGTTGCCAAAATACGTCCATAGACTAGTATTACATTGTTATAAGTCTCAGACAAATTTAATTGAGTGCATCTACATGTCTACTTAGGCTTTAAATTTTCCATTTATTTTGCTTTGTCTATAGCGGTTGAGGCAACATCTACAAAAGTAAAGCATTCAACATATTACAGAATTTATTTTTTGCAGCTTAGCTAATGTAGCTTACTCCAGGTCTTTCTAAATTGTTTTTAACCATGTTTTATTAAATTCCTTTATTGTTGAGTTGAACCCCACCCATCGGCACAATATGTCATCTGGAGGAGAAGGTTTTGGATCTATTACTTGGTGGGGATTTACTTCGTCTCTGGACTTGCAAGCAGAGGGTAAGAAACTCCCAGTTTTTATTTTTAAAATTTGACTCAAAAGGCTAAGTAATATTTGTTGGGAAGTCTGATGAGCAGATTCTTTACAGATCACCAACTTGAGTGTCTTTATATAAATCCAATATTCACAAAGAAAACATAATACATTTACTCTAATTTAGATCTTAATACAACCTAAAACTCCGATTAGTGAAATAAAAAATAACACAAAGCGTGTTTGAGACAGGATTGGGGAAACGTCATAACCGAATAATATTATAAATAATAAAAGTAATCAGGTTCATGTATTGCATCAAATTAAACTAGCTAACAGTGTTGGAGAGGCTTGAGTCATTGACTCGACTCGAGTTGTACTCTAAGTTCAATTTATCAAAGACTCGAAGTGACTCAGTCATCCAAATGGAGTTACTTGAACTCGTCATTGACCCTACTCGGCGAATCGGACGGCCCCTGACTCTAGATTCAAGGGTTTAGGGGCTTTTACCCAAACCCTGATGCACTGAGTAGTGTCTGTGAAACGGGGCTTGGTAGCTGGAACTGAGGAGCCGTAACATTATAGAGGGACGGTGCTGGAGCCAAGCAAAGAGATGGAGCTGGAGCTTTTATAATGTTGTAATACGCTATATTATATAAATAATGAAATCTATCCTTTTCATCCTTTAATTTTTTGTTAATTAAACTTGTAACATTAATTTTTAAGTTTCAAGTTAAATTTGGGATGATGTTTCATGATAATGGTATTACGTGAAGCAGGAGTTGGCGCCCGGCTCCGAGCTTAAAAATAGAACGCTGGAGCTACAAGTAAAATATACTGTGGCGCTGGAGCCGTACCCATTGTAATTTATAACTGGCTTCCCAACCCTGCTGCGCAGTACTTCAACAGGGTCCGATGCCTCTTAAAAATTGAGATATGAAGAATGGTTGATACGGTTTAGGTTTGGGGGATCAACACAGGTGGGGAAGAGAAACTGTGTTGATTTTTGTGCCATAGAGGCACAATATTATTGTGATCTCAGATCTTTCCATATTCAGTTTCGTTATAAAGTACGCGCTCCATTGAGAATATGGCAAGTATTTTCAAATCTTTTTGGTCATATATGAACATGAGAGGTAACCGCAGTCACATTGAATGATGATAGTAAATTATATTTTTGTTGTATTCATCTAAATCTAATAATTCAAAAATTTTCTTCTAAATTACGGTACATATCTGTATTTCTTTCAGTTGATGAAAACAATCATGGAATGGAAATGTCCAAAGGTGCAAGTAAAAATGAACATGAATCTCTTAACATCCTCATTGTCGGGGCAGGAGACTGTCGACATATTATTAAAACTATTGCACAAAGGAAAAGGCACAAACACAGGAAAATACATGTGAGATATTACGAAATATTTGTATATAATTTTAGGGACCACCATGCACATATGGTAGACTGCCTATCTGTCTATATATTAACCGTCTGTTTATGATTGTGAGAGAAGTAGTTAGGCCTATGTTATTGATATAAGATATATTACAAGAATATTTCTTCTTAATCCATTGCTGAGTTTTTGTCACAAAACATTTTTAATTATTTTTATGAAACATAGAGCAACTTTTATAATGATTTAAGCCCACGTTTAGCGGTTCAATTCTATTTCTGAAATATAGTGAACTAAGCCAAATTGAAATTATGTTTGATTTATGATGGATATGTTAGGGGTGTTTGAGTCTCTTTGATGTAAATTACATTTATTTATTCATTCTCCAAAAAAAATCACATATAATTGCTTGGTTGTCAGGCTATTGAGGAGTTCAGTCGAACCAAATTTGTATTTCTGATATTCAAAAAGTCTATTTTTAAATAAACAGAAACAAAATTGTACAAGGTTCTGTATCAGCAAGTCAGCAACAGCAACTATTGATAATCTAGTTAATACATATGGTGATGCTATTATTGTAAGAATCTAAATATTTCTATTTCGAAATCGCCTACTCAATTTACTTTATCCTGGGTCCGGTGGTTTAGCCTGTGACACGCACAATGTTAGTACTCGTACCACCTGAACCATCCGCTTCATATTTTTTCTTTAAAATCGATCCATTTGGAATATTCAAAATCACACCAAACACTAAATAGCATCGAAAATTTGTTCAATTTACACAGTTATGTGTTTGATACATAACAACCTTCTGTTTTTTTTCCAGTTCTATGTCATAGAAAACAATCCTGAACTATTAGCGAGGCATCTGCTTCTTATCACGTTGGCAGTTGAACCTACCCACAAAATGGGTTTGCAAGGTAAATAAACGCCAAACCATTTATCTTAATTGTAGGATGTAAAATAGACAGACATGGTTATTTGGAGAAACGACCTCTTTATACTTGGATAATCAATTATGGTTTTTCTGAGAATGTCTGGAATGATAAAACATGTACTTCGAGTATTTCAGAAAATTTGAATTTAAATATAATTTTTTTAAATTTATTCTATTTACTCTATATCTGATACATTTTAGTTATCAGATTCTCCTATCTCAATTCCTTATCTATCTAAACTCAAAGCATGTTCCTTTGCCTGGACTTCAAATGCTAGGTTGATTTTTGTTTGTCTGGTATATTATTTACGTTGCTCATTTCGAAGACCCAATCAAACATTGGAATTTGCTTTTTAATCCCTTTTTTTATTTTTTTATTTGGCCATAATAAGATATTTTTCAAAAGGTATTTTTTTTCTTATTCAGATTTTTATGTTATAAGATAAAACCAAAACATTTATTATTTTCAGAAAAGACTGAACTGTTTGCTGAAATATATGGCAATACATTAATACGCCAGCAAACTTATCAATATGTTCAAGACAAAGCAAATTTGTTCATAGAAATGATAAGTGACCTGGATTATGCTGATGAGAGAATGCCGATTGTGGATATGTCACAACTAAAGGTGTGTTTTTAATAATGGCCAACCTCAATGAGACAGACTTTTATTAATCATGTATTTTTATTAGATATTTTCAATGGTATTGTAAAACCTGTACCATTTTTTACCATTTATTCAGTATCACAGTTGGAATAGTCCACTTCATATTTTCTCCGCAAACTTGAAATATTATATTGGCAGCTTCGAAAATTTTTATTGAAAAATCTTGTGGTTTTTCATTTCGATATCAGAATCCGATGTCTGTGTCATGTTTTAAATTCAATATGAAAAACATGTTTTCCTGACGTACTTCGGAATATTTTTTGTTAAAGGTCTTTGTAAGGAATATTATGATTTATTCGCCAGTATTATTTATGGGCTGTTGGATTTATCTTGTTAAAATCATTTTGTAGATATTGTTTAGCATGGGTAACATTTATTATGTTATGAATTGAAAAAGACATTGGGTGGTCTGATTTATAATTTGAAATTGCGGTATTTCATGAAATGTTCAATGTTATTCATTATACTTATCTCTTCACTGGGATTTGAATACCAGTAGGGGTGGCATGTACTGGATAATCTGCTATTCCGAATATATTCTAAAACGAGTGCAATGCTCGAATACACAAAGGCCAACAAGAAGTACATCAAATCTTACAGTAGTCTGACCATGAAATTGCCGAACCACAGCTCGGTGCGACTTATTTAATTTTAATGACGTCTCACAGAAAAGTTTAAAGTGAAAAAGGATTCAATTGAGCTCACATAAATTATTGAAATAAATAAAACTAATAGCCTTCTAGCGACAACAACAATCTTAAACCACTGAAAATTTCAGAGCGCAACCATTTTATCAGTGCTTTTTCCAATTTAAGTTGAGGGCTTTCCATATTTGGACTTGTTTCATTTCTCCATCTGCAAATCTTTCTGAAGTAGAAGATTGCTAATTTTCTATTATTTCTTTATGAGTAGTACTACAGATATGTTTCCCAGATGGACGAGATCAAATTTCTTAAACATCCTTACTCCCATAGGAAGAGTCATAATATCTATATTGGAATCGATTTACAGCACAAAACAAATTAGTTTGTATTTCTATTGTGCTATGATATGACGCAAGCCTATGCTTCCTGTTTATCTGTATTTGAATGACATGCTCTTTTGAATTTTGCAACTTTCCATATTACGCATTGACTGTAATAATAGATATTTCATATTTTCCCAGCTAAGTGGTAGTTATGGTTGTGAACTTGTCTAACTTAGATATAAATCTGAAATCTTTCGACACGCAAAAACTAAGGAAAAATATATCTTTACAATTACAATATTTAACTTTATGATTGAATATTATATTTTTAAAACACAGAATTATTTTTGATTTCATGTCATGTTTGAAATATGGTAATGCAGTGTGTTCCCTTTATTCAATAATATGCTTTTGCAATTTGTACTAAATTCATCAATCCACCAATTTAATGAGACACTGCACAAACTGTTGCGATGTTTTGTGTGTTTGTAACAAAGGAAATCAGAATTTGTAAACATGAGTCTTATTAATGATGAAACCAATATCAAATTTAAATTTGTGAGCAAACCTCATGAGTCATGACATCATAGTAATTACAGACAGTTAGTTTGAATCTGTCAGTGACTAAAGGTATATAAGAGAAGGCTGTTATTCTGTCTTTTTTAGTTTCAATCGGTTTACATACTTTCCTCATAACCACGGAATAGCCACGCATGTTATTTAGGTTATAGGTTGTCAATACACCAGCTACATAAAATTGACAGTCTTGGCAAGGACTTTGTGACTCCTCACTGAATTTATTTTTTGTAAATATTTTCATTTTGTCAAATAACTCCAGGATATCTCCATTTAACATAGAAAATGTAGTCACCCGTACACAGTTATCCTGATGCATGAAAGTTCGCTTGTTAGAGGCACCATACATTCTAATACCAACAGTAAGTGAAATCGAACAACACTTCATTGATTACGTTTTCTCTGTTGTTTTGCAGCTGCAGGTTTGCAGCAATTGCTTTAGTTATCGTAGAAAATAACTTATTGACAAATGATGTAATAGGATAGATAGAGATGATGATTTTGTTTTGTCAGCTGAAATTGTGGTCTGTTCCCTGAGGCCATTCTAATACCTCATCAATATGTTTCACTAAGGCTGTAAAGAAATATGCAACAACAATAAATTTACTGTTTGTTATGATAGCTATACTCTATATTTTACAACTTGATTACTCATTAGAATACTTTTAAATATACTTTTAAAACATTATCATTCAGTGAATAATGAATGTAATCAAATTCAATTCATGTTCAACAGAGAAACTGACACAAACTGGTATCTTTACGAAAATAGTTGATTTGAAAAATTGGGATGATCATTGCGAAGTTTTTATTGTGACCTGTCAAATGTCAATAATTTTCTAAATTATTTTTAAACTGTATATATCATATATTATGTATCATACAATATGATAAATTAGACATCCCTGGGTAAAATTTGTTAATTGTGGGAATTATCGATCAAGTTATTGCCATTTTCAAAGAAAATAGTAAATTGCAGTCATGATTTATTAATAATAACTATGAGTATGTTTGTTGATATATCATTATGAATCAAGAAATGGTATATTTTGATGACGCATAACTCAGCGTGTTATCTTTCTAGTGAGTAGTACCTGTGGTGAATGGATGTAACCTATAAGTTAGAACAAATTTATAAAATAAAGTTTTTATTAACTAAAGAAATAAACAATGCTATATTTAATCAAAAAAAAATCGGGAAATAATGTTTTTATATGGCTCTCATTCACGTATTTCCGTTCCGAACAAGACTCCGTAAAGCAACCACTAATATCTAATAATATACGAGAATCTCGGTCAGAGACCGAAGACTTGTCGATTGAAAGTTAGGGGATCCCCCAAAACAGCGCTCTTACTCCATAGTGACACCTTGTGTCCCATCACTAATTAATTAATAACTCGCTAATTATACGACATAATTCGTTCAAAATCAATAGGCTTCTGGTACAACATATGATGAATGCACATGCAAAATCTGGAGCAGATTCAATCTCGCTTTCGTGAGATATCGCGTGCATCTAACAGACAAACAAACTGACAGACAAATACCTATCAACATACTTACCGATTAAAATTGATAAGTAATAATATATAAGGAGCTAGCTGGTGAAATAGGTCATATGTGATGATTTTGATGTGTGATAGTTATGGATATCAATTTCATATAGTTTGTATTTAAAATTTGATTCTGTAATTACTATAATTTGTGATAATCTATATTTTTTTCAAGAAATTTGTGAATTATGAATCTCTATGATCAAGCAAAAAACTTAGTCTATGTTGTTTCATCTCGCTCACATTCCGGGGTTTTTCTCCTTCATGAAAAAAAAAGGTTTTCTCATTTGAAATACCATCACAATTTGGTCAGGTCTTGATTATCAACAGAAAATATCTGTTTTTTACATTTTAGTTTCATGGTCAATCGCATTAAATTTTTGAACTGTTACATGACCAATTGATTTGAAATTTTGATGGTTAATGATTGTATTTTTTGCTAGGCCATTACTTTTATTTATTTCAAAAATTTCTGTGAGCTCTGTGGGATTCGTTTTTTGTGTGTGATGACGTCATCAAAAATAATGCACATTGTGATGGTTCCACGTTCGTGTTAGTCATGAAGACTGTCGTACAGGTAGTCTACTGTGACAGATTGAATACCATCAACACTTCATTTTGGCCCTCATGTCCATATATTTAAGCATCGCTTGTTGTATGTTAAATTCAAAGTCATGGTGATCATGCTATATATATATTTCGAATGTAGTGCATAATTGTGTGGGTTCTCTTGAGTCCCCAATTTTTTATAAAAGGCCCATTTCATAGTTTCCAACCAAAATAAATTTTTTTTTTTTCAGTTTAGAGAAAGAGACTTCATTGAAGGAATATTTAAATTTTGGAGAGAACCTGACCCTAGGTACTTCAATATCACAACGATGTGGGATGCAAGGTTACGACATTACCTCGGAGTGCGGTACGATTCAAGATCAGGGGCCTATGATTGGGACCTAAGCATGAAGTTGCATGATTTGGGGGTGAGTGAGAGCATTTGTATAATATAGTGTGTGATTTTTATTTCATATTACAATTTTGTTTATGAAGTTAGGATAATATTTATCCCGGGGGAGAGGAAAGCTTAAAGCATGGCCTATTCTTATGGCGAATCGCATCCGGTTACAGCCAAAGTCTTATACTGTACAGTACATAAATTACTCTATACATATCGTACTGTATCAGAAACATCTGTTTTACGCTTCGAGTCCATAACAAAGGCCAATGAGCTAAAAAAAAAAACGATCAAACAAGTTACGAAAAAAACGGCTTAAACAACCAAAATGGCGTACAGTATCGCTGAAACTGTGTACAATGTGACTGAAGCTTAGTGATTATTTGTTGAATTTTTGTTCATAATTGTAATAGTTCGCAATTGTCTAATGAGCACTGATTTTCTTGATCACAATGATCCAGTTTAAAGGCTTAGATATTACTGTACAGTATTATCTTTTATATTCTTATGAAGTGCGTTTGTAACCTCGAAACAGTGTAAGTCGCGGCCATCGTGACCCAAGGACTCCCTGTATGCTAATGCTAGTACTACTTTGTGGAATTTTTCATCAAAAATATATTGTATTTGGGATATTGAATTATAAGTCTATAATTATAAATGGTTACCAGTTATCATCATTGAACTACTATTAGTAATTTTAACCCTTTTTGTGACTTTCAAACACATAATAGCTCTTATACATGCACTTCACAAACAACACTCGATATCAAAAATAGATGTGTAATTATAACATTGAATTGTTACCGGTTCAATGCCATTCTCCTATAAACCACTTTACATTTTTCTGTTAACACTATTTCTCCTTCTTGCTTGTACTAACTAACGTTATCGCATACTTTGTGATGAAGTTTATAAAACTATATACTGTATTCAACCTACCTATGCATTCATTACTTTTGGAGCTCGAAAATACATTCCTATTTCAATAATGTTATTTACCCAATATTAAATAGTTTATGATTATTTGAAAGGTTTTTAATTAATTGAATTCATCAATTTACTACCGTAAATAACAAATTTTGGAGATCTCAAAATTCAATCACATTAATTAAGCATAGGATTAACTAATTGGTCTTTTGGTAGTATTTGTTGTTTCAGTTAGCTTCATCTATTATGCATATCTTGTCTGAATTTAAAAATTAAATCGGCAATTCGGCATTGACATTATCCTTAATAAGTGGGAGATTGAAACTGTTTATTTCTTATGCTTTTTATGGATTTTTTTCCGATTAATTGAATCTGATGGAATTGGTATTTATTGTGAATTTTGCAAAAAAGAAATTGTTATTTGTTTTTAACATAATATAAGCTGACCTTTTGATTAAAAGAGACTCAGTACAAGTAAATAGCTATACATTGTTGATGTAAACACATTCTAGGAAAATTTTAATTAATTTTGTGGCATTTCATCATCGTTACTGAACATAAATACCAATGATTGCAATTCCCTCAAAATTGATATATTGATTAGTAGAGAGACTTAGCGTTCATTTTTTCTCTTCAAGTGGTTGTCAACTTGTCATGTCATCTATAATTTTTAGGTTGAAAAAACAATCGGCCCAAGCGAAATTTCAGACGAAATTTCAGGTGACCCAGTTTTCGGTCGCAACCCCTAGGTCGGAAAAACTGCATTATTAAATACAAAAATAGGCTATATTAAATTATATAAAATACACATAGTAGATCAAATTCGAAAAATAAATTTCGAATCCTTGAGTGCTATTTAATGGAATGAATTTTAGAATTCAATATAAAGCAGTCAGAATGATTACGGTATATGGAGCACAGGATCTCAAAATTTGCTCAAAACTCCAAGATTGTGGTTTTAATCCATCATAATACAGATGTGGTCAGATGGCAGCGCACAAACAAGTTTATTATTGACTTTGTGAACCTAACACCACAAGCTCTTCATTCAGGAATTTGCTCTGTTGTTTACTTTACATCTATCTTGTGCCTCTGTGGTGTTTTCCTGGGAGAAACATTCCACTAATGTGCAAAATTGTTTCCGTTAAAATTTGTGCAGTTTATACATGGACCAACTATATTACCAAAAATATATCACTTTAAAAACATTGCCTGAATACTCTAATTTTGGAAATCATGAATGTATGTATATCACTGGCCAAGCTCAACCTTCTTACCTAGTTTGTATTTACATCAAACAATCATGAATCGATGATAAATTGTATTATAGATCTGCTCTATACTAATTCTTAATTTGTAAACATGTTTGTACTCCATTGAACCGCAAAATGAGGAATTAGTTTATGTTATCCTGGAATAATTGGATAATATTCAGCAGCTTAGCTATAATAATCCCTAATGATTTATTGTTAAATTTTGTACAATTTGTATTTGGATTACTGTTATTTTTTCGAAAGATTTAAGCTACTAACCAGCGACATTGTTAGCTTGAAAAACAGAATTGTGGTTTTTGGATTTAAACGGTTTACAAAAGAAGTGATTTTGCATAACCAAATATACCTATTTTGCAAAATATGTTGCCTATTCAGCTGTAAATATCACTGCACTACTAAGCATTATCAAAAATACTATTTTTTTTCAATAGCTTTTACTGATATCTTTTACTAAATATAGTGAATGATATATTCTGGACAAGAGTGGAGCAAAAAAGAATTGAATAATTGATTTCAGCAATGAACTGAAGTTCATTCATATACATCGCAATACAGTACTGCAGTCACAACAAAAATACTAAATAATGATTCTATGAGCAATTATTTTATCAGTAGATATTTGATATGAGGAAAATATATCAATCAAGAGTGTTTTCATAACAAATAAATTGCTTTTAGTCTCTAGTGGGAAAACTCATCGTTGCAGAGTTGAAAGTTGTTTTTGCACATTCGATTCGATTGAATTATTCATTTGCCGTCCATAAGTATATCCATTTAGATTTGACAATTGACTTGTTTACAGGCTAAAGTAATATCTAAAATGGAATACGTGAGATGGAGGGAAAAAGGCATTGCTTTTGAAGCAAGAGAAGGTGTTTACGACCGACCGAACAAAACACTATCATCTGGATTGGTACTAAAAAGAGTATGTTGACACTTTTATTGTGCAGTTTATTGCTTTTTTCATGAGGTTGTAATAACAGTGATATTTTTGTTGTGTATCTCATTGTGTTATATCTGCAATACATCAATTTTATTTTATATTTAAAGTGTCTGCAATTCCCAATTTTAGATGGGTACAACTTCAATCAACAACATTGCAACTTGTTCCAATATTATTAATCCGTCTTGTTACTAATCCATCTTGTTTACCAATATATATCCTAGGTTAATTATTTAAAGAATGTTTCAAAAATATTTTTCCCAATATTGCTGAAACAAAATATGTTGTTGAGACTCATCGTACAGGGTTAGAAATGTTCGTAGGATTCATTTTAATATTGTTTTAAATTAGTTACATTATTTTTTTCCAAATCTGGTAGATGAGTATCTGCTTGGGTATAACTTTCATCAAAATAAAGATGTGATTGGATACCTAATATATATATACCACCCAGGGACCGAATACATTCTAAATTGAGGGCAAATTCATGTTGAAAATAACATTAGTTACTATATAGTCATGTTGTTCACATCTAAAACGACACAAACATAAAGAGATTGTTTTTTCTGTGTTGTTTATTACCAGTTGAGATATAGTATGTTTTGATCTGCTTGTCTGACGGCTTAAAACTCTTAATTTTTAAATGAAAATGTTCTAAATTATTCTTAAATTGAAAAATTTACTTAATGGGATATGATAAATTTCACATTAATTGGATATTTGATTCGTTTTGAAAACCCTGTCCACTATCAGAGTAGTTTGGTTCAAAATATTACAATATAAAATAAAATTCCTATGCTGTCAATTTTTACATGACAACTAATTTTACCAGTTGAATGTTCAAGACGAAAACCAAGCTGGCTTTTAAAAACTTAGTTATGCAGTAAAATCTCTTCACGATATCTATTTTAGTCTTGAGTTTATTATTGATCTTCAAGTAGTGACATCTTCAGGTCCCATGGGTCATGTGTATTGCTTTTCACCTGCACTTCCCTCATCCTTTGTGGCACATGGTATTTAATCTGAAAAAATGGATATTCTGCCATTTTCTACTTATGTCATACTGACATTTTGATTGAATTATTTTGTTGGTCAATTACTCTATATACCCAGAAAAAAGCAGAACTCGTATATTTCTTGATTACTTCTATGAAAGTGAAAAAAGTTGATAAAAAACTTGAACTTCTCTTTGTTTCTCAGTAATCTAGAACGCTGGGTGGTGTTTGTTCGGTCCCTTGTTTGAATATGTAGAATTAACCTCTCAGCTTGTTTTGAATGAATACCGTATATTATCTCGAATATTTCACGGTAGTGATGTAAATGAAATGCGCCAACAAGTATGTTACCGTATTTCTTTTTATTTCTAATGTCCCTGTCAGGGATATCAGAGTAGCCTTTCCCTTCTCAGTATTTGTCTCTCCTATACATACCGTAACTATTTTTTCTTGTTTTTGTCATTTAAACAGAAAATTCTCTTATTTCTGACAGAATGATGGGTCAAGAGTACCAACCAGGGGATATTGGGGTGATATGGTCACAGGACCATTCATAACGTTTGGTGTAGAAAGCGAGGAGCAATCATTATTTAAAACTGCAAACGGAGCACATGTAAAGGTAAATTTGTATAATTTCCCTGCTCGCTTTAATAAACAATAGATTTTTCCCAGCAAAGTCGTTGCTAAAGCTTTATTAATGAGTTCCAGTATTATTACACGATCTTCGAGTCAATATACTAGAGCATTGCTTTCTTGTTTGATGTAAAGTACTTGTTCTCTCTCACATTGATACAGGAATACAGCAGTTCATGATCCAGTTTGATATGAATCAGATGGAAATTTTGTTTTCTAATTATAGATTCAATCTATGCTTAATTGGCCAATTGTTTTCATCACGCTCAGTAACAGAATAAATAAATTTTACATTGTTGGACATGATGTTAACTTACGGATTGTTGATGTGAATCTAGGAATTGTTGTGCCAAATTGTTGTTGTTGGATGATCAATTGATTTAAAATTTTCAGGATGACTAGAGGGATTTTTTTTATTTTTTTTTATCCCGAATTCCCATATTTTACTCAAAATTTTTCCCTTTTTTTTCTATTCATGGGAACGCTTTTCTATAAAATTTGGCCACACTTTTCTTTCTTGTCCACCCAAACTTACCCGAACTGTGCATCTTGGCTGCCTCACAGTCTTTCAACAAGCATCAGTTCAAGTCAGAACTTTAGCAGGATAACATGTGTTGAAAAGTTTTTAGTTAGTGCTTTTCCATGTCTTTTTGCCATTGATCATGGCACCCTTGGAAAGAAAAGGAGAAAAAGTTTTTGAGGTTTTGAAATGCGTAAGAATGTATTAAAATATTTAACATTGTTTCTTATGGAAAAAAAGTTTGGTACTCGAACACCCGGACTCGAATTAATTATGTTTGACTACCAAGGTATCACTCTATTTTGTTATTGTTTTCAGAATTCTGAAGATATAACGCTACACAATCTACTCTGTTTGTTCCACGAGCTTCAAAGTGGTGAAAGGTATCAAATTCCTGCACAACAAGAAACTGAAGATGCAAATAAAATTATAGAAATGGATGAGGATCCTAATGCTATGGCAACCGATGTTGCTATGGAAACAACAGAAACCAACCATGACTCATCACATCACGATATTCATCATGAAGATCATAAACATGAATCTCATGTACACCATCAACACAAAAATAAAGAATTTTATGGTATGATGGAATAGAATTCAATATTCTGTCTTGAAGGCCATACATATCTCACTATAATCATCTTATTTCATCATTCTACAGCTCCAATACAATGTGACGACGTCTGTGTGCACTTTTTATCACTCAACTGTCTGGCAGAACTTCACAAAAAATCAAAGTTTCAAAAACTCTTCAATGTTGTTTTTATGTCTACAAGGTGCTTATTTGTGTTGCATACATTGTTTATTTCTCTGAATTGTCATGTTTTCAGTTTAAAATCGTTTCACAGGATGTTCCCAGTGAAAGGTTCTTAACCCTCGTGGCTCTCGCATAGGTCACTCATATTTTATTCCATTCCTTATTTATGCGGTAATGTAATTGCAACATTTTATGAATACTTGCCATGAAAAAGGATTGTGCATTCGGAGATTGGAGCCAAGCTTACAATATTAGATGGGGCTGGAGTCTACAAGAAATTTTAGTGGCTCTGCTCTCGACCATCTATTTTTTACATTCAGAATTTTCTGATATTCAATATGTTTGCAAAGTTTCATGGTAGTGGTCATACCAAAAAACCACAATGGCTATGGACTAGCCTGACCTCAGCTCCGAAGAAACAAAATAGTGAAGCTTCAAAGCAGGGAGCCAGAGCCATTGTGGTTTCGGACCTCTTCATGTCTGGAAAAAGCAAAGAGCTGTGTTTAGTGTCTTTTAATGTGTATGTTTTCGTCTTTTTCAGTATGGTGCAACAGTTCACTCCTGTTTTACGACCAATGTTTGCGGATGAATGTGTGCTCATTATAGAACTTGCAAAGTGAGTGAACTATTTAAAAATTATATAGTGATATTCGTAATATATTCATGTACTGTCCTATATTCTGTATGACGAATGCCTCTCACCCAAATACAAACACTTTAAACACAATGAGTGAGAAGTACAAACTTTTCCGAAATTTTCTTGTCGCCTTTTGTTGAATAAAAGCAATATCACACTTGTGTTTTATAGGCAGTTTTCTGCTATGGTCCCCTTCCTGCCAACCTTCCAAACAGTACGCAAAGTTTTTGACCACTTGGTTCCAGAGACCATAACAGTCGAATTAGGCATTACATTCTTATTATTTCCTATCTCAGATTCAAGCACTTAATCGGATTTCGCGTGATTTGTCACCACCCATTTAATATGATTATACTATTGCTAATTGTCGGCTCAGTGGTGCGGCGCATCGTGCTAAAGCATTAGGAATACGCTTGCCACAGCCCACAGCACCTCTGATTACCCTGTGTGGGTTTGCTGTTTCGAATCCCTTGGGGGATAATTCTGTACTGTGAGTGAATTTCTAGACTCTTAGCAGCAGCAGGGCTCAAGTAACCGTAGGTCAGTTATGGCTTCTTCCACCATCAAGTTCATGCATCTGAACCAAATAACTGGCGTAGTAATCCCACACCTGACATGGACTCGTAACCAGATGAGAGTCTGTGGTTCGCATATGATTAAGCCACTTTATCAGCTTTTTTCTCCCCAGGGAAAATGTGTAAATCCTATTAATTTATTGCATTTTTATTGAAGACTACCTCAGATGTTCCTTAATCTGACACATTTTGAGGTGATTTATTGTTTTATTTTTTGTCTATATTGAGTTATTTTACCGTAAGAGCAGCGTCACTCTTGAATGCTTGTGTCATATTTGGTTGGGAACCAGAAACAACGACAATTTATTTTACAATTTCCATTTTTTTCATAAATATATCAGGTTCATCTTGGACGTTAACAAAGAACAAGTTGCCGGTTTTGCCAAAAGAGTTACAGAAATGGCTCGCGATGTCGGGTTTGAACCTAAACAGGTTCCATCGCCAAAAGATTCTTTTGCCAAATTTGCATTCAGGAACATATGATTTTCAGACAATTTTTCGAAAAATATGTTGCACCATATCTTAAGCAACGGCAGGTTTTCGTTTTAAAGTACTTTATGACTACTGAGAATATGCACAATTGATGGTCTGAGGAAAACACCATCTCAGTGAAAATGACACTTTTTTTAAGAAATGAGTATTTTTTGTATGAGTAGAAGAGTGAGAATATTTTTTAAGTTGAAGGGTTGGGATATTTTAATATACAGTATCTTTGCATTCATCCCGACTTACATGTTCGTTCTTTTACTTTCGACTTTTGGTAGAACTGCTCTCCTACGATAAACGTTCAAACTCAAGTGATACCAAAATATGCCGATAATATATTAAAAATGCATATATTCTTATTATGTTCAAGGATCCACTATCTTGAGTATAGATCTACATGATCTTATGCATCTCCAAGAATGAATGCTTTTGATATATTCTACATGGTTTTAATATTCCTTGCGGAAATTCTTGTGAATTCAACCAGCTTGTCTCCAGCCCCGAAACGAATATAGATAAGTCATTGTGACAGCAGACTAGTACTTATTTAATTCTGAAATATCCCAATCTTCAAGTGATATTTAATATTGGAACAGGAGAGGTCTACATCTAACTATCTCCATACTCCAGAATTCAGTTTTATATTTATTTCCAAGCACTCAATGAATCTATTTTGGGGGAAGATACATCAATTTCGATTTCAAAATCTTATATTTTGTCCAAAAATATCACTATTTTATTCAAACTAATTTGTCTCGAGCATCCATTCAAGAGAGATGGTATTAACCTGTCCCAACAGGGTTTCATATAATTTAGATTTAAGATCGGAACTAATTTTGTAGGTACATTGTTAGTTCGACTGACACCTGAATTCCGTTCAAATTACTCCCAATTTTTTTAGTTGTTTTGCTTTGTAGACTTTCACATCACACAATCAAAGTTTAATGATTTTATATTTTCGATTAATATTGATATTACCATGAGCGAAAAAGTAATTCCAATGCTCAATTTTTATCTTCTAGTTTTCATTCTGCATATTCAAAGGATAGGTGGGGAAAAAAATAGGGCTCTGTTATACCTCATATAACCAGTATTGTAAAGTAATAGCTTTATTACATCTCAGCTAAAATGAGAATTTGTTGTCTGTGTTTCTGTTCACAATTGTGATGGAGTTTCAGTTAATTCCACGAGGTACCTCCTTAGCTATCCTGTTTTGCCCCATCGTAGGTAGGTTTGTAGAATTTTTAGATATTTTTGAAAAAGACTTTTATGGTTAATAGACTAATTTACTGGTAATTCTTGTTATAAATTGTGTTGTCATCAATTATTCTGGCCTTGTTGACCAGAAGGATAGGCTCGGTGCTTCTAAAAATGAAATTTTAAATTGCTGTCTTATTAATACTTCAGATCTATTCTGTGGTCTGCTTTATAACTATGTAATAAATAGGGAATGCTGGTTTAGACTTGGGACGAATCAAGCCTTTGCTGTTTTCGTACAATTGGGTACTTCCTTTCTATATAATCTTTACTTTCTCTTCATTTTAGTGCAGGTACAATTATTGTCTGTAATATTTTCACTGTGTGTGCTTCTTTGTTCTTTTGCCAAATCTAAAAATGCTGTAGTCTTAATTTTGATCTGGGTGAAACAAATCTAATTGCATAATTTAGGAAGTAATTGTACTCGATGGGTAATATGGAGTTTAAATTTACAATAATTTGTTACTAGGAATTGTTTTGAGGAACCATTAAAAGGAAAGGACTGACTTATCCAGAACCATGGGTATTGTCAGAAATTTTTCCATTAGAAATTTATTGAACGAAGCTGTTAGTTTCATAAATACCATGTCATATAATAACTTGACCTTGGACCTCCAGTAACACCAAATTTATAGTGCCTATGGCTTTATTTTTGACATATTTTTTCCCTTGTAAAAAAAAAAACAGAATACAAAATAACATAGTCATATTTTCCGGAAAATGTCAAACTCAACAAAGGTGGTTTAAGTTCCCTTTCCGGTTCTGGTTTTGGAATAATTGGTCTGAAGTTACTTTTTGACCAATCAAGTTTGTGATGAATTTTTTTGTTTTTCTTGTTTTGGGAAACCAGAAAATTTTCTTAATATTGTTGCAAATTGGTCCTGGTCCTTATTATTAAAAAAAAGTTTAAAAAAAAGTAGCTATATATATATATATGCGTTTTGTTTTGTGTGTTTATGCGGTTCCGCCATGATTCGTTTTGTTTCATGTATGATGATTGTATACTTTTTTGTTTTCCTTTATGTATTACTACTTCCCCAGTCTTTTTGTATATATTGTAGCTCAGTTATTGTTCTCGTAAAACCGTTTGCTGTGAATGATTTATTTGATTGGTTTTGTAAAAAAAATTACAGTTATAATTATACCCACTCAGGAGTTGTTCGTTATTGTGCACAACTCATAAACATGCCCATTTTAGACCCTTGCTGATTCTTTTCATAATAAGTTATCAAATTTGGTGTAGAATTAAAACTCTTAAGATGGATTGGTAGTTTAACATTTTGGATACATGGAGAGGGTCACAACAAGAAGTCTGATTTCTGTTATGGCATGTCTTGGCGTGTGTAAGATTTGACTAGTTCAATTGTCGACCTTGGTCTTGTAAGTCTGAGATGAATTTGATATTGCTCTATTATTTTTTCTCTCCATTTCACTGAATTAACCATGATATAGTATTTGAAAAGGGGTAAAGTATGTTAGCTTAAAATGCAAATCTGCATGCGAGTACCTGTAGTTAGATATTGCCCAATGTGGTTCTAAGCGAACGAATCATTCAAATACCAGTATTTGGCAACTGTGATAATTAAATTTGTACTCGATATTTTATTCTAATTCTTTGTGTGCTTCATTTGTATATTTTCAGTCTGTTTTCGATTTTTGCTTTCAAAGCTCTGTGGGTTTGAATTTCCCTAATTGTGTCGATCTAAACTTTATTTTGAAGCTTGTTTTCCATGCTTTTTTACCCTGTATTGTTTCATTTACTCTACTCAGTTTGACATGTACGGTATAATTAATTATTCAATAATAAATATATATTAAAAAAGTCTATGATGTTTTACTTGTTATCTATCATCGATGCATTCGATAAAAGTATAGAATAAGGATGATTTATATTTAAAAAGGAGAGCAAAGTCAATGAGGCGACTTACGGACTTAAGCATATGGCGTACCATGACCTCTTGCCAGTCCATGTCGAATATGGTATTATTAGTTAGGTTCCTAGTTGTGTATTTCTGCTGATGTATAGACTTAATGGTGCTCCAGAAGTATGCGCACCAAGATGTCGCACAACCTGAATCCTAAACGGTACACACATACTATGTTCAGGTTTGTGCACCATATTGGTGCGAATACTTCAGGAGGTCCGACTTAATGGTAGAGAAAGCCGTGATTGACTATATTGAACTCGTGCCTATCTAGGGTGAGGCTACACATACTATGTTCAGGTTGTGCGCCATCTTGGTGCGAATACTTCAGGAGGTCCGACTTAATGGTAGAGAAAGCCGTGATTGACTATATTGAACTCGTGCCTATCTAGGGTGAGGCAGTCATGCCGCGGGCGCCGTTTGGATTGAGGCTCGACAAGAGCGAATAGTTTTCATTGTAATATGTTCCGAAATAATATTTTCAAATTGGAAATGATTGAAACCAGTGGCGGCGCGTCAATAGGGCCAACCGGGGCAATGCCCCGGTTGATTTTTCGGTATAATAAGAAATAATCGAAAATCATCGGGGCTAGCCCCGAAATTATGACGACACAATGCCGACGTTTCTTACAACAACGTGTTGACATATTCACGCATTCCTTCTCGTTCGTTGGTTGCTCGGAGAGTTGATAGTTTCCTCGCCTTCGTTTTTGTCGCTTGTTTCGCTATTTGAATCAGTTAGAGACCTTTAGTCCATTTGCTTTCGATTTTCTACATTCCTTTTGAGCTCCTCACTTCTTTCCGGCTTCGCATTTCTTAGCCTTAGACCTCATAATGAATAAGGTTGATGCACTACTTCGCACTCCGTTTTCGCAGCTGCCGCTGGAACAAAAATTAGAGGTACAACGTCTTGGGCCTTATCAACCAAAAAATTGTTCACTGGAACAATCCCATGACGGAGGAAAGCGTCGGCGTACATTCTGCGCAGAAACTTGGTATAAAAAACACGAATGGTTGTGTTACAGCGAGGACAAAAATGCACTTTTTTGTTTTTATTGCCTACTTTTTGCTACCGCCCGTGACTCACGTTGGTGTAAATTTGGTTTTAGAGATCTTAAACATCTTTCCGAGCGTGCCAGGGATCATCAATCTTCTATGGAGCATCTGCACAATGCAGTAAGATACCGAACATTCGGAAATGTTAATATTGCAGCACAGTTGGATGAAGGACGCGCGGTTTCTATTCGTCGGCACAACCAAAATGTCGAGAAAAACCGCCATGTTCTCGGTCGATTGATAGATGTTTTGAAGTTCATTGGTTGTCACGAGCTGTCCCTCCGTGGGCACGATGAACGGGCTGGCTCTTCTAATAGAGGGGTATTTTTGGATATGGTGGAATACACCGCATCCCTAGATACAGTATTGAGAGATCATATTGATGCCACAACTGTTTCGAAAGGGACATCTAAGGATATCCAAAATGATTTGCTCGACTCAATGTATAAAATTTATTTACAACATTTGGCTCTGGAAATTGAGAATTGCCAGTTCCTTTCGATTCAATCTGACGAGACAACTGACATCACGTGCGTTTCCCAACTGTTTTCTGGACATCATTTTGACGACGCCTATTTCTTCCGCCGACGCAGAGCGAACATTCAGCACGCTGAAGCGTATTAAAACGTATCTCAGAAACACAATGAAGCAAGATAGATTAAATTCCTTGGCTGTTTTATCCATTCACAGAGACGTTATTTCTGGGATGCATGACTTTAATCAGCGCGTTATTGAGCATTTTGCTTCCAAGAAACCGCGGCGTGTTGCATATATGTTCAAGCAGTAGAAGTCAAGCAGCATATATATCTATGAGTGAGCGACGCATGTCCTTATCTTTGCATTAACTTTCCTTTCTTCATAGTAACGTTTTAAACCTTATTTTAGGTTTTGTCTGCTTTCCCGAGGTTTCTGTTAATATGTCATTGTATTTATCTGGGTAAATATTGCCTTTCCTTTTGAAAGAGGTTTCAAAATAAACTATGTCTATATTTATTAATCCCTTGACTTGGACCGGTTTTAAAGACACTTTCTTATCGTTAAAAATTGTCGCTTTTGCCGATTGGTTGTTACCAATGGAATGGTTTTTATACTCATAAAATTATGGGAGAACTTACAGCGCTCATCCTGTCCCCGCAGATGGGGGTGACTTGGTCCCGCAGTAGCTTGCCCCGGTTGTCAAAATGACCACGCGCCGCCACTGATTGAAACTCATACTTTTACTCGAATAATAACGTACAAGCATCTCAGGTTAACAACTGTCGTTAAAAATTGTCGATCGACGATCACAGGGGATCATTGTAAATTGCAGTGGATCTAGCTGTATTTTGTCCAAATCAGCCATAAGTCATGCTACTTATAGTTACGTTTAGAAATTTTCGAACCCATGTATGATCTCGTGACCCCCAAAATAATCCTCCTGTTCCACACCGTCGCAAAAATGAGTATTAATGCCTGCTCTGAAAGTATTTTCGCGAGTTTGCGTGTTTGTTCAGCTGCTATCGAAATTATGCCTTAGCTCGGCAGCAGTAAACGGCGCTTCAGAAGTATGTGTACCTATATGGAGGTAACCAATTTTGTTCGCCTATTTTACATCAAGTTGTGTAAGGGACTGAAGTCTATGGGAAGGGGGTACCCAGAAAAGATGACGAACACCAGACAGCTGACGATAGCCTCAACAAACAAACATACTGTGGTAATTCTTGTGACAAGCTGATATCCTTGTATAGTGTTTTACTGGGTCAGGCGACTTTTTACAAACTTTGCTCTACCTAAGCGCACGTTTCCCAACCGTCACTAAGAATACATTGGTTATCTGGATTCGGTTGCAAATCGGGTTCGACTCTGGTCTTTGGATTAGGACCAAACGAGGTAGGCTAATCAATTCCTTCTGTATCAGCTGTTGTGTGTCATCCGAGTCGTAGACCCGAATTCCGTAAATTTGATATATATATATATATTGAGCATGACATGGTTTATAACTTTATATCATAGGAAAGACAATATAAAAAAACAGTATATATTTATAATATACTGTAGAATTGCGCCGAACAAGTGAGTAATAATATAGCAACTATGTGCTGGTGAAGTCCGAATTCTTTTTGTTTGTTATTGAGAATTTCTACTTCATACTACACAACAGAAAACTTTATAACAGGGGTCGGCAACCTTTTGTCGCTCGCGGGCCAAAATAAGGGTTGCAAGTCATTGGTGGGCCGCACATATTTTTAGAAAGTTGACCGAATCGAACAGATGATACTTTTTATACTAAAAATGAAGCAGTGATACATCTCTCGAATAGAATATATATTTAATTCCTCATTGCATTGCATTTTCGGCGTCATTGAACCCTTTGCACTTGGCATCAACTTTTCTGCGTTTTGTTGCCATTTGTCTAACTATAAGTAAATTATAGGCTCATTAAACGAGTAATTGTGAATTTTATACTTGTTAGATTATAATATAATTTAGTCTAAACGCGTCTCACAATGAATTGTGTAACGTGAAAAATATCGTCAAAACAGCTGTTTTGTTACTATAATTCATTGAAGCGTCGCGGGCCGGATTATGTTACTCCGCGGGCCCGTAGGTTGCCGACCCCTGGTTTATAATATATTGGCTGCAGTGTTATCCAGCCCGACTATAACCCCATAGCTTTGCCTCAATGTTTGTTTGACAACCACCGCCAGTTAACCTACTCCTAACTATACGCTTTGTTTACCCGAGAAATCAGTACCGACCCACAACATCGCACCAACGAGTTTATTACGTCATATATATACACGCATCTATCATCAAGGCATTGTATCCACCATAGTAGAGAATGTGTCTGAGTGCTGATGGTGGGTGGAGTGGCCGAAACACTCCGACCAAGGAGGTATTTACGACAATAAGCAGTTACCACTCCTCGGACAATGATTTGTAACTGAGCTCCATGTCTTTTTGATGTATCCTGAAGTGTACCGGTAGCTTTTTTTTTATCATTTGAGTATAGTACTTAGCATTCCAGGGAATGAGTATAATTCTGACTGATCAATTGAATTTAGAAAAACCAAACAAAACTGATTGTCTCATTCAGAAATCGGTGCTGAATCAAAATCAGATAATATGAGCCTTACCCGGAATTGGTCCAACTGGATAACTGATTCGTCCTTCTCTTATAGGAATTTAGTTTAACTATAAAGTAGTATTGCTAATTTTATTCTAGTTCTAAAACTGAATTGTGAAAATTGGATTATTTAATATCACGATGACTACTAAATCTTTACCTTGGGATCCAAAAACATGTCATATGGCTGCTTTAGTGTTAGCGCGGGGCGGTAGTAAAGGATTACCCTTGAAAAATATTCGGCCTTGTGCTGGTTTACCATTAATTGGTTGGGTTTTACGAGCTATTGGCGACAGCGAAGTGTTTGATAGGTAAGACTATATTTATCGCTATTTTGTGTATTATTTATTCTGGTTAACGATTAACCTATTATTTCATATTTTATCTCTTACAGCATCTGGGTATCAACTGATCACGAAGATATCGCTAAAGTGTCGGAACAATTCGGCGCAAAAGTGCATTGGAGATCAGATGAGGTATCCCAGGATACAACCTCATCTGTTGAAACATCGAGGGAGTTTTTAAACCATCATCCCGGTAATGTATAGTAATTTATTATAATAATAAATTTGATTTATATTCATAGAATATCGTCACGCTAATAACCGAATTGCCTAAGTCATTTTTGGCGATTTTGAGTTTTTTATAAAATAGGTATTTATGTAATGCTGCGCACCTGTCCGTTAACTCAGATTTTATTTTAGGAATTCCGAAACCCATAAAAATGGAGATTCAGTATGAAATGCACATTTGTGCAATTGTTTCGTCATAATGAATTACCCTTGTTACCGCAGTACTATTGTGACGTTACAAAGGCAAAATAACCTCGGCGAAGTATTTTCGAGTTTTTGCATCTCGGATTCTAGCTTAGCGCGTATTAATTTGAATTTTTACTACAGTATAGGAAGACGTACACTTGTGATATTCACTGTCCGAGTCAAATTTACCTTGGTTGGCTTTTATATTGGGTGCATTGCTGTTTTATTCTTTATATTTAATCTTAGTCCTATTTCGGTGGGTGTGCAGAACGTGTTATATTGATGAAATATATATTTTTAAACATAAAAAATGATGTAATTGAAACTGATTAGCTATTTTGGGTATTAGACATTGTAGATACTGAGAATTACATTCGTTTTTGGAATGTTTAGTTTTCAGGACTGGTGCATATAGTGAAGTTGCAAAATTGCGTATGTCACCAAGTCATAGACACATTTCTGCCTAAGTCACAGTGCGCCATTATGACGTAACTTAACTGCGTCATACAAATTAACTTAAATCCGGCTACGATCAAAAAATTGAACCATGGCAAATTATTGACTCTCAAATGCATAACAAAATCATTAGGAAGTTTTTTACGTTTTTCTCAAAACTGCTAAAAATGACTTATGCAATTCGGTTATTAGCGTGACGATATCTATGTATAGAATATCTCTATATTCTTACAGAATATCTTTGATTTATAGAAGAACTATTTCTTAATAAAAAAATTAAAACATATGAAATATTTAACTGTTTCTAAAAAATAGTTTCAAATCAAATTAGCTTTTGCGTGTAAGCCTGTTATGGCTATGCAACCGCCCAAGAATGTCTGAGTTGTAGTGTACAAGAGGAGGTCTCGTAAGGTACAAGAACCATTTTACTAAAATGTGTAGCAAGTAAAAGTAAAATTATTACCTAAATTCAGCACAGAATAACCCTAAGTCCGAATCCTGACAATCGGCCGAAAAGTCATAAATTGTACCGAGTCTATTTTTCCGTTTGACTCCACTATAATTCTTTTAATACTAATTTTCTTATTTTTGTCAACTCTCCGTCTTTTTTATAGAAGTAGAATTCGTATGCATGATACAATGTACATCGCCTGCCCTTCATCCATTTCATCTTCGCGATCTCGGCGATCTTGTTAGAAACCGTGGATATGAATCTGTGTTTTCCGTGGTTCGAAAACGGCACTTTCGCTGGAAAGAAGTCGATTCCAGTAAGTGAATCGGGGTCAAGATTAAATTTGCTAGTTATTACCTTCCGACAAACCACTTTGTATTTAATAGTGTAAACATGTTTATATTGAATTGAAAATCTGAATTTTGTTTTAGCTGAACAAACTTTCGCTGCATTCGAATATAATTGACTTTTTTTTTCCCAAAAACATATCATGAATTTTTAGGATCTTAATAAACATAAGCTTTGGCGCTTTTAAGTTACAGACGCATGTAAAATAAGTTTTCCTTATTTTTCCAAATGGTCTGAAAACGTGTAATGGAGATAAGTTAATAACTAATTACAGATTCAGAAGAACGAACAGTACCGTTAAACATCGATCCAACGAAGAGACCCCGTCGTCAAGAATGGAAAGGAGAGTTATTTGAAAATGGCTCATTTTATTCCGCACGGCGTCATCTTGTTTTTGAAAGTAGCTTCCAGGTATATTTTCAGTATCCAACTATGTATATATAATACAGGTACAGGTACTACAATGTGGTAATCTTTGCAAAATTAAAAGCCAGCTTCATGACATTTGACAAAGACGTTTGGTCGAGTTGAGCTCTACAAAACTCGTAGAGCAAAACCAACGTGCACCCCCACAATCCCATTTTCTCTGCTAAAAACTGTTTTTGTTATTTCTTATTTTCCATCTTTTCCAAGGACGGTCAACCTTCCCTCAGGTGGATATTTTTCAAATTTATAGATTGGGGAAGGCAAATAACGTAAAATTTGATAATTTTTGTAGGCTGGAAATTTAACATACTATGAAATGTCGCAAGAGCACAGTATCGATATCGATACAGAATTTGATCTACAGATGGCTGAAATTATTTTGCAAAAGTGAGTCTATTTATTTTTATTCCATTTTTTTATAATTTTTTGTCGTTTTACTATTTTGCTGTAAACAACGCTTTCCGCAATCAGAATGGTTCGGAAACGCAGGAATCAATACTGTTTAGAATGAGGAACTCAGCAGTGTCTCCAAGTGAAGAATTGGGCGCAGTTTATCATGAGACTAACTAAGCAGGATTTATATTCGTAAATATATTTCCAAAAGAAATAGAGGGACCAAATTACTATTTTATCAAGAATTTGGTACGAAATCTTTTTAAAAATTAAATCAAAAGTAAACATGAATTTGATTCGATTTTTCATTATACGCTTTACTTAATGTTTATTCGCGACTTTTTAGATATGGATACAAAGGCAAAGAAGCAGAAAAAAGCAATTAACTGGGGCGGAACCAATTAGAAGTATGGCAATTTGAATGTCAGAATGTTTAGGGGAAAAAGTAAATATATGGTAATTGCGTTGGAATCGCAATTCAGTTTGAAAATTTAATTATATTAGAATGTTTTGCCTTTATGTTGACGATATTATTCGTTTAGTAAATGCCTGTAAGCTGCTACTAATATAATTCGTTATAATTTTCAGTCCTTTTGCTGTTTTTGTTTTTTTTCTTATGCATTGTAATATTTATTTTCAAAAATCAAATTGGTGTATAACACTTTTAGTGTCTACAAATCCTTGTGGCATGAACCTAGATTATTCGACATGGTGATATAAAAAATCATTGTTCATCAACTTGTATTGTATTTTAACGTCGTATGTCTGTCGCACCGTATACATTTGATTCTGTTCCTTATCACGGGGGTGTGCAACCTTTCATAAAAAAGAGCCAGATAGAAATAACTGGGTGAAACAGCGGGCCGCACCTTTATTTGACATCGGTTTCCTAGGAGTTGCAGCACAAAATTTTTGGCTATTGATCTTATGATATGCGTTGTTCGCTTTGCACAAGCTAGCTGTTAGGGTACTTTAAAGTCATAGGCATAGATAGATAATACATTGGACTCAGATACAGGAATTAGAATTACTAAATTAAAAACTATTTTCGCGGGCCGCACATCACTCAAAATTGGCTTTTTTCCGCGGGCCGCACGATTTTGCCTTGAGAGCCTCATTTGGCCCACGTGCCGCAGGCTGCACATCCCTGCTTCATCATATAACTTTGATGAATTTTTAATTTTACCAAGATGATTGTTAATATTATAATTTTGAACATTATGGTGTGTCACTTCTCTTTATTTTGTGAAATATTGTTGTTTTGTCAGATTGAAATTATTCTTCTAGTACAGAAATTTCACAAATTCTATTTTTTTTTCAGACAGTCAATATTTTCGAGAAATTGCCTAAAATCTATGAAATTCTTCTTCTTCGTTTCTGCAATGATAAATTATCTTCCCATTTAGATGTTTAAATATTTTCACAGCACACTACCTCATGAAGTACTAATGTTTTCAGTCAGCGGGGAAAAGGATATTCAGTCATTATTTATTCTTGATTTCTTGCATGTTTGGAAGCTGCATTTTAATGAAATGAACTTAAATTCTGTGTCAGGCACTGAACATTTTACAACTACATGGTCTATAAGGGAACGTATTTGCGAACTTATCTATAGGTTTTTATGGTACACAGATGATAAGACTGGTGGCTGGTTGTAAGCTGGTAATTTTACGGAAAGACTTGCTGCAAAGCTATCTATGCTTGTCTTTCAATAAGAACAACACATTTTTTGTGAGAGATACACTTCTTTATAATAATATAGAATCGATTTCAAACACAGTTCACCTTCGATTAATATATTAGTAGATTTAAATAGACTCGAAAAATAAGTTCATTTCTAGTCTACAGGTCATCCTATCAGACACGCACAGCTGTTAAACCCTTCTCCATTAGTCAGATCTATCTTTTGAAATTGCATGAGTTATACCCGTGAAATAAAACGTCAATTTCATTTACATATTATAATTAAAAATAATTGAAATCTGATACTGAATTATTATAATGTAGTTCACTTTGAACAATATTAAAACCCTAAGAATATACCAGCCAATGACTTGCGTTTATAAATAAGATGTCATCAAACGTCTATAATTGTAATACTTGATGTGATAACACTTGAACCAAACAGCTGGTACTAGTACCTTTCCCCCAAGTCATCTTAAAATACATTCAAGTCTATAAAGTGGACGCTCCATAAGTGTGTGTACCAATACGGAGGTAACTAATTTTGTTCGCCTAAATATACTTTACATCAAGTTGTGAAGCCTATGGGCAGGGAATACATTCACTCGGCTAACACAGACAGTCCGCGAACTCATGATAGAACTAAAATAAGAAAAATCGGAATAAAATTATGGCCTAACCCTCCTCACCTGGTACACACACTACGGGAGTACCGAAAATTGTTTTAGATTCAAACTGATCGCATATAGCACACCGAAAGTTGAATGATAAATAAAAAACAATAAATTAAAAGGTGTTGATGTGGGTCTAAAAATGAGAACTATGTAATTTCATTTATGAACTCTAAAATTACTACGACAAAACCAAATAAAATGTCAATGCTTATAAAAGCGTACGTTTGAGTACTTAAAAAAAGTTATGTGAAATTCCATCAAAAAAGGGAAAATAAAACAGAATTTGATTGAAAAAATAGTGAAATTAAAAAAATATACTGTTCGAAATTTCAATAAGAATTACAATAAAATTCAGTGTCATGATGAACGTTCTAAACATCCAGATTTTTAAACAGATATATTTTTACGTAAATCTTGATTGTCTATGACGTATATTCTAAAATCACAGATTTTTAACCAAATATTTTAAATTAAGAAACTACATTATCATTCACGGTGTTTGATATGAATGCAGCCACAACTTCAAATGACTGCTGTTGCCATTTGTCCATATCCTGCACTGTAGCGTCAACAACGTCTTGCTGGAGTCGATTTAAAAGAGCTGAACAAATCACAGCACCTAGGGAAAGATATTACGAATGTTATTTTACTAATATATTTGTTGAAATTTTTTCGCAATTCCCATGAATAAATGCAGGATATACAATAAAGAAAAAAGTAAATAAAATATTTGTAAATTGTTCTTAATCTGAGTGCTGGGCAATTTCGAATGCCTGATGATTTCAGAATCGAATCGAATCTCGAATACTTGGGTGTCAATGGGAGATACGTAACTGTATGCGACTTTTTATTGTAATTGGTCCTGTCAACAAAATAATTAATAAAAACATAGAATACATCACTAAGACAGATCGCGGAGAGTCCACACACAATGAAAAACACCTATTTATCAATAACTCACTACAGGAAATAGCCCTATGTCGGAATTGCATTGAAAAAATATGGCTTCAATAAAAATAAATTGGGTAATTTACCTCGACTGTTGGCGGAAAGAAAAAAAAGATAGCGGCGATTCGAAATTTTGCTTAGAACCGATTGGAATAATTTACTATTGTAATGAAATCAATAATTAAAATATTTAGCTGATAGAATTCCCGGGAAATAGATAACAAGCACGGCTTTCAACCGTAAATATATACTACTAGGTTTCAACAAGTAATTTGCAACTGATAGTGACTAATGAAGTTACTTGCTCATCTGGCATTGTATGAATGGCTACTTATGGCTTGTTTTGTTACACATTTCACATTTTTTTGAACATGTGTGTTTGACTTTTGTATGAATTAAGCAATGAATTAAATTTTGAAATACGCGCGTCAATTGATCATAATGGCGCATAATGTTGTATTCCTTCAGAACTTCACGTCGTCACGCCGACCGTAATTGGCCCGCAGTCTGCGGTTTAGAACCCCTCATCTACACTGATAAATATGCCATACTCGTTATATTTGAATACAATTATACTTGAGTTAGGAAATAAAGTGTGAAATCGCACCTCAAAATTAGGGGGGGGTGTTTGAAATTTTAGGGGGGGTGTTCACCCCCTATAGGGGGGGTGTAGGGAAATCACTGTGTTATACGTACTTTTGACATTAGCTCGATTGCACATTGCTGAAAAGCAAGTACTTTCCATTTCTATATTTTTCACGCCCAATTCTTGGTTTGCACGTTTGAGAAAATTCATCTTATCCTCATCACTGTAGTCACAAAATGCACCGTCAAGTCGGCATTGACCTGGAAAAGAAATTAGAAAATTATCAATAAAATATAAAAATCAATTGAACAAAACCTTAGATAGAAATATTGTTTTATATTCAATTGCGATATAAAAATACTGAAAAATATAGCACAACAAAAACACGAGGCGTGTTTCGCAAAATTAAAAAAAATTTGCTAAACCCATTCAATATTGATATGCCATAAATTCAGTGGTGGAAATTCACCGAGCTCTAAGTCTTGGTGAGAGAAAATCTTCTAGCTCCGCGAGCAAACCGTCTACTTATTTAAATACTGACTGATTTTGTAACTGTTCTAGTAATAACGGCATTAATAAAATTGGACAACGGCAATTTGAATATTTTTAAGTACAATACAGCAAATACATCCGAGTCATAAAATAAGGTAATATTAGTTTACTGCGGAACATTATCGGTTAGTAACAATGTGCTTTTTTGCTTTTCTTTATAAAATTGCTGTGGGGCTCCGTAAATAACAATCGACCTCTTCACGGGCTCCATAATACAAAACGTTCGAAAATCGTTGACTTAAATTATAGAGTTATAAGTTCGGAATGTTTTTTTTTAAATGGAGAACTTTTTGTTAGTGAGTTCGATACAATAGATCAGTGGATCCTAACCGCCAGTCCGTGGACCGGTGCCGGTCCGCGAAACTTTTTTGTCGGTCCCGGGAAATTTTGTTGTTTTTATGCCGTCTCAATCGCTTTAAGATCTCCCTTAAGATTGAGGAGATTATAAAAAGACTGGAGTTATGTGAAAAACATCAAGATGATCAGAAACAGTACAACCGGAGGAACTGTGTTGTTCTTCATGTCTGTAATTCGGTCCCAGAATCTGAGTACTATAAGTTTGAAGACTTTGTTGTTAACACCCTGACGAATATTGATATAACCCATAAATTGCGATCCAAGTCCCCGAAGAACCCCATCATTATTAAATTTGTCTGAAGATCGACAAAAAATTTGATATATGGTAGGAAGTAAGATCTGAAAGGCAGCGGTTTGTTCATAACACTGAGTCCTTGGCCCGGAATAGGCTCAAGCTTCTCGCCGCAGCCAAGGAAGCCTTCGGGAAGCAAAAGGTGTCGACAATGAATGGGACTATCTACGCTTACCTGGACAGAAGGCGAGTAATATCTTGTTTAAATGAAATCACTACTCTCTCTCTCGTCCCCTGTACTTCAGGGCTACTGCTCGCTCGATGGGACCTAGCATATAGGCACACTGTTTGCACCTTGGTCCCATTGGTATAGTGGTGGCCTTTAGCACAGGGGAATAATTTAATTCAATTTATTTTCATCCTTATGCTAATTAGGCTAGTAGGCTACTTGTTTACCCATAAGTTCTGCACCTGGAAACTTTGTAGTCAAGCTTTGTATTTTAGATTTTGTCTTACTTCATTATACTTTTTATTTTTTTCTTACTTTACGAAACATAATTCAAAATACCCATGTAGAAATTGCCACGAATCAGTCCAAACTAATCAGAAAGCTATTTTTTTGCAATATTTGTTCTTTTTGGATACATTTAAAAATGCACTAATATCTCTAGTCAGCAATATGAAAACCTGCAATCTGAAGCTGATGAAATGCCTTGGTGCTGTTTCTTTTGTGAAAAAGAATGTATACCATTCTCTTCTATCTCTGATTCTGAAATATCATAATTATTCTCTACTTTTCACTCAGAAAAAGCTGAAGTCCAGACTCCTACAAAGGTACTCCTGAAGTATGCGCACCAAGATGTCGCATAACCTGAACCCTAACCTGGTACACAACCTGATTTCAGGTTGTGCGCCATCTTGGTGCGCATACTTCAGGAGGCCTCTCACAAAATTCTCAATCCTGAATATCTCAATCAAATGTTTGTTGAGTCAGCCAATACTGACACTGACGAATTCAACAACATAGGCAGTGTTTTCATGTACAATAGCTCAAATCAATCAATCCTTCTAAGTAAGCCCTATCACTATGGAATTAGTGGCGTCCCACTCAATTGGATCAGGAGCTACCTGCACGGCAGGAAACAAGTTGTGCAATATGACAATTCATTGTCTACAAATATTTGTGTCATGAAGCACGGAGTTCCTCAAGGATCTTTACTTGGCCCATTGTTTTTTTTAACTTATATTAATGACATGTCCAGGTGTCCGAAATCCTCTGAGTCAATCGTGTTTGCTGATGATACTGACTTGATTCTTCATGGGGAAACCTTGAAAATCTATTCACAGTTGCAAACCATGAACTAGCCAACATCCATAGCTGGATGTTAGTTAATAAATTTTCACTTAATGCTGACAAGACTAAATTTATATTATTCCATCAAAGCAAGCATAAAAGTGTAAGTTGTACAAAACCACTGCTGCTCAATGGCAACGAAATTGAAAGAGTGAAAGAAATAAAATTTCTAGGAGTTATCTTTGATGAAAATCTGTCTTGGAAATCACAAATATTGCACGTTATTGGTACAACAAAAAGAAACTTGGCAGTTGCTGCCAAAGTGTCCCAGTGTGTTATTCAATCAGCTTTATTAGCAATGTTTCAATCTCTACTACTCAGCCACATCAGATACGTTGCTCAGTCTGGCTCCGTGGTAATAAAACACTTGTCTCAAAATTGCGAAGTATTTTTAGGAATTGTTTTTAGAAAAAGTAAACGTGAAAGTGTAAACCATTTCCATAAAACGTTAAATATACTCAAAGTTGAAGATATAATGAAATTTGGCGTACTATCATTAGTCTATGATTTTCATAACGATTTCTTGCCCAAGTGCTTCGACGACATACTAACTAAAATTACTTCCAATCGAAGAAGTAGTTCCAATTTGTTCATACCTTTTATGAGTACATCTGTGAGCCAGCATGCCCTATGGCAGGGATGGCGAACCTTTTCGATGATTGGGCAAAAAATCTATTTTTATCGCGGATCAGAAGAGAGTGGGTCACTGATATTTAATCAATGTTTGTATCTTAAAAAACTTCTGAAACAAATCTTATCTAAGCTTCTGTTGGTGTTGGTGTAGGTTTGGGATTATGCATCACTTCTATTAGGGACTTTTAATGGCACTCGATTTTATGAAATTAGAGTACAAAAACACGCATATTAATTACCAAAAACGTTTATGATGATGCGGAAAATTATTTTACGGTTCCGGGGAATTCCACTCTGATACTGTTATATTTCTCGATCAGCTTTCAACCACATTAGGGCACTTTTACACCGCCCCATTGGTATTTCAGGTTTTGTTTTCTCAACGGCATTGTAGGCAGCAAACTTATAAAATGCAAAGTAGCATCTAGTTCTCGTATAACCCCTAAAACAGTCCGCAGATGCTCTTCCGAAAGAGACAAGACGTTGCGAGAACTGAACAGATCAATTGCATTGTTATGTCATAAACAATGTCAGAGCCAATAGCCGAATTACGGCAAACAGCAGTGCAGACATGCGTCCAAGATTGGAGGTTTTAATAAATTACCATACCGGCTCGGAAATATAAATTTGAATATGAGCGATCGCAGCCTTGACTGCCCAACTGACGGTACATTATAATAGTTTAGTCTAGTTATTGCTGGATTAATTTGAAGCCGGTTTTATCAATTTTTATCACTGATATGTTAGCATTTTTTCATTTCATTCGTGCCTTGGTGGGTCACGAATGAAACGAGGTGTGTCACTTTGTGACCCGCGGGTCAGTGGTTCACCATCCCCGCCCTATGGTATACTGGGCCCTAGCTGTGGAATGCTCTCGCCTTGAATTTGAAAACAATGAAATCAAAAAAAAAAATCCTTTAAAAAAGTCAAGCCCTGTTTGGTATTCAAATATTAAAAGTTATTATTTCAGAACCACACTGATATATATTTCTCGTATGTAATTAGCTACAACCTCCAATAAAAGACCATGACATAAGTTGGGACACTCACTTGCACATACTCATTATTTTCACGAGAATGTTGAAGAACCATAATATTGTTATTGTACCTGAGATTGCTAATTTATTTTTGAACAAGCAGTTAAACTATCTTCATCTGTTTTGCATTTTAGTTGGCCATTTAGTTTGTTCTAACATGCATAGCATAACATTTTTTCTCTTATGGCTGTTCGTTCGTTCACATTCTGACATCTGCATGCGCATGTTTCCTTTTTTTTCAATGTTGGGTTTCTGATATTCCACATGCATGATCTTTGTTTTCTATTTGGGTGGTGTGATTCTTTGTGAGGGTTGTAGACGGTATAATTTAACTCCTGTACCAATTATTGTAGTTAGGTGACCAGTCGAGCTATATTTGGATTCGCTCTTACATTTTAACTTGCTGTAGTACTATATGCTGTGTCCTGCGTGTATACAAAGATTTTACCCTTGCTTGAAAGTATGCTGTGTAGTTAGAGCATGCAAATGTGTGATGTTTAGTGTGATGTTAATAATTAAGATAATCGCCAACATGAGTGTGGTTTGAACGACATTCAAAGGTTTTTGCATGGTTTGTGAACAACTTGTCTTGTGTGTTGTGTCCCAACCACAATCTTCTCTTATTCAGGTCTTTCAACTTGCAGTCTAATGATAGTTAATTAATATTGATCAATATATACACAAATCAACAACTTCCACTCAAAAATGTAGAGTAGTTTTCCATTGATTCCCTATTTGCAATCATTGAATATCGTACTCGCAGATATATACAGGACAGTCATGATGATCAAATTAAAAGCTAGCTAATTCAACATAATAGGTGTATACATCAACAAAAGTTGCAGACTGATGAATGATCCGTGATGAATTTGAACTGACCGCAGTGATCAACACCCTCAATTAAATTTGCTTGCCTATAATCCATGACTTTAAAAAACCTTACTTGAACCTTTAATAATCTATATATTCCCGTAACCAATTTTCCTACCTCTGTATCATACTGCCTTATTTCATTTAATTATAATTACCGATACTTTTATTAATTAATAGTATTTAAAATGATTTGGACGTTGATGTGGCTAGTTTTGGCTTCTATTTTGTGAGTGAAGCAGGTCTAGCCCACCTCTTCATGCATCCAACTTGGCAATTCGGATTGGGAAATTTGGCATTAGGTGACACCAATTATAATCAGCTTGACGATATCTTTTGAGGAGAATTTTTCTATCCACAGTATATAACTCTTGTTGACTAATTCGGTATCCAATTTGGCAATCCTCATAAAATTATTAATTTGGTGTGTCAAAAGAATTTATTCATTTTTTTTTATTTGTTTCTATATTTTTCTTTTTACTGAGTAATTTAATTGATTTTAAGTCTCGCTTTTTTTACTTCCAACCTTATCATGTTTCGATGAGTGTGTGTGTGTGTGCGTGCTTTAATTTGTTTTTACACTTTTGGGTGAGCGAACACGTAATACTTCTTTTATCAATACTTTTCCATCTAAAATCTGTACGCTTCAAATCTTACTTGAGGTTTTGTTTGCTCTCCCGATTCTATATTCAGTTATTTTCTTCTGTTTTGTCTTTATCTATAATTTTATCGTCTACTGCTGATTATGGAGTCGAAATAAACTCATACTTTACCGAAGACGAGGTTGCGTTGGTTTATTACGCAATTTCTCTTTCGCTGTCATATTGCGGCGTCTTTCGCGACATCTTGGCGCCGGGTAATCACACTTTTTGCTTTTCCGGCTCCGATTCATCGCGAATGCACTCCATCAAATCTCGCAAGATTCAGAAACCTAAATATCAGCACTCGTGGTTTTTCTGTCCTGCGTGCTTATCCTGATTAATATGACCATCCCTAAAAAACGTTATGCATATTTCTTTGTTCAAACAAGAAAACAGTCAAGAACAATATAATATTCCAGTAAGATATGGTCTTGTTACGACCCTGCAGGTGGTCACGAAACGCGCATAAAGGCATGGGCCGCAGAGATCTTTTCTAGTATTTTGAGCAAACACAGAAGGATTTTGTGCCCGGTGCCAAGTTACCGACGACTTTGTCATTGTAATGTAAATTCATTTTGCCTGAGGCGTAGATCAGCTGCAGAGAGAACAATATGATGAATCCGAAGAAAAAGAAAAAGCTTTATTAAAATTATGATTCTACTTCACAGTCCAGATTTAAAAGAGAATCACTGTCACAATTTTGGATATCTCTTGATAACGAATACCATCGCTAAGTAATGGAAGATTCAAATTTTTGACCGTATTTTCAACCAGTTACTTATGCGTTATGCGAAAAAACATTTTCATCGCGAGCTTTAATTAAAACGACGCAAAGACATTGGCTGTACGCCGCTGCAGAGCTACGTGTTGCAAAACCTTCTTTGAGGCCCCGTTTGCAATCTTTTATATATTGGAAACGAAACAGAAGCAAAATTCTCACTGGAGTTAATTGTGTTTACTGTTTGTGCATGTTTGGCATGTACACGTTTTTTATGTGTGCCCTTCTTATGCATAATGGCTGCCCGGCATTGTATTTCATTTCGCAAAGATATGTTATTCTTTTCTTTTCCACTCGTTTCAATTTTTGCCGGTCCGCGAGTACATACATTTTATTTAATTTTACCGGTCCGCCTGGGTAGAAAAGTTCGGAACCACTGCAATAGAAAACTTGTTCCTTAAATTTTCAATCACATCATTGCATAAATCAACGGTCGTGGTAATGCAAATTACAATCATCTTACTGAGTTACAGCCTAACTAACGATTTAGTCCAACCAGGGGCGGATTATGCCCCTTTGGTGCCCTAAGCACTGAAGACTTTGGACCCCCCTTACTACGAACATTTATAGCTTTTTAAACTGTTATATATATATATATATATATCGGCCGGTCACTGCCGATATGATATATCGGCAAACACGCAATATCAGACAGGCATATCGGTTGAGCTCTAATCCTGAGGGAGTGTGACAATAAAGATTCATGCCTCCAGTCTCAACGTGAATCAAAATAGCAAAGGATAAAAGTCACAACTGTAGTTTGCAATTTAATCGGTACCTAGTAGTCTACCTCAGGGTGGTTCAAGGTTGCTAGGTTGAAGGACTGCAAAAACTTTTCAGGAGGTCCCGCGGACCGCGGAGAAAACCCAAAAGTGATCGGAATATTGCGAGTTTACTTACTTTAAATTTATTAAACAACGGGAGTTGTTTATACTGTTCTAATCAGACTCTTTAGTTATTTAAAAAACAATTCCCGAGAATTATCGTTGTATTTTCCGTATCTCGCATTTAATGTCGCTTCAAATTATATTCTTTCGTGACAGATATTACTTGAAATCAAACCAGGCACTGTGTAATGGGCAAGGAAATACGTTTCCGCCGTGTTTTCCTCATGTCACTTTTCTTGTGACACTCATTCTATTACGAATTGTTATATTTTGAGTAATTCAAAAACTTGCAGCGTGAGCAAGCTTAGTGCCGTCGTCAAATAACAACAAGTCCGTCTTAGTTGGTATTTCGCGACCTAGCTAAAAAACGGGATTGCGCGGCGTTAAGTCGGCTCTGCGTTTTGCTACTGTCACATGGCCCAAGCTTGAAAACAGAAGAGTGTTTTTACTAAAATAAAGGCAAAAGGGTTTGAATCTCGGGATTCCAACCCCAGTTGGAATAGCTTTAAAAATATAAAAATTTTCTGCTATCAGATACAAATATACGCTAAAATTGGTCTGTGGGCGGGCCGCACGGAATGTTCAGCATGACAGGGTTTGGACCACCCTGGTCTACCTTATCAAAAAACTCCCGACTTAGCTGACCACTAGATCGTTGAAATGCGATCGTGGAACCGCCACATAGTGCAAATAGTTCATTGGTCCAATTGTTGAAGGAAAAAGAAATTTCGAAAACGACTCATAGGCCCATTTAGTGTCAAATAAATAGGTTTCAGTGTTTATTTTTAATAATGAAGGTTAATATGATACTTGAAGACGAAAAAAAAGCGAACATTATAACGTTTGAGTCACCTGGTGAACTCGAAATATTTTAATAAGCACCGTTAAACTATATAAATTCTGCTCTAAAATTTCTGTGGTGGTTGGTGCCCTAAGCACGTGCTTATATTGTTTAATGGTTAAACCAGCGCTGAGTCCAACTATTTAATCCACGCGCGTCCTGTCATCATCAACTTAAAAAATGACAGTGATACAATTGCGTGAAGTTAAGAGAGTCGTGTTCGATTGTTTGTCGGTTGGCTCAAAGGAAATTTATGTAAAGTTACCGATGACATGATGGCTTTGAAAGACCGGAGTGACCACACAGTCCGAGATTGTTCGAATTAATCGAGCAGCTTATCGGTAACCGTTCAGTGCTGCTCAATTTAGTAATTTCTCCTGTCAAAATAATCCTCGCAGTACTACTGCGCAATGCCAACAATGATAGCTTTAAATAAACTACGACTGATTGTTTACAGTCGTTTTGAGGGTTCATTGGCAAATAATTTCATCATAGTGTTCAGTATTTTACATTCTACTTTTGAACAGAAACTGAACCTATAGATCGTTGTTGTTCTTTTTGTTGTTGTGAAAACATCGCTTTTATTTTTCTACTGTAGGCCTACTAATTGCTTTGAAATTTTCAGGGGTTAAAGATTGTTGTTGTCGCTAGAAGGCTATTAATTTTGTCAATTGAAAAACTTATGTCGGCTCTATGGGATTCGTTTTTCTCTTTAAAGTTTTGTGTGATGTCGACGTCAAATTTAAATATTGCGCAACGTGTGAAGGTTACGCGATCGCATTACAAAAAAAGTTGGCAGTTTTTATAAGAAACACTACCTGCCGTTACTCTATATAATTTGATATATACTTATTCGTTTGGCATTTGTGTGCATGTATTTGAGCATTGCTCACTTGATATTATTAGCATCTTATTGTTTGCTTTTTCTACATATATACCACAAAAATTACCACTTGGAATCGAGCTATCAAATAAGTTTGAATCTTACCTTCGAAGAAATCATCAGTTGCCATTGTGTTTCCTATCACTGCAGGAATACCAAGATTTTTCGAACAGTTAAGTAATTCTCTTCTGGTATCTGGACAGGTTGAGCAAGGTCGTGGAATTGATCGTCCTAAAGATATCTGAAATAAAGATAATAAACTTTAATCTAACATGTAGTATCAAAGTAATGTTGATTCGCTCCTGGCCTATTTTTATTTTTCGCTACTTTTTTAGAGATAATTACGTGCGATTTCCTGATGTTGTGAATAGAAAAACATCACGACATCAAAACCAGGAAAATGCTTTTCTATACAAGGAAGCAGTTTTTCCCCATCATTAAATTCATTGATGTGATAATGAATATTCGCGTGATAGAAATCATGGTATACTAATTCTTCACTGTCTAAGTTATTCATAGCCCAACATGGAGAAGTTATTGGCGTATGGATGCGTTGCATATCCGCATAATTAGAGTATGTATTATAGCCTACTTGGTACTCAGGTACCAGTCAGAAACAACATTCACAATTTCAAATGATTCTCAATCGTCCTACTTGTCCTAGAGATAATTACGTGCGATTTCCTGATGTTGTGAATAGAAAAACATCACGACATCAAAACCAGGAAAATGCTTTTCTATACAAGAAAGCAGTTTTTCCCCATCATTAAATTCATTGATGTGATAATGAACATTCGCGTGATAGAAATCCTGGTATACTAATTCTTCACTGTCTAAGTTATTCATAGCCCAACATGGAGAAGTTATTGGCGTATGGATGCGTTGCATATCCGCATAATTAGAGTATGTATTATAGCCTACTTGGTACTCAGGTACCAGTCAGAAACAACATTCACAATTTCAAATGATTCTCAATCGTCCTACTTGTAAGAGCAATAACTTACATGCAAGAAAACAGGTTCGAGAGTGCTGTTGTACGGTTGGTCCGTAATTACAAGAGTTCCTGGTTCAACACCTACATAGGAAAACAAGAAAAACATACTTTGACATACGGTAATGTAGTTATAGGTTAGGCTGTGCACGCCCAGTAAAATTTCAGCAATGTAATTTCATTGGATCTTTTCGAATTTGTGTGTCAGTGATCAAACCTATTAGCTATTTAAATCGTGAATTCTGATTTTTGTACAGAAATAGTAATATCACATTTGTAATCTATGACAAAAATGTAAATATAATGACTAATTTTATCAGTCAAAAATATTCCAATTTTACTAATTCCTAAAGGCAATTATATTCTTCAAATAAATGAGTCATTAAGAAAAACTCTGCATATCAACATATAGTCACACAAAATAATAGCAAATGATAATTAAACACTCATTATGACGTTGACTCACCTAGTCCACCACTTGATCCAATTCTTATAAAAATAACATCTTTGTTACACTTTGCATAGTGCAAAAGTTTTAATACCTGAGACAAAAATAAAGATATAAAAATTGTAATATACTTTTCTTCTGTAAAACTTGTAAAAAAGGGATAACAAAATATGACGCAATGTAACTCGCTGCTTGACTCTGTGGCTTGTTGTCCGACAAGGGAAAGCTGTACGATTCATTCCATCGATTTATGAAAAGCCACAGAGTCAAGCAGCCAGTTACATTGCGTCATATTAGAGCAATGTCAAAATAGTGCAATTTTTCGAGATTGCGACACAAAACGGATTTGCTATTATTTTTTTTTTTTTATATATCATAAGCACTAAGCACTGAATGCATTTCGTGCAGAGCAAATATTAATCACACTTTATATAAATATAAGTTAATACATTTAGTATACAACATATAGATCAAATATCAATTGTAAAATATCGAACACTATGGAGGGGACAAACGTCACAGAGGATAACTTTGGTCGGAAGGTAAGTAAGGGTTCATCTCAGATTAATTTCGACGAGCTAATATGTTCGACAAAACCATTGCTTATTTGTTTCATAATTACATGTTTAAACTGATAGTTGAGAAAATGTAAGACCGGTCAGTTTGCAAATAATTAATCAATTGGAACTGGAAAATAAGGCTACCTAAACAACAAAAAGCTCACTCACTTCGTTCAAAACTACAGAGAGTGAAGCTTGTCCTATTCCATGGCTCACTGATAAAACTGGCCCTGCTTTGTACATGGAATATCGTCCTGCTGACCCAGATATATCAAGGAGCTCTAAAAATAAAAGTATGGTGCTGCCAATAAAAACTGAATTGCATGAACTTGAAATTAAGTAAAATGAAATATATACCGATAATATGGTATATTTTGGGTTGGTTGTAAAAAAATAGTTCCAAAGTTTCAACGAATTATCTTCGTAGGCGAGGACGCCAAGTAATTCGCACGACAGTCGCTGGCTTTTGAAATGTGGACAGCAGGACATGTTTTCACAAAATTGATCTTACTAACCAAAAATATCGTCAACCCACATTATATATAATTCTTTAGTCTCCGTGTGGAATTAGTTAATACGTAGTGATGAACCACTACACAGCATTCTAATAATACTGGCAGCTCAAAATCATATAATTGCCTTCTATGAGAAAGGCCATTCAAATGGCAATTAGGACTATGTAACCACTTAACTATAAATTTAGCGCTATGTAATATTTTTATGTCGATTGCTGAAATCTTAAACGAGGAAATCAATTACACGACTTCAAAATTGCTTTTTAAAATTTTACAAATAGGAAATGTGCGTGTTATAAACGCATGGAATTGTTTGGGTATTATTTCTTGATTCTCCAAACAAAAGTTTTATTTCATTTACATCGCCTCTCATCACACCGACATGTTTTGAGTTTTGAAGTAGGAAATAATAAACATTATTACAAAGAGCAGAATGAGAAGAAATGGGGAAATAGGGTGCTCGATAAAAACACGGTTTTGCTATTTGTTTGGTAAAATGCGTTTTTTTTTAACATGTTACCTCCTTTTTCACGCCTCGATGTTTTGGGTTTTCCGAGTTTGTCATCTAAATAAGCTGCAAACTTTTGCATTCGAGATGGTTTTCCTCCCATGCATACAAACTGAAAAGATGGTAAAGTGACAAAAATTATTTTTATAACTTCAATAAAACTAAAAAAACACGCGATTTTAGAATATTCATCGCATCAGTATTCAAAGTCATAAAGTAATCTAGTCAGAAATCATTTCATTGTGCCGCAATCTCTGTGCGAAATAAAACCACTTAAGCCCCAGGCTTGATCGATTACCAATACACAAAAATTGTGTATATGAATAAGATATGGATGATTTACCAAACATGAATTGTATTATGAATCAAGTTTGATAGCTTAAAATAGAATATTCGTAAAATTGTGATTTAATAGATATTAGAAAAGGTTTATGAAATATATCATAGACATTATTCTTAGCACATATGTTTGCTCAGAATATGATGTAAAAAAATGTAATTGATCTGATAATGAATGATGATCGAATTCAAAATAATTAGTTGCGAATGTGTGGTGAACTGATCGATTACATCGTGTTTCGATCCGTATTTTTGCCACTTTTACTTGCAATACTGACTCCGCTCTATCGCAATGCTGCCACTCAGTTTATTTTTGTGATATACCCGTTAGAAAAATACCACAAAGTTTGCTATAAAATCTCACGGAGTAAAATTTATTTATTACTATAAAAATTGATTGGATATACTATAGAATAAGATCGCGTTTTCAAACTTGTATAATGGTTAACATCAAAATTTGAAGGCAATTTAAAGGAATGGATGAAAAAAGTGAATACCGCGCACAATTGACTGTGTTTCGATTTCGGTGACGGTATGGTTTCCAACGTGAAGTAAACTTAATATGTGTCGTAGGCACACGATATTTTGCGATTTACAATGCCTTAGTATTTTAGACTTCCGCTCTTCAATCAAAAAAATGCGTCGCGGATTCACTACTTTATTTGTCTTCATCTCGCCGATGAATATATGATAACTCTTACTGGATACACAATTATGCGCGAGTACAAAAAAAATTCGACCGCGAAAGCCCTCCCCCGGCTGCTTTTATACCGAAAATTGTACAAAATTCAGTGAAACACGATTTTCATTAGTGTGCGAACAAAGGGAAGTTTGAAAAAATCTACTGAACACCACGATCCCATGAGAAATGTTGCAAAATTTTATAAATTCAGAATTGCAGAAGTTTGTGGTGCGATTCTTCTCTAAAAAACCTAAATGGCAGATTTGCAAAGTCTTCAAATGTAACTATTGGTACCTACCTTTACGTCTTGGAACATTGATTGCAGATCATCCTTGGCAGTCAATCCAATGTGATATAAAATATCTTCTTTGCCCAAATTGGGATTATCGAGTTGGAAGTGAGAATTCATAATTACGTCCTAATTTTAGGCCTAAATGGAACATATAGAAGATCAAATTGCAAATTAATTCTATTCACCAATTGAAAATACATTTATGAAAATTGATAATAAATGATATCCAATTGAAGGCCCAGTTTCACCATATTGTATTAATGATTGTTACGCTTATAATAAAAAAAAATCATACGGTATATGTTGCCCTGTCCTCGCTATGGTTACCTTTGATGAAATGGAAACTGGCGTATCACAAGGTATTTGAAGAGGATAACCTTTTTTAAAACATCTCATCATTATTTGAACTATTGTTTCGAACGGAGTCATCAAATAAATTTAAGAGTTGCTGCCAAGCAACACTTTCACAATAAATACCACCTGGATTGTGTGCTGTTGAAATTGGCAACGAATCACAAGAAAGAAAAACAAAAACTTAGCAGAGCACACAAATTTATTTATCTATTTTCCATATCGTATAATACCGCATTAATGATTGCCACGCTTTTTAAAGTTAAGAGATCATATGGTGTATTTGTGTACGTGCAATGTCAGACAAAGTCATACGCCATGTCCTCGGTATTGTTACCTTCGATGGAGTGGAAACTGGCGTATCACAAGATATTCAAAAAGAAGAACTACTTTAAAAACATCTACTCATTATTCAAACTATTGTATTGAACGGAGTGGAGTCATCAAATAAATTTGAGGGTTGCTGCCAAGCAACACTTTCACAATAAATACTACGTATTAAATAAATACTACGTATTAAAGTTAAGAGATCATATGGTGTATTTGTGTACGTGCAATGTCAGACAAAGTCATACGCCATGTCCTCGGTATTGTTACCTTCGATGGAGTGGAAACTGGCGTAAATTATTCAAACTATTGTATTGAACGGAGTGGAGTCATCAAATAAATTTGAGGGTTGCTGCCAAGCAACACTTTCACAATAAATACCACCCGGATTGTTGTGCTGTTGAAATTAGCAACGACTCACAAGAAAGAAAAACAAAAACTTAGCAGAGCACACAAATTTACTTATCTATTTTCCATATCGTATAATACCGCATTAATGATTGCCACGCTTATTAAAAGGAGATCATATGGTGTATTTGCGTACGTGAAATACGGCAATGTCACACAAAGTCATTCGCCATGTCCTTGCTATTGTTACCTGCAAAAATGGGACCTGATGTATCACGCGGTATTCGAAAAGACAACTATTTCAAAAACATCTACTTATTATTCGAACCATTGTTTCGAACGGAGTCATCAAAGAAATTTGAGAAGTTGCTGCCACAATAATTACCATCCAGATTGTTGTGCTGTTGAAATTGGCAACGATTCACAAGAAAGGAAGATAAAAACTGGAAAGAGTACACAAATTTCCTTATTAAACTTTCGCTCCTTGAATGTGACATCCTAGGAAACCTTGGTAGCAAGCTTGAATATAGGGTTGTTATTTGTATCGCTCATAAACATAGAAGAAGGTCTACCTGGGCTAAGGTGGCTTGTTCTATGAATACAAGCAAATTCAGTGGGAAATGAACTAGCAATAACACTAAAAACGCGGACGAACAGTCTAACCGACACCCGTGGGTGTTCACAAAAGCAATTAACTGAGTGTGATTATGTTGCGTTCTTTTTTTATTTGCGTAATCCAAAACACCTTCCCACTTTCCGATATACCTGGCTTGCACTATCGCGTTGAATTTAGAATGATTGCGGTAACGTGCGCTTTTATCGCGCCGATGCAGGAAATAATTAGGCGGCAAGTAGCCTACACAGTGACGTTCATTTGCTAAAATAGGTAAGAATGGTGCGTTGTAATCATTGCCTTGTGGGAAAATTGCATGCAATGTTTGAGAATAAGAAATAATTAGTCATATCTAACGCGATACACATTATACATTCTTAAACCTGGTGATAAATTTATTTAATCAGATTGTTCAGAGTCGAACTCAAACGTGAATGATATCATACATTATTATCTGATCAGTGTAGAAACTAAACAAAGTCATTCGTTGGTATGTGTTAATAATTCACGGAAAAAGCATAAATGTAGAAAAAGTGCGAGTATGGTGTATTTTACTATATTGTAGATAACTGAAAAATGGGGCTTGTTAGAACTTCTTAAGATAATTGCCCTGGCCAACGTGGAGTCCGCCTTTTCCAAGAATGAGGGTTGTAGCAGACTCTAGTGACAAATGTAACAATTTTTTCACATCTAAGCCTGCATTTTTAACTGTGAACAAACGCATAAGTTTTGTTACGATGTTACTAAATATCAGACATATCTCATACCTCGAACGTTATTTATAGTTTTATAGATTAATTTCTTTAATAAAAACTCGAAGCAACACAAATCTTTAATAAACAAAAGAATTTGCTAACAATCTTTGATCGATCAATAGCCTAGCTAGCTGATATACTATATAATTCTTCACGTTGCACAATTTACAGATTATAACGCGTTTGCTGCTGTAGGCATCTGCACTCAAAACTTCCGGTAATGTAATATGGGGAAGCCTTGCTATAGAAAAAAATATGCAAAGTGTTTGTACATTTTTTACACTGACATCACATATAATTAGTACACACAATAGTTGCTTTTTGTCGATTATGCGACGTCGTTAAAATGTAAAAAAAAAACGTGCGTGTGCGAAGATATAATTAGATGATTAGGATTATACAGCTAAGCGATCGAAGTTATTTCGCCGAAATCTACGCTCGCGGTTATATTTCACATTCCATATTATTTTGAAAACAAGAAACCGCATTATCATTTCATTGCGACGGCATTCGATAAAAAATACTTTCAGGGGCAAACTTTTTACAGAGTAATATTATATTCGATTGCCATCTTTTTGCTATAAATTTATCTACGCGCCTACTCAATTTTGGAAAGTATACCCTTCTAAGCTTATATCAATTCCGAAATAAATTTTCCCTTGCTTTATAACTATCTTGTACTCTAAAGTGTAAATTTCTAATTTTTGATACATTATATCTTCCCCTCCAGTAGGTTTGGTTTAAAATATCACAATTGACCGCAACTAAGTCAGTTATATTAATCTATGCGGCTTTATTAAGTCGGATAATTGCTCATAACAAGATTATTATATTTCTAGCTTTGCTCTCTCATACAGCAGCAACAAAACTATGTTTAATATCAAACCAAGCGTGCAACTTCGTGGAAAGCCAACCACATCTATTAGATCAGATATTATTTATAGGCTACTTCTGACAAGTAGATTTATCTAAATGCTAATCATTTGCTCAATCCCCGCTAAATAACATTGTACTTGAACTTTCGGATATGAGCTACGAAACAATAAATACTTTATTCTAGAACTTGGAATTAACTATGGGGCCATAGCATTATTAAAATCCAAATGAAATAATTAATGCTGAAGTATATGAAAATAAACAATAAATGTCTCGCATTACCAAACCCTACATAATCAGAAAAGACGCTACACATGATGTTGATATGACCTGATGCATGTTGTTCAAACAGCTTAACAAAACAAATCGGAACACGACGGCCTTTCGGTTGGTAACCTGTTAAACGTTACAGGAATGTAACACAATTTACATGTTTACTTTACCATGTTACTTAATCTGGATTAGACCAAATACTAAAATTATGATTGAAAAAGATAACGACTAAGCATTTTATTGAATTCCAAGTGTTGAATTAATTTATTGATGTAAGGCTTTATAGTTTCAATCTCAAACCGTGTTGATTATTATTTAAATTACGTTTTTAACGATCTTGACCAAAAGACTATAGAAAACGATATTCAAATAAACTCGAACTGCCAAGTTTAAATTAAACCTTTTAACATGCTCTGTCTGTTTATAATAAAGAGAAGGCAATATTACTCATACTTCATTTTCAGTTCGCACAGTTAGCCTACGATATTTTTTATGTATTTTAATTTGTGACGCTGACCGGAAGACGTTACAAACATCGAAGCGACAAGGAAATTTAGATAAGTTATACGAAATTCGAATCAAGGCAATTACCATTTATGACAATGCAACACTATACGTATTCATATTCCTGTTTCCAGATTTTCTCCCATCTCCACCGATACCCTTACATATTTGTCGTTCCTGCCTTCATCGACTCAACTAGGGAGGCTTTTTATGTTAATTCCAATTAAATTACTAGCCAAAGCTGAAAATCACAAACGCACCTTCGATTCTGATTCGTCTGCTGATTCGGGCTAACAGCTGTATTTGACGTGTGAAACGCGTTGTTTCTTTTATCCGCAAAGCATTAAACCTACTTCAGTGTCAGATATAATGCGACTGTAATTGATGTGTTCAAATGTTATGTAGAATGCAACAATTGAACGTTGTTGCTGTTGTTGAGACAATGTTATAAAATGAAATGTTATCAGAGTTTAACCGTTCTCAATTCAAACGACAATGTTCGCGACATCTGCAATATAAATGGACACATCATCTGTACTAACTTGTATATAAAACTAATAGATCTTCTGTTTAAAATACCACGACTTTTTCGAGTTCGACAGAATTGACTGACCGGTGATTGGTGGACCTCCGTCTCACCGCTCATGTGCAGGTACGAACCACGTTTCACATAATAATTTTAGCTTGTTACGTCACAATGGTTACGAAGCAATTTCGCGCGACCTTATCCCGGTATCGCTCAAAATTATTCACGAATCAAGATAGTTTCGTGATCGCTCTGCTGCAAGGGATATGCAACGTGGGTAGGACATTTGGAGGTATTTTAGTAAAACCCGATTCCGTTATTAAATGTCATTTATGTGACAATTTTTCAGTGTTTGATGTGCATATTCTACTTTGAGATATATGAAGAGAAAACAGCATCAAGTACGAGCTTGTTGGTTGATATTGAATATACGATTTTGAAATAAAATCGTGAACAATATATTTTGACCAAAAACTGATTCATATTAATTATAGTCAAATTTTCATGATCAGCAATGTTGGTACTTCAATTATTTTTCATATTTATTGGGTCCTCACCAATGCAATTGGCA